AGTGATACTTTGTGTGATTTTAATTTACCAAACTATACTTTGTTCAACTACGATTCTTCCAACTTTTACAGATCTTAATTTAATTAATTAACTCGTCTGTAATCGCTTACGTAAGAATCGCCGGGCGGAACTCTGTTTCCGCCTTATTCGCATTCGTCGGGCGCTGACATCATCCTGACGTCTGCACCCTTATTTCCTTTTTTTTCGTGAATTTTAAATATATTTCCTTTTTATTTCCTAGTATAAAATTCGTAAGAAAATCATATTCATTGAGAAAAATTCTGAATATTTACTAGATATTATATTACATCCCTGTGATCGACCTAGAAAATTACCGCTATTTTTTGAATTTTTATTGAATTATAATTGATATATTTATTTAAAAATACTTCTAAATATCCAAAAATTCGTATTTTCTAGTTTTATAAATTTTATATTTGCGTGATTTAATATACAATGACTGAGCCACGTCAAATTTTGGCACTATTGCCAGGGATGTATTGCATAATATTTAGTATTTTTCTTTTTTTCTCTTAGAGTACACAAAAAAAAAACTTAACTCTTGTTTTATTTTCTTTTTGCCGAGTTTTATTAGAAAAAGGGAATGAGAAGAAGCATGGCAAGGACTGGAGCATCTTGAAGGAGGGTAATAGTTACTAACTTTTTCCCTCAAATTTATTGATTTTTATGTATGGTAGAAGATCCTTGCATCCAAGGCTAGAAAATCCTTTCATTATTTCATTCAAAAATAAAATCTGAAAAAAAAATTAATTTTGATGGATCCTGAAGGAAGTACAAGTCAAACTGAGAACAATCCTATGGCCATGAAAAATCATTATATCCCTGATTCATTTCAAAGAGCATCTAATATTAGAGTCTCATTAGCACCCATTATTAAATTCGAAATAAATCCAAGAATTTTTCAAATGCTCCCTAGTTTTCATGTATTACCTTTAGAGGAACCTCATCAGCACTTAGAAAAATTTTATATGATCTGTGATTTAGTTAATTATTCTCTCATACACTTAAGGATAAAGCTAGTCATTGGCTATCCACATTAGATAGAGAATCAATTAGCTAGAAAGATATAGAACAGGCGTTTCTTCAAAAATTTTATCACTTAGGAAAAACTCAAAATATGAGAAAACATATATGGAGTTTTTCTCAAAGACTAGGAGAAACTTTGCATGAGACATAGGAAAAATTCAAAGATTTACTTAGAAAGTGTCCTCATCATGCTATACCCAAGTGGCAACTCAATAGAATTTTTTATGATGGATTATTAGAACAACATAGAGATATGGTTGATTCTATATGTGGAGGAGCTTTTATGGAGAAAACTCCTGATGAGATTTACAGTCTTTATAAGAATTTAAGTGAAAATTCTAGAGATCAAGTCTCTTTTGAATTATATGACAAGGATAACAAGAGAGGAATTTATGAATTGCATCATGATGATGATTCTAAACTTAGAAATGAGGTTAATCAAATTAATCAAAGATTAGAAAAATTTGATTTACTTATTGACAATATTAGAAAGCCTTTAACCCTCAACTTAATTCAAATAGTACATGTCCTATGTATGGTGAAAATGGTTATTCTGAATTTCAATGTTATAATTTAGACCAATCATTTCACCCTATGCAAGAACAAGTGCAAGTAGCTCACAATTTTAATAGAAACAGGGAACATTTTCCAAATTTTTATAATCCTAATTGGAGGAATAATTTTTTATGGAGAGACCCAAATAATATTCAAAATCCAGAAGCACTTTGACCCAATTCAAACTCTGAATTTTGTCCAAAATAAGAAAATAGATTTTATAAAAATCAGCCCTTTCAAACCCAACCTGATACTATGGAAATGATGCAGTAAATGAGCCAAATGATGCAACAAACTATGAATCAAATGATGCAGCACCAGAAACAAATTATAGAGGTCCTTGGGAATAAGAGAGAAGAGGGACAGCTACCTAGTCAGCCCATAAAAAATTTAGGGAACTGTCCAACAATAAGATTTCAGCAAGGGGAGTCTAGTAGCATGAATCTAGGAAAAAACCCATGAAATGAAAATGTTAGGACAGTGAATGCATTAAGGAGTGGTAAGATCTTACCTGATCCTTATCCCCAAACATTAGAAGAAAAAGAAAGCGTGGACAACCCAAAACAAAATCAAATAGGAGTAGAAGAGGATTTTATAGATTCTACCAAAGAAATTTCAAAAGAGAGGACAACCATTCCATTTCCTAAAGCTCTAGAGCCTAGACAAAGAAAGAAAAAGGAACACAATGAAGAAATAAAGAAAATTTTACAAGATGTGCAAATTAGTCTTCCTTTACTCACTGCCATTGAACATATTCTTGAATATGCTAGAGATTTGAAAGAAATGTGTACACCAAAAAGGGCACCTAGAGTAGAAAAATTATCTATGCATAGTAGTGCATTATTATTAAATCAATTACCATTTAAATTGAGAGATATAGGTGCCCCTTTAATTTCATGTGATATTGGTGGATTCATTTTTCAGAATACATTACTTGACACCGGTGCTAGTATTAATTTATTACCTACAAGTATTTGTGATAAATTTAATATTTCTGATCTTAAGCCTTCTACTGTTACCTTACAATTTGCTGATAGATCTATAAAACATCCTAAAGGTATTTTAGAAAATGTGATAGTAACAGTTAAAGGATGTAAATTTCCAGCTGATTTTGTAGTGTTGGAAATGGATTTTAATGGACAGTTTTATGATACACCAATCATCTTAGGGAGAACACTTTTGCATACAATAAAGATGAATATTGATTTTCCCACAAGTATTGCGAAAATTTCATGTGGAGATCAATCAGTAGAAATTAAAATTTTTGAGGTATCAAATGATCTTAAGAAATCACAAGTATATGATTGTCATACCATAGATCTTCTAGATGATTTTGATGATCCAGATGTTATTGATGACTGTGTGCTCGAAGAATTAGAGGAAATAGAGAATATAAATTTGAGAGAAAAGAAAGAGGAAGATCATCTAAATTTAGAGTTGAAACCTCTTCCCTCTAGTTTAAAATATATGTTTTTGGAGGAAAATAATTCATTTCCTATTATTATTGTAGCTGATTTGAGTGATGAACAGGAAGAAGAATTATTAGATGTACTTCGAAAAAATAAGAAGGCTATGGGCTGGAAAATGGACGATCTAAGGGGCATTGATATGAGAGTATACATGCATAGTATATATTAAGAGGAGGGGGCTAGAACTAGTAGGGAACCACAACGAAGATTAAATCCTAACATGATGGAAATTGTAAAAAAAGAAATTTTAAAGTGGCTGGCTGTTGATATTATTTATCCTATTTCAAATAGCAAATGGGTTAGTCCTACACAAGTAGTGCCAAAAAAACCAGGGATCATAGTTATAAAAAACGAAAATGGGGATGAAATACAAACAAGACTAACTACCGGTTGGAGAGTTTGCATTGATTATAGAAAATTAAATTCAGTTACTAGAAAAGATCATTTTCCCTACCATTTATTGATCAAATTCTAGAAAAATTAGCTAGAAAAAACTTTTTTTGTTTTCTGGATGGATACTCTGGTTATAATCAAATTTATATAAACCCTTTAGATCAAGAAAAAATAACTTTCACTTGTCCATTTGGTACTTTTCCTTTTAAATGCATGCCTTTGGGTTTGTGTAATGCTTTAGCCGTATTTCAAAGATGTATGCTGTCTATTTTTTCTGATATGATTGGAAAATGCATGAAAATTTTTATGGACGATTTTTTTATTTTTGGTGAATCATTTGATGAATGCTTAAATCATTTACAGCATGTACTTGAGAAATGCATAGAGAAAAAATTAGTTTTGAGTTGGGAGAAATCACATTTTATGGTTAAAGAGGGAGTTGTGTTGGGTCATATTGTGAGTGAAAGAGGTTTAGAGGTGGATAGAGCAAAAATTGATATTATATCTAAAATGAAACCTCCGAATTCAGTAAAATAGATTCGATCTTTCTTGGGTCATGCAGGTTATTACAGAAAATTTATTCAAGATTTTTCAAAAACTTCTAAACCTCTCACCATGCTATTATCTAAAGATGTGCCTTTTAATTTTGATGAGAAATATTTTGAGTCTTTTTCCAAAATAAAAAGATTACTTACTGAGGCACCTATTTTACAAGCTCCTAATTGGTCCCTTCCCTTTGAAATAATGTGTGATGCATCGAATTATGCAGTGGGGGCCGTTTTAGGACAAACAAAAGAGTCAAAACCCATAGTAATTTCATATGCTAGTAAAACTACATCCGATGCTCAATTAAATTATACCACAACTGAAAAAGAGTTGTTAACTATAGTATTTTCATTAGAATGGTTTAGATCATATATTTTGAGAGCTAAAATTATTACTTATATTGATCATGCAGCATTAAAATATCTATTAAATAAAAAAGATACAAAGCCACATTTATTAAGATGGATGGATTTTATTGTTGCAGGAATTTGATTTAGAAATAAAAGATAAAAAAGGTTTCGAGAATGTTGTTGTTAACTATCTTTCTAGATTAAATGATAAGGAATAAAGGCAGCACCTTTACAGGACGTATTTCCAGATGAACAATTGATGGCAACTCAACATCAACCATCACCATGGTATACACATATTATTAATTTTCTGGTTTCTGGAAAAACTCTAGAACAGTGGGATAAGAACAGAAAACATCATTTCTTTTCTAAGATTAGAAATTATTTTTGGCATGATCTTGATTTATATTACTTGGGCAATGATTAAATTTTAAGGAGATGTGTTCCTGAAGAAGAATATCATAGCATTATTAACATGTGCCATTTATCTAATTGTGGTGGACATTTCTTTAGATGAAAAACAGCTGCAAATTTTTTTTAATGTGGTTTTTATTGGCCTACAATCATTAGAGATTCTATAGAATTTAGTAGAACATGTATTTCATGCCAATCTATAGGTAACATGAGTAAAAAAGATGAGATGCCCATGAGTACCATGTTAGTAGTCGAAATTTTTGATGTATGGGGAATAGATTTCATGGGTCCTTTCCCATCAGCTGAAAAATATGAATATATTTTGCTTGCTGTTGATTATGTGTTGAAGTGGGTGGAAGCTATTCTTACTAGAACTAATGATCATAAAATCATGATGAAATTTGTGCAGAAAAATATTTTTTTGAGATTTGGATGTCCTAGAGTGATTATTAGTGATGGAGGAACACATTTTACAAATAAACAGTTCAGGGAACTATTGAAAAAGAATGGAGTACACCATAGAGTAGCCAGTCCATATCATCCCCAAACAAATGGGCAAGCTGAAGTAGCAAATAGGGAAATTCAGAGAATTTTGAGAAAAATAGTTAGACCAGATAGGAAAGATTGGCTCACAAAATTACAAGATGCATTATGAGCTTATAGAACAGCTTATAAAAATCCCATAGGTATGTCCCTATTTCATCTCATTTTTGGAAAGCTATGCCATCTTCTTGTGGAAATAGAGCATAAAGTATTATGGGCTATAAAAAATTTATATATGTATGAGAAATCAGCTAGTGGGCATAGAATTTTTCAGCTACATGAACTAGAGTTGAGAAATGAAGCTTATGAAAATCATAGAATATATAAAGAAAAAACTAAAACTTTCCATGATAAATACATTAGTAGAAAAAATTTGATGTTGGACAAAAAGTGTGGTTATATGATTCTAGGCTGAAATTATTCCCAGGAAAATTAAAATTAAAATGGAAAGGGCCTTATGTGGTGGAAGAGACATATGATCATGGGGCTATAATGATTAAAGATCCTAAAAGTGATAATAACTTTAAAGTAAATGGACAGCGGCTTAAACATTACATAGAACATGAACGTCTTGCAGAAAAAGAAATTTTATTATTAAAAGAAATTCAAGAGTAAGACCAAGGAGTCTAGCTGGAGACATTAAATTCAGCGCTGCATGGGAGGCAACCCATGGTTTTTATTTCATTTTGTTTGAATTTTTTTTTAAGCTCTATTTTTCTTAGAATTTTGTAGTGCCTATTTCTGTATTTGTCTTTTTTTTGAAAAAGTGCAGGAGGAGTGTAAGACGAAGTGGAAAATTAAAAACGAGGTTGAGGTGATGTCTTTCTGAGCTTCATCATTTATGAAAATATTTTTAATGCTTAACTTTGCAGATATGCATGCTTCACTTGAAAATAATATTTTCTACATATTCTATTTCAAGTTTTCTGTGTCATTGAGGACAATGTCATTTTTAAGTTGGGGGGTGAAGTATTCATTATTAATTTATGCTGTAGGACGATTAAGAACATGTGTTTGCAGTTTATTCAACTTAGAACAGCAACTAAAAAAATAAAAATAAAATAAAATTCGGAAAAATTGCAACATCTATTTTCTGGTTTTCTGTCAGAAACAACAGACTGTCAAAAACAGCAGACAAAAAACAGCCCGAAATTTAAAATTCTAGAAGACCCTTTTCTCACATTTCAATCCCTTAGACATATATTACTGAAATTCGAAATTACAGCTATAAAGAAGATAGTTTTGATTTATTTTTGACAAATTTATTGCTGCTAAAAATAGAACTGAAAATAGAAAATGGAATTGTCAGAACTATCTAATTTACAAATTCCTTACATCATATTACATGCATGAAAAATTAAATCAATTAGATTGATTGATACCAAAAGATACTAGGAAGATTACTATTGAGTCAAAAGAATGATCTAGTAGCATAAAATGTCAGAATACTCCTTGGATACATGATAGATAACACGGATTTGATTTTATAGATTTTCACTTCATGATCTGATGGATAGTATTTACTTGATCTGAAAATTTGATTGATCATTTGAGTTTAATGAAGATTTTTGCACCCTGATCTATAAGACTTGTGAGGAGAAATCACTTATTTCAAAAAAAAAAAAGAGTGAGCAGTGTGAAAAATCTAGAAATGAAGAGTACACATGGAGGGTGTGAGACATCATTCTCATTGTCAAAAATCGTGCATAGAAAAACACTTGCTGAAAAATAAGTGGATAAAGTAAAAGCCTTGAAAATGAAGAATACACATGGAAGGTGTGAGACATCATTCTTATTGTCAAAATTTGTCTACACGAAAAGCTACTTCTCCACTATTTATAAAAAAAAAAAGAAAAAAAAGGAAGAAATATAGTGCAAACTTCAAAAATTAAGTCATAGAAAAAGGGAAATGTAAGATCAATATTATTCTTGGATAAGTATTGATAATTGGAACATCTTGTAAATACATCTATGAGTGAAGAAGTGATAAAGATGTGAATAGAAGAAGTGAAGTCTAGATTGTTATTCCAAGGAGTGTTTAAACATTTAAGTGCTTGACATCATTCTTAAATACTTGATATAAGAATCCAAAGTGTTTAAAGATGCATCGTTTCTAATTATATATTTTTTTTCTGTATTGAAATATGATGTTTGAGATTTGTAAATTTTTATTTTCGTAATTCCATTGCTAATGGACTAGCTATGATTTAAGTTGGGGGGTGTGATAAGTCTTCATTATCATGAGTTAATAACTAGTAAATAATATAGTTTTAGCCTTAACTCATGATAAATAGACATATTTGTGTTAAAGAATGATTTTTGATTTTCAATTGATTAATGTGAATTTTTGGGTAATTATGTGATTTTATATGATTTTTACAGTCTTACTTTTGAGATAAATGAAGAACAAGAAATAAAAATAAAAAATATTGCAAAATGGGGGGACCCGCCGGCCAGCCGGGCCTGCAAGTGGGACGGAAGCGCAGTCGGGGAGTAGCCACAAGCAGGGGCTCAAGCAGCTTAGCTTGGACTGATAGGGGCACGTGTGCGCCACTCTCCTTCCACGTCACTAGTGGCCAGCCGGCTGTAGGGTAAGGAGTGGTCGTACACGCGAGAGAAGGGACTTTGGTTACAAAGTTAACATTACTATATATTCGCCTGAAAAATCGGCGCACGACTAGTGTGGGTTTGAATCCTTCTAGAGTCAAAATTCATATATTTTTATTTGATTATCGTGACTTTCCTGCAAATCGCCGGTGAAGGATTAAGCAACGAGAATCGCTGAATCATCGGCGAAAATCTCGTCAATGCGATTCGTGGAGCATTGCTACTAAAATTGTTGAACAATTCGTGATAAAAAGATCACGAATCCATCAAGTAAATCATCTCCGATTGAATGACAAATAAGCCGTCGTCAGGAAGAGGACAATTCGCCGGGAGACCAGTCACCACCTCCTGAGAGTGTATGAGATGTGATGAAGAGCCTCCTCTTGCTGTGTGGACCTGAGGATGAAGCTCCCTGACATGCGCCCCAGCTCCATCTAGCTCCTCTCCGTTAGGTGATAGCCACCGGAGAACCGTAAAGTCACCGTTTTTCCGCTTTGCCAGGTGACAGCCGCCAGAGATGATTCGACGGCCCACTTCATTGATCTCTAGACTTCGCGAGAAGATCTAGAGATCGCCCATGTCGTCTTTATCAAAGGAGAGCCTTCGAGGTCGTGGACACTGCACGACGATCCTCCCGAACGCTCAACATTCTGTTGCATCACCGACGCATCACCGACGCATCGCCGTCGTGATGCTGGAACTCTGCTTTCCTGCTTTTAATATAATTTACACTTCATTTAATGATACTTTGTGTGATTTTAATTTACCAAACTATACTTCATTCAATTACAATTCTTTCGGCTTTTACAGATCTTAATTTGATTAATTAAGTCGTCTGTAATCGCTTACGTAAGAATCACCAGGCGAAACTCTGTTTTTGCCTGATTCGTGTTCGCCGGGCACTGATGTCATCTTGACATCCGCACCCTTATTTCCTTTTTTTTCGTGAATTTTAAATATATTTTCTTTTTATTTTCTAGTATAAAATTCATAAGAAAATTGTATTCATTGAGAAAAATTCTGAATAATTACCAGACATTATATTACATCTTTGTGATTGACCTAGAAAATTATCGCTATTTTTGGAAGTTTTATTGAATTATAATTGATATATTTATTTAGAAATACTTCTAAATATCCAAAAATTCATATTTTCTAGTTTTATAAATTTTATATTTACGTGATTTTATATACAACGATTGAGTCATGTCAATAGGACATATACTATTTGAATTAAGTTGAAGGTTAAGAGGCTTTCTAATATTATCAATAAGTAAATCAAGTTGTTGTAATCTTTGATTAATCTAATTAACCTCATTTCTAAATTTAGAATCATCATCATGATGCAATTCAGGAATTCTTCTCTTCTTATCCCTGTCATATAATTCAAAAGGGGCTTGATGTCTAGAATTTTCATTTAAATTTTCATAGACTATAAATCTCATTATGAATTTTTTCCATAAAAGCTTCTCCACATATAGAATTAACCATATTTCTATATTGTTCTAATAATCCATCATAAAAGATTCTATTGAGCTGCCACTTGAGTATAGTATAATGAGGACACTTTCTAAGTAAATCTTTGAATGTTTCCCATGTCTCATGTAAACTTTCTCCTAGTCTTTGAGAAAAATTTCATATATATTTTCTTATATTTTGAGTTTTTCCTAAGGATAAAATTTTCAAAGAAAGATTTATTCTATGTATTTCCAGCTAATTAATTCTCTATCTAATGTGGATAGCCAATGACTAGCTTTGTCCCTAAGTGTATGAGGAAATAATTTCATCTTAATAATTTCTAGTGTAACTTGAGAGAGATTAACTAAATCACAGACCATATGAAATTTTTCTAAGTACTGATGAGGTTCCTCTAAAGGTAATCAATGAAAATTAGGGAGTATTTAAAGAATTTCTGAATTTATTTCAAATTTAACAGTAGGTGCTAATGGGACTCTAATATTGGATGCTCCTTGAAATGAATCAAGGATATAATGATTTTTCATGGCCATAGGATTATTCTCAATTTGACTTGTACTTCCTTCAAGATTCATCCAAAATAATATTTCTTTCAGATTTTTAGTTTTGAATGAAATAATGAAAGGATTTTTTAGCCTTAGATGCAAGGATCTTCTACCATGCATAAAAAGTTAATAAATTCGAGGGAAAATTTTAGTAATTGTTACCCTCCTTCAGTAATCTCCAATCCTTGCCTTGCTTTTTTTCATTCCCTTTTTTTAAAAAAAAAATTTGGCAAGAAAAAAAATAAAACAAGAGTTTTTTTTGTGTACTCTAAGAGAAAAATAGAAAACTACTAAATATTATACGATACATCCTCAATAATGGCACCAAAATTTGACGTGACTTAGTCATTGTATATTAAATCACACAAATTTAAAATTTATAAAACTAGAAACTATAATTTTTTTAGATATTTAGAAGTATTTCTAAATAAATATAAGAATTACAATTCAATAAAACTTCTAAAAATAACAATAATTTTTTAGGTCTATCACAAGGATGCAATAAAATATCTGATAATTATTTAGATTTTTCCTCAAAGAATATAATTTTCTATAAATTTAATACTATGAAATGAAAAGAAAATATATTTAAAATTCACAAAAAAGAGAAATAAGGGTGCATACGTGAGGATGATGTCAATGGCCCACAAATGCGAATTGGGTGGAAATAGAGTTCCACCTGATGATTCTAACGTAAGTGATTATAAATGATTTAATTAATCAAATTAAGATCTGTAAAAGTCAGAAGAATTGTAATTGAACGAAGTATATTTTGATAAATTAAAATCACACAAATTATCACTAAATGAAGTGTAAAGTAAGTTGAAAGTAAGAAAATAGAGTTCTGGCGTTGCGACAGCGATGCGTCAGTGATGTACTAGAACCCTGAGCATTTCCACAGTCTCAAAGACTCTCCTTAGACAAAGACGACGTGGGCAATCTCTAGATCTCCTTGTGAAGTTTAGAGATTAATGAAATGGGTCATCGAATCATCTCCGGCAGCTATCACCTAGCAGAGCAGAAAAACGACAACTTTGTGGCTCTCTAGCAGTTGTCACTGACGTGACTCAGTCGTTGTATATTAAATCACGCAAATATTAAATTTATAAAACTAGAAAATACGAATTTTCAGATATTTAGAAGTATTTCTAAATAAATATATCAATTATAATTCAATAAAAATTCCAAAAATAGCGGTAATTTTCCAGGTCGATCACAGGGATGTAATATAATATCTGGGAATTATTCAGAATTTTTCTCAATGAGTACGATTTTCTTACGAATTTTATACTAGGAAATAAAAAGAAAATATATTTAAAATTCACGAAAAAAAGGAAATAAGGGTGTGGACGTCAGGATGACGTCAGCGCCTGGCAAACGCGAATCAGGCGGAAACAGAGTTCCGCCCGACAATTCTTACGTAGGCGATTACAGACGACTCAATTAATCAAATTAAGATCTGTAAAAGTCGGAAGAATCGTAATTGAATGAAGTATAGTTTGGTAAATTAAAATCAACAAAGTATCACTAAATGAAGCGTAAATTAAATTGAAAGCAGGAAAACAGAGTTCCGGCGTCGCGACGGCGATGCGTCGGCGATGCACCGGAATCCTGAGCGTTCGGGAGGGTCGTCGTGCAGTGTCCACGGCCTCGAAGGCTCTCCTTGGACAAAGACGACGTGGGCAATCTCTAGATCTTCTCGCGAAGTCTAGAGATCAATGAAGTGGGTCGTTGAATCGTCTCCGGCGGCTGTCACTCGGCAGAGCGGAAAAACGGCGACTTTGCGGCTCTCCGGCGGCTGTCACCCGACGGAGAGGGGCTGGATGGAGGTGAGGCGCGTGTTAGGGAGCTTCATCCTCAGGTCCGCGCAGCAAGAGGAGGCTCTTCATCGCATCTGGTACGCTCTCAGGAGGTGGCGACTGGTCTCCCAACAGATCGTCCTCTTCCCGACGACGGCTTGTTCGTCGATCAATCGGAGATGATTTACTCGATGGATTCGCGATCCTTTTATCGTGAATCGTTGAGCAATTTTAGTAGCAATGCTCCGCGAATCGTGTTGACGAGATTTTTGCCGATGATCCAGCGATTCTCGTTGCTTAATCCTTCACCGGCGATCTGCAGGAAAGTCGCGATAATCAGATAAAAATATATGAATTTTGACTCTGGGAGGATTCGAACCCGCGCCGGTCGCCCCACCTCTTCTGAGGAAGGTGTGGGTTTAGTCCCACATCGGTTGTACGCCGAGTTTTCGGGCGAATATATAGTAATGTTAGCTTTGTGAGCAAAGTCCCTTCTCTCGCGTGTACAACCACTCCTTGCCCCACAGCCGGCTGGCCACCGGTGACGTGGAAGGGGAGTGGCGTACGCGTGCCTGTCGGTCCCCAAGCAAGCCGCTCGAGCCCCTGCTCACGGCTTCTCCCCGACTGCGCTTCCGACCCGCTTGCGGGCCTGGTTGGCCGGCGGGTCCCCCCATTTTGCAATATTTTTATTTTTATTTCTTGTTCTTCATTTATCTCAAAACTAAGACTGTAAAAATCGTATAAAATCACATAATTACCCAAAAATTCTATAAGTCTATTTATCATGAGTTAAGGCTAAAACTATATTATTTACTAATTATTAACTCATGATAATGAAGACTTATCAGTCACCCAACAAAAAGGAGTTGGATAAAGGTGGGGCGCATGTCAAGAAACCTTATCTCAAGTCTGTGAAGCAAGAGGAAGCTCTTCATCGAATCTGGTATGCCCTCAGGAGGTGGTGACTCGTCTCCCAGCGGATCGCCCTCTTCCCAACGACAACTTGTTCCTCAATCAATCGGAGATCATTTACTCAATAGATTCGCGATCCTTTTATTGCAAATCTTTCAGCAATTTTAGTAACAATGTTCTGCAAATTACGTTGACGAGATTTTTGCTGATGATCTAGTAATTCTGATTGCTTAATCCTTCACTGGCAATCTATAGGAAAGTTGAGATAATGAGATAAAGATATATGACTTTTGGCTCTAGAAGGCCTCAAACCCACACCGATTGCCCGCCTCTTCTGAGGAAGGTGTGATGTGGGTTTAGTCCCACATCGATTGTGCACCGATTTTTCAGGCAAATATATAGTAATGTTAGATTTCTAAGCAAAGTCCCTTCTCTCGCGTGTACGACCACTCCTTGCCCCACAACTAGCTGGCCACCAGTGATGTGGAAGGGGAGTGGCGCACATGTGCCCCTATTGGTCCAAGCCGCTCAAGCCCCTACTCGTAGCTACTCCCCTCATTTTGTCTTCTTTTTATTTTTTATTTCTTTTTCTTCATTTGTCTCAAAAGTAAGACTATAAAAATTATATAAATTTATATAAAATCACATAATTACCCAAAAATTCACATTAATCAATTTAAAACCACTTTTCACACTTTAACATAAATATAAGTCTATTTATCATGATTTAAGACTAAAACTATATTATTTACTAATTATTAACTCATGATGATGAAGACTTATCACCGACATACTCTTAGAGGAGCTTCCTAGAGAGCTGCCTCCATTAAGGCACATTCAGCATGCTATCGACTTGGTTCCTAGAGCATTACTCCTGAACCTGCTGTACTATCACATGGAGCTGGCCAAGTACGAGGAGCTTAGTCGACAGGTACAAGAGCTTTTGGACAAAGGACTCATCTAGTTGAGCCTTAGTCCCTATGTCGTGCCTGCATTACTAGTGCCAAAAAAGGATGGCACTTGGCGCATGTGTTGTAATAGTCGTGCGATCAATAGAATAATGGTTAAATACCATTTTCTGATCCTACAATTACAAGACTTATTTGACATGATGATAGGAGCCACTATCTTTTCAAAGATAGATCTACATAGTGGTTATCATCAGGTCAAGATACATCTAGGGGACGAGTAGAAGACCACCTTTAAGATCAAGGAGGGCCTATACGAGTGGAGGGTCATGCCATTTGGCCTCTCCAATGCATCTAGTACGTTCCAGAGGCTAATGAACAAGGTTTTACGCCCATTCATTGGCAAGTTTGTCGTAGTATACTTTGACGACATCTTGGTCTACAATAGTACCCGAGACTCCCACCTCCAACACTTACGATAGGTGTTTGAGGCACTTCGACAGGAGAAGCTTTATGCCCATCCTAAGAAGTGTAGTTTCTTCACTTTTGAGGTTTTCCTTGGTTTTGTCATCTTCGAGTGAGGAGTTTCCACGGACCCCAAAAAGCTCTACACAATAGAAACCTGGGCACGACCAGGCAGCATGCACGACATCTAGAGCTTCATTGGACTAGCAACGTTCTACCGTTGCTTCATTCGGGACTTTAGTTCCGCTATCGCTCTACTTACTAATTACCTCAAGAATGAGACCTTTCTTTGGACAGAGACAGCTGAATAGGCCTTCAATTGGGTGAAGGCTCTTATCACTTAAGCACCAATACTTTGCCTACTCGACTTTGGCAAGGTATTTGAAGCCGCTTATGATGCCTCGGGCGTCAGTATTGGGGGTGTCCTTAGCCAAGCAGGCCATCCCATAGAGTACTTCAGCGAGAAGCTGAATGACGTAAGGCTTAGATACTCCACTTACGATCGTGAGTTCTATGCCGTCATTTAGGCTCTCAAACACTGGTGCCATTACCTCCTTTATAAGGAGTTTGTGCTCTTCTTGGACCATGAGGCCTTGAAGTATCTACACTCTCAACGGAAGCTGAGTGATCGACACCCACGATTGGTCGAGTACTTGTAGGACTTCACCTTTGTCCTTCATCACAAGAAGGGCAAGGAGAACGTGATGGCAGACGTCCTCTACTGATGAGTCTACTTGCTGAACCTCGTGATGGTTCAGATGACAAGATTGGAGTCCCTACCAAATTCTTACGCAAATTGCCCAAACTACGACCTTGTTCTATGAGCACTCTTAGATGGTCCATCTCGAGATCATAAAGACTTCCTTGTGGTCAATGGATGTCTATTCTTTAAGAGTAGACGTGCATTCCACACACATCCCTCCATGACTTCCTCACTTGAGAATGTCACGCAGGAGGTCTATTCGGCCATTTCAGTCGCGATAAGACCATCGCAACGATCGAGTACCAATTCTACTAGCCGACCCTCAAGCACGATGTAGGGAACATCGTTGCTCAGTGTCGAGTGTGCGCACTCGCCAAGCAGGTAAAGAAGAATGCTGGACTCTACACATCACTTCCAGTGCCGACCCACCCATGGGACAACGACAACATGGACTTCATTTTGAGACTCTCACACACTACATGACGACACAACTCGATCATGGTGGTCGTCGATAGGTTTTCAAAGATGGCACACTTCATGTCATGTTCGAAAACCTCCAATGCCTCTAAGGTCGCTAGCCTCTACTTTAGAGAGGTTGTGCGCCTTCATGGACTACCTAAGTCTATAGTCTCAAACTGTGATGTACGGTTTACCAACCACTTTCAGAGGACTCTTTGGAGCTTACTTGGGACTAAGCTCAAGTTCTCCATTGCTTACCATCCACAGATTGACGGCTAGACCGAGGTTGTCAATCGTAGCTTAGGGAATCTACTTCAGTCATTAGTTGACGAGAGCTTGACCACTTAGGATCTGATCATACCACATGCTGAGTTTGCCTATAACTCCTCGACCAGTTGTACCACTAGCATGAGCCCCTTTGAGATCACACATGGCTTAGCACCCCACAAGCCCCTAGATCTAGTACCCCTGGACTCTCATGTTAGAGTTTCAAAAGATGGTGTCGCATTCGCCCAGCATGTTAGTTAGTTGCATTAGGACATCCACAATAGGATATAGAGTCAGAATACATTGTACAAGCAGGTTGCTGATATGCATTGTCAACCCTAGATCTTCTAGGTGGGAGACTAGGTTATGATGAGGATGAGGCCCAAGCATTACGCTCTTGACTCTACTATGAAGCTTCAGGCTCGTAGCATTGGCCTGTTTCGTGTTCTTTCTCAGATAGGCAAGAATGCCTATGCCGTCGACATCCCTCCTTCTTGGGGGATTAGCTCCACATTCAACGTGGCAGATCTGGCGTTGTACCAAGCCCCACCTCTTTCATCTAACATCGAGCCCTCATCTATGGCCCCTTCTCTGAGAGAGAGTTTGCCATGGAGTCCACTCCCCCCATTTTACATCCTGATTGGCACGAGTGAGTTGAGGAGAATCTTCGGGAGGTAATTGACTTTAGAGGGGCGGAGTTTCGTAAAGATTCTTAGTATGTTGACAGGGTCTCTCGTCTGAGGACGATGCTTAGATTTCAGAGGTGGACCTAGAGCGACTACGATTAGACCTAGTAGAGCCCCTGCCTTCCCCACTTGCCAACTTGTCAAAGTCAAGTTCTTTCGACCCTGAGAGGATTGATGGCGAGTGAGACCTATCTCCATCAGCTCTGGAGACACCGGCAGTCCGAGTTCAGCCCAATTGACACGCGAAGATGAAGGAGCCTGGCTTTTGCTACACAGCCTAGCCCTTCAAGACAATGACATTCCATCTTTGCGATGACGACAAGTTCGAGCTTGCCCTTATCTTTCTTTGTATTTTCACGTTGACTTGTTGGGCCTTGCATTTGTGTGTTAGCAGGCCTAGTTCTATGTGTGTGTGTTGTTATTTGTCTCTCCCTTTCTTTAGGGTTTTATTGGGTCTCTCTTTTGAGGCCCAATTAAAACCCTAAGGGGGGGGGGGACCTATGTTTTTTTCCTTTTGGGCCTCTTTTGGGGCTTATTTGGGTCTTCATTTGAGGCCCACTTAAGCACCGTACGAGGGCCCTCCTCTTTCTCCTTTTAGGGGAGCTTATTGAGTCTCTCTTTTAGAGGTCTAATAAGACCCTCTTGTAGCCTTTTTGTGGCTTATGGGCTTGAGGGCCTCAAGTGGGCACACCTCCCCTTAGCCCACTTGTGGGCCCTATATAAGGGAAGGTAGGACCCCCCTTCAACCAGGAAGCACTGAATTTTGTGAGAGATTATTGTTTTTGAGTTATCTTCTTCATGACCTAGGATAGGGAGGGAAGGAGAGAGAAAAGCCGTCAATACCCTTTGAGGACTTCGTTCTCCGTGACACTATTGCTTGAGAAGTCCTACCGCCACTTGAGACCAATTGCTGCCACCAGATATCTTCATTGCTGCCTGTGAGATTGCCGCCATCACCATGGTTGTAGTTGCTGCTTGATAAGTCTTCATTATTGAGTTAATAATTAGTAAATAATATAGTTTTAGCCTTAACTCATGATAAATAGACTTATATTTATGTTAAAAAATGATTTGTGGTTTTCAATTGATTAATGTAAATTTTTGGGTAATTTGTGATTTTATATGATTTTTACAGTCTTACTTTTGAGATAAATGAAGAACAAGAAATAAAAATAAAAATATTGCAAAAATGGGGGGACCTGCTGGCCAGCCGGGCCCACAAGCGGGTCGGAAGCACAATTGGGGAGTAGTCGCGAGCACGGGCTCAAGCGGCTTAGCTTGGACCGATAGGGGCACGTGTGCGCCACTCCCCCTTCCACGTCACTAGTGGCCAGTTGGCTGTGGGGCAAGGAGTGTACATGTGAGAAAAGGGACTTTGCTTACAAAGTTAACATTACTATATATTCGCCCAAAAAATCGGCGCACAACTGATGTGGGACTAAACCCGCGTCACACCTTCCTCACAGGCAAGCGACCGGCGCAAGTTTGAATCCTTCTAGAGTCAAAATTCATATATTTTTATTTGATTATCGTGACTTTCCTGCAGATCGCCGGTGAAGGATTAAGCAAAGAAAATCGCTAGATCATTAGTGAAAATCTCATCAACATGATTCGCGGAGCATTGCTACTAAAATTGCTAAACAATTCGCGATAAAAGGATCGCAAATCCATCGAGTAAATCATCTCCGATTGATTGACGAACAAGCCGTCGTCAGCAAGAGGATGATCTGTTGGGAGACCAGTCGCCACCTCCTGAGAGCGTACCAGATGTGATGAAGAGCCTCCTCTTGCTGTGCAGACCTAAGGATGAAGCTCCCTGACACGTGCCCCACCCCCATCCAGCTCCTCTCTACTGGGTGACAGCCACCGGAGAGTCGTAAAATCACCATTTTTCCGCTCCGCCAGGTGACAGCCGCCGGAGATGATTTGACGACCCACTTCATTGATCTCTAGACTTCGCGAGAAGATCTAGAGATTGCCCACATCGTCTTTGTCCAAGGAGAGCCTTCGAGGCTGTGGACACTACACGACGATCCTCCCAAACGCTCAAGATTCCGGTGCATCGCCAACGCATCGCCGTTGCGACGCCAGAACTCTATTTTCCTACTTTCAATTTAATTTATGCTTCATTTAGTGATACTTTGTGTGATTTTAATTTACCAAACTATACTTCGTTCAATTACGATTCTTTTAGCTTTTACAAATCTTAATTTGATTAATTAAGTCGTTTGTAATTGCTTACATAAGAATCACTGGACGGAACTCTGTTTTCACCTGATTCGTGTTTGCCGGGTGCTGATGTCATCTTGATGTCAGCACCCTTATTTCCTTTTTTTTCGTAAATTTTAAATATATTTCCTTTTTATTTCCTAGTATAAAATTTGTAAGAAAATTGTATTCATTGAGAAAAATTCTGAATAATTACCAGATATTATATTACATCTTTGTGGTCGACTTGGAAAGTTATCACTATTTTTGGAATTTTTATTGAATTATAATTAATATATTTATTTAGAAATACTTCTAAATATCCAAAAATTTATATTTTCTAGTTTTATAAATTTTATATTTGCATGATTTAATATACAACGACTGAGTCACATCACCACTGCAACCACCACCACCTTTGTTACAACCCCATCATGCCGTTGTGATGAAAGGGGCATGCTTCGCCTCCCTACGAGCCGTTGCCGAGCACTTCGCTAGAGTCTCTTGACTCCCAATTCGACTGCCCCCTCTTCCTTCGGAACTCCACCATAAACTTGCCAGAGCTGCCATCTGCCGCTCCGCCTAGTCACTAGCTGATAAGTCTTCATTATCATGAGGTAATAATTAGTAAATGATATAGTTTTAACCTTAACTCATGATAAATAGACTTATATTTATGTTAAAGTATGAAAAGTGGTTTTCAATTGATTAATGTGAATTTTTGGATAATTATGTGATTTTATATGAATTTATATGATTTTTATAGTTTTGCTTTTGAGATAAATGAAGAAAAAGAAATAATAAAAAAAAAAGACAAAATGAGGGGGACCTGTCGTCCAACTAGGCCCGCAAGTAGGTCAGAAGCTTAGTCGGAGAGTAGCCGCAAGTAGGGGCTCAAGTGGCTTGGACTGATAGGAGCACGTGTGCGCCACTCCCCTTCCACGTCACCAGTGGCTAGTCGACTGTGGGGTAGGGAGTGGTCGTACACATAAGAGAAGAGAATTGCTTTGAAATGTAACATTACTATATATTCGCTTGAAAATTCGGTGCACAACCGATGTGGGACTAAACCCATGTTACACCTTCCCCAGAAGGGGGACAGGCAAACAATGTGGGTTCGAATCCTCCCAAAGCCAAAAGTCATATTTTATCTGATTATTGACGTGACTCAGTCGTTGTATGTTAAATCACGCAAATTTAAAATTTATAAAACTAGAAAATACGAATTTTCGGATATTTAGAAGTATTTCAAAATAAATAGATCAATTATAATTCAATACAAATCCCAAAAATAGTGGTAATTTTCCAGGTCGATCATAGGGATGTAATATAATATCTGGTAATTATTCAGAATTTTTCTCAATGAGTACGATTTTCTTACGAATTTTATACTATGAAATAAAAAGGAAATATCTTTAAAATTCACAAAAAAGGAAATAAGGGTGCGGACGTCAGGATGACGTCAGCGCCCGGCGAACGTGAATCAGGCGGAAATAGAGTTCCGCCCGGCGATTCTTACGTAGGCGATTACAGACGACTCAATTAATCAAATTAAGATCTATAAAAGCCGGAAGAATCGTAATTGAACGAAGTATAGTTTGGTAAATAAAAATCAACAAAGTATCACTAAATGAAGCGTAAATTAAATTGAAAGTAGGAAAACAGAGTTCCGGCGTCGCGACGGCGATGCGTCGACGATGCACCGGAATCCTGAGCGTTCGGGAGGATCGTCGTGCAGTGTCCACGGCCTCAAAGGCTCTCCTTGGACAAAGACGACTTGGGCAATCTCTAGATAAAGCAGGAAAACAGAGTTCCGGCGTCGCGACGGCGACGCGTCGACGATGCACCGGAATCCTGAGCATTCGGGAGGGTCGTCGTGCAGTGTCCACGGCCTCGAAGGCTCTCTTTGGACAAAGACGACGTGGGCAATCTCTAGATCTTCTCGCGAAGTCTAGAGACCAATGAAGTGGGTCGTCGAATCGTCTCCGGCGGCTGTCACCCGGCGGAGCGGAAAAACGGCGACTTTGCGGCTCTCCGGCGGCTGTCACCCGATGGAGAGGGGCTGGATGGAGGTGAGGCGCGTGTTAGGGAGCTTCATCCTCAGGTCCGCGCAGCAAGAGGAGGCTCTTCATTGCATCTGGTACGCTCTCAGGAGGTGGCGACTGGTCTCCCGGCGGATCGTCCTCTTCCCGACGACGGCTTGTTCGTCGATCAATCGGAGATGATTTACTCGATGGATTGCGATCCTTTTATCGTGAATCGTTCAGAAATTTTAGTAGCAATGCTCCGCGAATCGCGTTGACGAGATTTTCGCCAATGATCTAGCGATTCCGGTTGCTTAATCCTTCACCGGCGATCTGCAGGAAAGTCGCGATAATCAGTTAAAAATATATGAATTTTGACTCTGGGAGGATTCAAACCTGCGGCGGTCGCCCGCCCATTTAGTCCCACATCGGTTGTGCGCGGATTATTCGGGCGATTATATAGTAAAGTTAGCTTTCTATGCAAATCCTCTCGCGTGTACGACTACTCCTTGCCCCACAGCCGGCAGACCACGGGTGACGTGGAAGGGGAGTGGCGCACACGTGCCCCTATCGATCCAAGCAAGCCGCTCGAGCCCCTGCCCGCGGCTACTCCCCGACTGCGCTTCCGACCCGTTTGCAGGCCCGGCTGGCTGGCGGGTCCCCCAATTTTGCAATATTTTTATTTTTATTTCTTGTTCTTCATTTATCTCAAAACTAAGACTGTAAAAATCGTATAAAATCACATAATTACCCAAAAATTCACGTTAATCAACTGAAAACCACTTTTCACACTTTAACACAAATATAAGTCTATTTATCATGAGTTAAGGCTAAAACTATATTATTTACTAATTATTAACTCATGGGAATGAAGACTTATCACACCCCCCAACTTAAATCATTGCTAGTCCCTTAGCAATGGAATTACGAAAATAAAAATTTACAAATTTTAAACATCATATTTCAATACAAAAAAATAAAAATACAATTAGAAATGATGCACCTTTAGACACTTTGGACTCTTATATCAAGTCTTTAAGAATGATGTCAAGCACTTAAATGTTTAAACACTCCTTGGAATAACAATCTAGACTTCACTTCTTCTATTCACATCTTTATCACTTCTTCACTCATAGATGTATTTACAAGATGTTTCAATTATCAATACTCATCCAAGAATAATATTGATCTTACATTTCCCTTTTTCTATGACTTGATTTTTGAAGTTTGCACTATATTTCTTCCTTCTTTTTTTTTTATATATATAGTGGATAAGTAGCTTTTCCTGTAGACAAATTTCGACAATAAGAATGATGTCTCACACCCTCCATGTGTACTCTTCATTTTCAGGGCTTTCACTTTATCCACTTATTTTTCAGCAAGTGTTTTTCTATACACGATTTTCGACAATGAGAATGATGTCTCACACCCTCCATGTGTACTCTTCGTTTCTAGATTTTTCACATTGCTCTCTCTTTTTTTTTTTCTTTTTTTTTTTTCGAAATAAGTGATTTCTCCTCACAAGTCCTATAGATCAGGGTGCAAAAATCTCCATTAAACTCAAATGATCAATCAAATTTTCACATCAAGTAAATATTATCCATCAAGATCATGAAGTGAAAATCTGTAAAATCAAATCCATGTTATCTATCATGTATCCGAGGAGTATTCCAACATTTCATGCTACTAGATCATTCTTTTGACTCAATAATAATCTTCCTAGTATCTTTTGGTATCAATCAATCTAATTGATTTAATTTTTCATGCATGCAATATGATGTAAGGAATTTGTAAATTAGATAGTTCTGACAATTCCGTTTTCTGTTTTCAGTTCTATTTTTAGCAGCAATAAATTTGTCAAAAATAAATCAAAACTATCTTCTTTATAGCTGTAATTTTGAATTTCAGTAATATATATCTAGGGGATTGAAATGTGAGAAAAGGGTCTTCTAGAATTTCAAATTTCGGGCTGTTTTTTGTCTGCTGTTTTTGACAGTCTGTTGTTTCTGACAGAAAACCAGAAAATAGATGTTGCAATTTTTCCGAATTTTATTTTATTTTTATTTTTTTAGTTGCTGTTCTAAGTTGAATAAAATGCAAACACATATTCTTAATCGTCCTACAGCATAAATTAATAATGAATACTTCACCCCCCGACTTAAAAATGACATTGTCCTCAATGACACAAAAAATCGAAACAGAATATGCAGAAAATATAATTTTCAAGTGAAGCATGCATATCTGCAAAGTTAAGCATTAAAAATATTTTCATAAATGATGAAGCTCAGAAAGACATCACCTCAACCTCGTTTTTAATTTTCCACTTCATCTTACACTCCTCCTCCTGCACTTTTTCGAAAGAAAAACAAACACAGAAACAAGTACTGCGAAATTCTAAGAAAAACAGAGATCAAACAGAATGAAATAAAAACCATGGGTTGCCTCCCATGCAGCGCTGAATTTAATGTCTCCAGCTGGACTCCTTGATCTTACTCTTGAATTTCTTTTAATAATAAAATTTCTTTTTCTGCAAGGCGTTCATGTTCTATGTAATGTTTAAGCCGCTGTCCATTTACCTTAAAGTTATGATCACTTTTAGGATCTTTAATCATTACAGCCCCATGATCAAATGTCTCTTCCACCACATAAGGCCCTTTCCATTTTGATTTTAATTTTCCTGGGAATAATTTCAGCCTAGAATCATATAACCACACTTTTTGTCCAACATCAAATTTTTTTCTGCTAATGTATTTATCATGAAAAGTTTTAGTTTTTTCTTTATATATTCTATGATTTTCATAAGCTTCATTCCTCAACTCCTCTAGTTCATGTAACTGAAAAATTCTATGCCCACCAGCTGATTTTTCATCCATACATAAATTTTTTATAGCCCATAATGCTTTATGCTCTATTTCCACAGGAAGATGACATGGCTTTCCAAAAATGAGACGAAATGGGGACATACCTATGGGATTTTTATAAGCTGTTCTATAAGCCCATAATGCATCTTGTAATTTCGTGGGCCAATCTTTCCTATCTGGTCTAACTATTTTTCTCAAAATTCTCTGAATTTCCCTATTTGCTACTTCAGCTTGCCCATTTGTTTGGGGATGATATGGAGTGGCTACTCTATGGTGTACTCCATTCTTTTTCAACAGTTCTCTGAAATTTTTATTTGTAAAATGTGTTCCTCCATCACTAATAATCACTCTAGGACATCCAAATCTCGAAAAAATATTTTCCTGCACAAATTTCATTACGATTTTATGATCATTAGTTCTAGTAGGAATAGCTTCCACCCACTTCGACACATAATCAACAGCAAGCAAAATATATTCATATTTTTCAGCTGATGGGAAGGGACCCATGAAATCTATTCCCCATACATCAAAAATTTCGACTACTAACATATTACTCATGGGCATTTCATCTTTTTTACTCATGTTACTTATAGATTGGCATGAAATACATGTTCTACTAAATTCTATAGAATCTCTAATGATTGTAGGCCAATAAAAACCACACTGGAAAATTTTTGCAGCTGTTTTTCGTCCAGAGAAATGTCCTCCACAGTTAGATGAATGACACATGTTAATAATGCTATGATATTCTTCTTCAGGAACACATCTCCTTAAAATTTGATCATTGCCCAAGTAATATAAATCAGGATCATGCCAAAAATAATTTCTAATCTTAGAAAAGAAATGATTTTTTCTGTTCTTATCCCACTGTTCTGGAGTTTTTCCAGAAACCAGAAAATTAACAATATGTGCATACCATGGTGATGGTTGATGTTGAGCTGCCATCAATTGTTCATCTGGAAATGCGTCTTGTAAAGGTGCTGCATTTATTCCTGTATCACTTAATCTAGAAAGATGGTCAGCAACAACATTCTCGAAACCCTTTTTATCTTTTATTTCTAAGTCAAATTCTTGCAACAATAAAATCCATCTTAATAAACGTGGCTTTGCATCTTTCTTATTTAACAGATATTTTAATGCTGCATGATCAGTATAAATAATAATTTTAGCTCCCAAAATATATGATCTAAACCTTTCTAACGAAAATACTACAGCTAACAATTCTTTTTCAGTCGTGGTATAATTTAATTGAGCATCAGATATAGTTTTACTAGCATATGAAATTACTATGGGTTTTGACTCTTTTGTTTGTCCTAGAACGGCCCCCACTGCATAATTCGATGCGTCACACATTATTTCAAAGGGAAGGGACCAATCAGGAGCTTGTAAAATGGGTGCCTCAGTAAGTAATCTTTTTATTTCGGAAAAAGACTCAAAACATTTCTCATCAAAATTAAAAGGCACATCTTTAGATAATAGCATGGTGAGAGGTTTAGAAATTTTCGAAAAATCTTGAATAAATTTTCTGTAATAACCTGCATGACCCAAGAAAGATCTAATCTGTTTTACTGAATTCGGAGGTTTCATTTTAGATATAATATCGATTTTTGCTCTATCCACCTCTAAACCCTTTTCACTCACAATATGACCCAACACAACTCCCTCTTTAACCATAAAATGTGATTTCTCCCAACTCAAAACTAATTTTTTTTCTATGCATTTCTCAAGTACATGCTGTAAATGATTTAAGCATTCATCAAATGATTCACCAAAAACAGAAAAATCGTCCATAAAAATTTCCATGCATTTTCCAATCATATCAGAAAAAATAGACAGCATACATCTTTGAAATGTGGCTGGAGCATTACACAGACCAAAAGGCATGCGTTTAAAAGCAAAAGTACCAAATGGACAAGTGAAAGTTGTTTTTTCTTGATCTAAAGGGTTTATATAAATTTGATTATAACCAGAGTATCCATCCAGAAAACAAAAAAAGTTTTTTTCCAGCTAATTTTTCTAAAATTTGATCAGTAAATGGTAGGGGAAAATGATCTTTTCTAGTAACTGAATTTAATTTTCTATAATCAATGCAAACTCTCCAACCGGTAGTTAGTCTTGTTTGTATTTCCTCCCCATTTTCGTTTTTTATAACCGTGATCCCTGATTTTTTTGGCACTACTTGTGTAGGACTAACCCATTTGCTATCTGAAATAGGGTAAATAATATCAGCAGCCAGCCACTTTAAAATTTCTTTTTTTACAATTTCCATCATGTTAGGATTTAATCTTCGTTGTGGTTCCCTGCTAGTTCTAGCCCCCTCCTCTAAATATATACTATGCATGCATACTCTCATATCAATGCCCCTTAGATCGTCCATTTTCCAGCCCATAGCCTTCTTATTTTTTCGAAGTACATCTAATAATTCTTCTTCCTGTTCATTACTCAAATCAGCTGCAATAATAACAGGAAATGAATTATTTTCCTCCAAAAACATATATTTTAAACTAGAGGGGAGAGGTTTCAACTCTAAATTCAGATGATCTTCCTCTTTCTTTTCTTCTAAATTTATATTCTCTATTTCCTCTAATTCTTCCAGCACACAGTCATCAATAACATCTGGATCATCAAAATCATCTAGAAGATCTATGGTATGACAATCATATACTTGGGATTTCTTAAGATCATTTGATACCTCAAAAATTTTAATTTCTACTGATTGATCTCCACATGAAATTTTTGCAATACCTGTGGGAAAATCAATATTCATCTTTGCTGTATGCAAAAATGGTCTCCCTAGGATGATTGGTGTATCATAAAACTGTCCATTAAAATCCATTTCCAGCACTACAAAATCAGCTGGAAATTTACACCCTTTAACTGTCACTATCACATTTTCTAAGATACCTTTAGGATGTTTTATGGATCTATCAGCAAATTGTAAGGTAACAGTAGAAGGTTTAAGATCAGAAATATTAAATTTATCACAAATACTTGCAGGTAATAAATTAATACTAGCACCGGTGTCAAGTAATGCATTCTGAAAAATGAATCCACCAATATCACACGAAATTAAAGGAGCACCTGTATCTCTCAATTTAAATGGTAATTGATTTAATAATAACGCACTAGCATGCATAGATAATTTTTCTACTCTAGGTGCCCTTTTTGGTGTACACATTTCTTTCAAAACTCTAGCATATTCAGGAATATGTTCAATGGCAGTGAGTAAAGGAAGACTAATTTGCACATCTTGTAAAATTTTCTTTATTTCTTCATTGTGTTCCTTTTTCTTTCTTTGTCTAGGCTCTAAAGCTTTAGGAAATGGAATGGTTGTCCTCTCTTTCGAAATTTCTTTGGTAGAATCTATAAAATCCTCTTCTACTCCTATTTGATTTTGTTTTGGGGTGTCCACATTTTCTTTTTCTTCTAATGTTTGGGGATAAGGATCAGGTAAGATCTTACCACTCCTTAATGCATTCACTGTCCTAACATTTCCATTTCGTGGGTTTTTTCCTAGATTCATGCTACTAGACTCCCCATGCTGAAATCCTATTGTTGGGCGGCTCCCTGGATTTTCTATGGGCTGACTAGGTAGCTGTCCCTCTTCTCTCTTATTCCCAAGGGCCTCTATAATTTGTTTCTGGTGCTGCATCATTTGATTCATAGTTTGTTGCATCATTTGATTCATAGTTTGTTGCATCATTTGGCTCATTTGCTGCATCATTTCCATAGCATCAGGTTGGGTTTGAGAGGGCTGATTTTTCTGAAATCTATTTTCTTGTTTTGGACGAAATTCAGAGTTTGAATTGGGTCTAAGTGCTTCTGGATTTTGAATATTATTTGGGTCTCTCCATGAAAAATTATTCCTCTAATTAGGATTATAAGAATTTGAAAAATTTTCCCTATTTCTATTAAAACCGTGAGCTACTTGCACTTGTTCTTGCATAGGGTGAAATGATTGATCTAAATTATAACATTGAAGTTCAGAATAATCATTTTCACCATACATAGGACATGTACTATTCGAATTAAGTTGAGGGTTAAAAGGCTTTCTAATATTATCAATAAGTAAATCAATTTTTTCTAATCTTTGATTAATCTGATTAACCTCATTTCTAAGTTTAGAATCATCATCATGATGCAATTCATAAATTTCTCTCTTCATTTCCTTGTCATATAATTCAAAAGAGGCTTGATCTCTAGAATTTTCACTTAAATTCTCATAAAGATTGTAAATCTCATCAGGAGTTTTCTCCATAAAAGCTCCTCCACATATAGAATCAACCATATTTCTATGTTGTTCTAATAATCCATCATAAAAAATTCTATTGAGCTGCCACTTGGGTATAGCATGATGAGGACACTTTCTAAGTAAATCTTTGAATTTTTCCCATGTCTCATGCAAAGTTTCTCCTGGTCTTTGAGAAAAACTCCATATATGTTTTCTCATATTTTGAGTTTTTCCTAAGGGATAAAATTTTCGAAGAAAGGCCTGTTCTATATCTTTCCAGCTAGTTAATTCTCTATCTAATGTGGATAGCCAATGACTAGCTTTGTCCCTAAGTGTATGAGGGAATAATTTCATCTTAATAATTTCTGGTGTAACTTGAGGGAGATTAACTAAATCACAGACCATATGAAATTTTTCTAAGTGCTGATGAGGTTCCTCTAAAGGCAATCCATGAAAATTAGGGAGCATTTGAAAAATTCCTGGATTTATTTCGAATTTAATAGTGGGTGCTAATGGGACTCTAATATTGGATGCTCTTTGAAATGAATCAGGGATATAATGATTTTTCATGGCCATAGGATTGTTCTCAGTTTGACCTGTACTTCCTTCAGGATCCATCAAAATTAATTTTTCTTTTGGATTTTTATTTTTGAATGAAATAATGAAAGGATTTTCTAGCCTTGGATGCAAGGATCTTCTACCATGCATAAAAATCAATAAATTCGAGGGAAAAAGTTAGTAACTGTTACCCTCCTTCAGGATGCTCCAGTCCTTGCCGTGCTTCTTTTCGTTCCCTTTTTCTAATAAAAATCGGCAAAAAGAAAATAAAACAAGAGTAAAGTTTTTTTTTTTTTTTGTGTACTCTAAGAGAAAAACAGAAAAATACTAAATATTATGCAATACATCCCCGGCAACGGCGCCAAAATTTGACATGACTCAGTCGTTGTATGTTAAATCACGCAAATTTAAAATTTATAAAACTAGAAAATACGAATTTTCGGATATTTAGAAGTATTTCAAAATAAATAGATCAATTATAATTCAATAAAAATCTCAAAAATAGTGGTAATTTTCCAGGTCGATCACAGGGATGTAATATAATATCTGGTAAATATTCAGAATTTTTCTCAATGAGTACGATTTTATTACGGATTTTATACTATGAAATAAAAAGGAAATATATTTAAAATTCACAAAAAAAAAGAGGAAATAAGGGTGCGGACGTCAGGATGACGTCAGCGCCCGGCGAACGCGAATCAGGCGGAAACAGAGTTCCGCCCGGCGATTCTTACGTAGGCGATTACAGACGACTCAATTAATCAAATTAAGATCTGTAAAAACCGGAAGAATCGTAATTGAACGAAGTATAGTTTGGTAAATAAAAATCAACAAAGTATCACTAAATGAAGCGTAAATTAAATTGAAAGCAGGAAAACAGAGTTCCGGCGTCGCGACGGCGATGCGTCGGCAATGCACCGGAATCCTGAGCGTTTGGGAGGATCGTCGTGCAGTGTCCACGGCCTCGAAGGCTCTCCTTGGACAAAGACGACGTGGACAATCTCTAGATAAAGCAGGAAAACAGAGTTCCGACGTCGCGACGGCGATGCGTCGGCGATGCACCGGAATCCTGAGTGTTTGGGAGGGTCGTCGTGCAGTGTCCACAGCCTCGAAGGCTCTCCTTGGACAAAGACGACGTGGGCAATCTCTAGATCTTCTCGCGAAGTCTAGAGATCAATGAAGTAGGTCGTCGAATCGTCTCCAGCGGCTGTCACCCGGCGGAGCGGAAAAACGGCGACTTTGCGGCTCTCCGGCGGCTGTCACCCGACGGAGAGGAGCTGGATGGAGGTGGGGCGTGTGTTAGGGAGCTTCATCCTCAGGTCCACGCAGCAAGAGGAGGCTCTTCATCGCATCTGGTACGCTCTCAGGAGGTGGCGACTGGTCTCCCGGCAGATCGTCCTCTTTCCGACGACGGCTTGTTCGTCGATCAATCGGAGATGATTTACTCGATGGATTGCGATCCTTTTATCGCGAATCGTTCAGAAATTTTAGTAGCAATGCTCCGCGAATCGTGTTGACGAGATTTTCGCCGATGATCCAGCGATTCCGGTTGCTTAATCCTTCACCGGCGATCTACAGGAAAGTCGCGATAATCAGTTAAAAATATATGAATTTTGACTCTGGGAGGATTCGAACCCGCGGCGGTCGCCCGCCCCTTACAAGGTGGATTTAGTCCCACATCGGTTGTGCGCGGATTATTCGGGCGAATATATAGTAAAGTTAGCTTTCTAGGCAAAGTCCTCTCGCGTGTACGACCACTCCTTGCCCCACAGCCGGCTGACCACCGGTGACGTGGAAGGGGAGTGCGCACACGTGCCCCTATCGATCCAAGCAAGCCGCTCCAGCCCCTGCTCGCGACTACTCCCCGACTGCGCTTCCGACCCGCTTGCGGGCCCGGCTGGCCGGCGGATCCTCTCATTTTGCAATATTTTTATTTTTATTTCTTGTTCTTCGTTTATCTCAAAACTAAGACTGTAAAAATCGTATAAAATCACATAATTACCCAAAAATTCACGTTAATCAACTGAAAACCACTTTTCATGCTTTAACACAAATATAAGTCTATTTATCATGAGTTAAGGCTAAAACTATATTATTTACTAATTATTAACTCATGATAATGAAGACTTATCAATTATCATGACTTTCCTGCAGATTGCCGGTGAAGGATTAGGTAACCAGAATCATTGGATCATTGACAAAAATCTCATCAATGCGATTCGCAAAGTATTATTACTAAAATTGTCGAAGGATTCACGATAAAAAGATCGCGAATCCATCAAGTAAATCATCTCCGATTGATTGACAAACAAGTCGTCATCAAGAAGAGGATGATCTATCGAGAGACGAGTCACCACCTCTTGAGAGCATACCAGATGCGATGAAGACCCTCCTCTTGCTGTGCAGACCTGAGGATGAAACTCCTTGACATGCACCCCACCTCCATTCAACTGCTCTCTCTCGGGTGACAGCCACCGGAGAGCCGCAAAGTCACTGTTTTTCTACTCTGCCGGGTGACAATTGCCAGAGACAATTCGACAACCCATTTCATTAATCTCTAGACTTCACAAGGAGATCTAGAGATTGTCCATGTCGTCTTTGTCAAAGGAGAGCCTTCAAGGCTGTGGACACTACACGACAATTGACATGACTTAGTCATTGTATATTAAATCACACAAATCTAAAATTTATAAAACTAGAAAATATGAATTTTTGGATATTTAGAAGTATTTGTAAATAAATATATAAATTATAATTTCATCAAATTTCCAAAAATAGTGGTAATTTTTTACGTCGATCACAAGGATGTAATATAATATCTGGTAATTATTCAGATTTTTTCTCAATGAATACGATTTTCTATGAATTTATACTAGGAAATAAAAAGGAAATATATTTAAAATTCACGAAAAAAGAAAATAAAGGTGCAGACGTCAAGACGATGTCAGCACCCCACGAATGTGAATCGGACGGAAATAGAGTTCTGCCCAATGATTCTTACGTAAGTGATTACAGACGATTTAATTAATCAAATTAAGATTTGTAAAAGTCAGAAGAATTGTAATTGAACGAAGTAACTTTTGGTAAATTAAAATCACACAAATTATCACTAAATGAAGTGTAAAGTAAGTTGAAAGTAAGAAAACATAGTTTTGGCATTGCAACGGCGATACATCGGTGATGCATTGGAATCTTGAGCATTCAGGAGGATCGTCGTGTAGTGTCCATGGCCTTGAAGGCTCTCCTTAGACAAAGACGACATAGGCAATCTCTAGATCTACTCGAGAAGTCTAGAGATTAATGAAATGGGTCGTTGAGTCATCTCTACTGGCTGTCACCTGGCAGAGCGGAAAAACGGCGACTTTGCGGCTCTTTGGCAGCTGTCACTTGAGGGAGAGGAGCTAGATGGAGGTGGGGCGTGTGTCAAGGAGGTTCATCCTTAGGTCCGCGCAGCAAGAGGAGGCTCTTCATCGCATCTGGTACGCTCTCAAGAGGTGGCAACTCGTCTCTCGACGGATCGTCCTCCTCTCGACGACGGCTTATTCGTCGATCAATCGGAGATGATTTACTTGATAGATTCACAATCTTTTTATCGCGAATCGTTCAGCAATTGTAGTAACAATGCTCTACAAATCACGTTAACTAGATTTTCGCCAATGATCCAGCGATTCTCGTTGCTTAATCCTTTGCTAGCAATCTATAGGAATGTCATAATAATCAGATAAAAATATATGACTTTTGACTCTAGGAGGATTCAAACCCGCACTAGTTGCCCCGCCCCTTTAGAGGAAGGTGTGAAGGGGGTTTAGTCTCATATTAGTTGTGCATTGATTTTTCGAGCGAATATATACTAATGTTAGATTTCTAAGCAAAGCTTCTTCTCTCACATGTACAACCACTCCATGCCCCATAGCCGAGTGGCCACTAGTGATGTAAAAGGGGAATGGCGCACACGTGCCCCTATCAGTTCCAAGCCGCTCAAGCCCCTACTTGCGGCTACTCGATTGAGCTTCTGACTTGCTTGCAGGCCTGACTGGCCGGTGGGTCCCCCTTGTTTTGTCTTCTTTTTATTTTTTATTTCTTTTTCTTCATTTATTGCAAAAGCAAAATTGTAAAAATCATATAAGTTTGTGTAAAATCACATAATTACCCAAAAATTTACATTAATCAACTTAAAACTACTTTTTACACTTTAACATAAATATAAGTCTATTTATCATAATTTAAGGCTAAAACTATATTCTTTACTAATTATTAACTCATGATAATGAAGACTTATCAGGTTACCACCTAACCTCAGTCCCTTGAGGACGCTCACTGAGCTTCCATACCACTAGTAGACTGAATTACCTCGATCATGATCATCGTTGAGGGAATCTTTGTCATCGCGACGCATCATTTCACAACGATGGCCACGATCAATTGGGTGGTTGTTGGCCATAGGATACTTATGATTGCCGTGAGCTGGTTGATAAGTCTTCATTATCATGAGTTAATAATCAGTAAATAATATAGTTTTAGCCTTAACTCATGATAAATAGACTTATATTTGTGTTAAAGCATGAAAAGTGGTTTTCAGTTGATTAACGTGAATTTTTGGGTAATTATGTGATTTTATACGATTTTTACAGTCTTAGTTTTGAGATAAATGAAGAACAAGAAATAAAAATAAAAATATTGCAAAATGGGGGAACCCGCCGGCCAGCCGGGCCCGCATGCGGGTCGGAAGCGCAGTCGGGGAGTAGCCGCGAGCAGGGGCTCGAGCAGCTTGCTTGGATCGATAGGGGCACGTGTGCGCCACTCCCCTTCCACGTCACCGGTGGTCAGCCGGCTGTGGGGCAAGGAGTGGTCGTACACGCGAGAGGACTTTGCCTAGAAAGCTAACTTTACTCTATATTCGCCCGAATAATCCGCCCACAACCGATGTGGGACTAAATCCACCTTGTAACGGGCGGGCGACCGCCGCGGGTTCGAATCCTCCCAGTGTCAAAATTCATATATTTTTAACTGATTATCGCGACTTTCCTGCAGATCGCCGGTGAAGGATTAAGCAACCGGAATCGCTAGATCATCGGCGAAAATCTCATCAACGCGATTCGCGGAGCATTGCTACTAAAATTTCTGAACGATTCGCGATAAAAGGATCGCAATCCATCGAGTAAATCATCTCCGATTGATCAACGAACAAGCCGTCGTCGAGAAGAGGACGATCTGCCGGGAGACCAGTCGCCACCTCCTGAGAGCGTACCAGATGCGATGAAGAGCCTCCTCTTGCTGCGCGGACCTGAGGATGAAGCTCCCTAACACGTGCCTCACCTCCATCCAGCTCCTCTCCATCGGGTGACAGCCGCCGGAGAGCCGCAAAGTCGCCGTTTTTCCGCTCCGCCAGGTGACAGCCGCCGGAGACGATTCGACGACCCACTTCATTGATCTCTAGACTTCGCGAGAAGATCTAGAGATTGCCCACGTCGTCTTTGTCCAAGGAGAGCCTTCGAGGCCGTGGACACTACACGACGATCCTCCCGAACACTCAGGATTCCGGTGCATCGCCGACGCATCGCCGTCGCGACGCCAAAACTCTGTTTTCCTGCTTTTAATTTACTTTACGCTTCATTTAGTGATAATTTTTGTGTTTTTAAGTTACCAAAGTATACTTTGTTCAATTACGATTCTTCCGGCTTATACAGATCTTAATTTGATTAATTAAATCATCTATAATCGCTTACGCAAGAATCGCCGGGTGGAACTCTATTTCCGCCTGATTCGTGTTGGTCGGGCGCTGACGTCATCTTGACGTCCGCGTCCTTATTTCCCTTTTTTTTCGTGAATTTTAAATATATTTCCTTTTTATTTCCTAGTATAAAATTCATAGAAAATCGTATTCATTGAGAAAAATTCTGAATAATTACCAGATATTATATTACATCCCTGTGATCGACCTGGAAAATTACTGCCATTTTTGGAAGTTTTATTGAATTATAATTGATATATTTATTTAGAAATACTTCTAAATATCCGAAAATTCGTATTTTCTAGTTTTATAAATTTTATATTTGCGTGATTTAACATACAACGACTGAGTCACGTCAAATTTTGGCGCCGTTGCCGGGGATGTATTGAATAATATTTAGTATTTTTCTGTTTTTCTCTTAGAGTACACAAAAAAAAAAACTTTACTCTTGTTTTATTTTCTTTTTGCCGATTTTTATTAGAAAAAGGGAACGAAAAGAAGCACGGCAAGGACTGGAGCATCCTGAAGGAGGGTAACAGTTACTAACTTTTTCCCTCGAATTTATTGATTTTTATGCATGGTAGAAGATCCTTGCATCCAAGGCTAGAAAATCCTTTCATTATTTCATTCAAAAATAAAAATCCAAAAGAAAAATTAATTTTGATGGATCCTGAAGGAAGTACAGGTCAAACTGAGAACAATCCTATGGCCATGAAAAATCATTATATCCCTGATTCATTTCAAAGAGCATCCAATATTAGAGTCCCATTAGCACCCACTGTTAAATTCGAAATAAATCCAGGAATTTTTCAAATGCTCCCTAATTTTCATGGATTGCCTTTAGAGGAACCTCATCAGCACTTAGAAAAATTTCATATGGTCTGTGATTTAGTTAATCTCCCTCAAGTTACACCAGAAATTATTAAGATGAAATTATTCCCTCATACACTTAGGGACAAAGCTAGTCATTGGCTATCCACATTAGATAGAGAATTAACTAGCTGGAAAGATATAGAACAGGCCTTTCTTCGAAAATTTTATCCCTTAGGAAAAACTCAAAATATGAGAAAACATATATGGAGTTTTTCTCAAAGACCAGGAGAAACTTTGCATGAGACATGGGAAAAATTCAAAGATTTACTTAGAAAGTGTCCTCATCATGCTATACCCAAGTGGCAGCTCAATAGAATTTTTTATGATGGATTATTAGAACAACATAGAAATATGGTTGATTCTATATGTGGAGGAGCTTTTATGGAGAAAACTCCTGATGAGATTTACAATCTTTATGAGAATTTAAGTGAAAATTCTAGAGATCAAGCCTCTTTTGAATTATATGACAAGGAAATGAAGAGAGAAATTTATGAATTGCATCATGATGATGATTCTAAACTTAGAAATGAGGTTAATCAGATTAATCAAAGATTAGAAAAAATTGATTTACTTATTGATAATATTAGAAAGCCTTTTAACCCTCAACTTAATTCGAATAGTACATGTCCTATGTATGGTGAAAATGATTATTCTGAACTTCAATGTTATAATTTAGATCAATCATTTCACCCTATGCGAGAACAAGTGCAAGTAGCTCACAGTTTTAATAGAAATAGGGAAAATTTTTCAAATTCTTATAATCCTAATTGGAGGAATAATTTTTCATGGAGAGACCCAAATAATATTCAAAATCCAGAAGCACTTAGACCCAATTCAAACTCTGAATTTCGTCCAAAACAAGAAAATAGATTTCAGAAAAATCAGCCCTCTCAAACCCAACCTGATGCTATGGAAATGATGCAGCAAATGAGCCAAATGATGCAACAAACTATGAATCAAATGATGCAACAAACTATGAATCAAATGATGCAGCACCAGAAACAAATTATAGAGGCCCTTGGGAATAAGAGAGAAGAGGGACAGCTACCTAGTCAGTCCATAGAAAATCCAGGGAACCGCCCAACAATAGGATTTCAGCATGGGGAGTCTAGTAGCATGAATCTAGGAAAAAACCCACGAAATGAAAATGTTAGGACAGTGAATGCATTAAGGAGTGGTAAGATCTTACCTGATCCTTATCCCCAAACATTAGAAGAAAAAGAAAATGTGGACACCCCAAAACAAAATCAAATAGGAGTAGAAGAGGATTTTATAGATTCTACCAAAGAAATTTCGAAAGAGAGGACAACCATTCCATTTCCTAAAGCTCTAGAGCCTAGACAAAGAAAGAAAAAGGAACACAATGAAGAAATAAAGAAAATTTTACAAGATGTGCAAATTAGTCTTCCTTTACTCACTGCCATTGAACATATTCCTGAATATGCTAGAGTTTTGAAAGAAATGTGTACACCAAAAAGGGCACCTAGAGTAGAAAAATTATCTATGCATGCTAGTGCGTTATTATTAAATCAATTACCATTTAAATTGAGAGATACAGGTGCTCTTTTAATTTCGTGTGATATTGGTGGATTCATTTTTCAGAATGCATTACTTGACACCGGTGCTAGTATTAATTTATTACCTGCAAGTATTTGTGATAAATTTAATATTTCTGATCTTAAACCTTCTACTGTTACCTTACAATTTGCTGATAGATCCATAAAACATCCTAAAGGTATCTTAGAAAATGTGATAGTGACAGTTAAAGGGTGTAAATTTCCAGCTGATTTTGTAGTGCTGGAAATGGATTTTAATGGACAGTTTTATGATACACCAATCATCCTAGGGAGACCATTTTTGCATACAGCAAAGATGAATATTGATTTGCCCACAGGTATTGCGAAAATTTCATGTGGAGATCAATCAGTAGAAATTAAAATTTTTGAGGTATCAAATGATCTTAAGAAATCCCAAGTATATGATTGTCATACCATAGATCTTCTAGATGATTTTGATGATCCAGATGTTATTGATGACTGTGTGCTGGAAGAATTAGAGGAAATAGAGAATATAAATTTAGAAGAAAAGAAAGAGGAAGATCATCTGAATTTAGAGTTGAAACCTCTCCCCTCTAGTTTAAAATATATGTTTTTGGAGGAAAATAATTCATTTCCTGTTATTATTGCAGCTGATTTGAGTAATGAACAGGAAGAAGAATTATTAGATGTACTTCGAAAAAATAAGAAGGCTATGGGCTGGAAAATGGACGATCTAAGGGGCATTGATATGAGAGTATGCATGCATAGTATATATTTAGAGGAGGGGGCTAGAACTAGCAGGGAACCACAACGAAGATTAAATCCTAACATGATGGAAATTGTAAAAAAAGAAATTTTAAAGTGGCTGGCTGCTGATATTATTTACCCTATTTCAGATAGCAAATGGGTTAGTCCTACACAAGTAGTGCCAAAAAAATCAGGGATCACGGTTATAAAAAACGAAAATGGGGAGGAAATACAAACAAGACTAACTACCGGTTGGAGAGTTTGCATTGATTATAGAAAATTAAATTCAGTTACTAGAAAAGATCATTTTCCCCTACCATTTACTGATCAAATTTTAGAAAAATTAGCTGGAAAAAACTTTTTTTGTTTTCTGGATGGATACTCTGATTATAATCAAATTTATATAAACCCTTTAGATCAAGAAAAAACAACTTTCACTTGTCCATTTGGTACTTTTGCTTTTAAACGCATGCCTTTTGGTCTGTGTAATGCTCCAACCACATTTCAAAGATGTATGCTGTCTATTTTTTCTGATATGATTGGAAAATGCATGGAAATTTTTATGGACGATTTTTCTATTTTTGGTGAATCATTTGATGAATGCTTAAATCATTTACAGCATGTACTTGAGAAATGCATAGAGAAAAAATTAGTTTTGAGTTGGGAGAAATCACATTTTATGGTTAAAGAGGGAGTTGTGTTGGGTCATATTGTGAGTGAAAAGGGTTTAGAGGTGGATAGAGCAAAAATCGATATTATATCTAAAATGAAACCTCCGAATTCAGTAAAACAGATTAGATCTTTCTTGGGTCATGCAGGTTATTACAGAAAATTTATTCAAGATTTTTCGAAAATTTCTAAACCTCTCACCATGCTATTATCTAAAGATGTGCCTTTTAATTTTGATGAGAAATGTTTTGAGTCTTTTTCCAAAATAAAAAGATTACTTACTGAGGCACCCATTTTACAAGCTCCTGATTGGTCCCTTCCCTTTGAAATAATGTGTGACGCATCGAATTATGCAGTGGGGGCCGTTCTAGGACAAACAAAAGAGTCAAAACCCATAGTAATTTCATATGCTAGTAAAACTATATCTGATGCTCAATTAAATTATACCACGACTGAAAAAGAATTGTTAGCTGTAGTATTTTCGTTAGAAAGGTTTAGATCATATATTTTGGGAGCTAAAATTATTATTTATACTGATCATGCAGCATTAAAATATCTGTTAAATAAGAAAGATGCAAAGCCACGTTTATTAAGATGGATTTTATTGTTGCAAGAATTTGACTTAGAAATAAAAGATAAAAAGGGTTTCGAGAATGTTGTTGCTGACCATCTTTCTAGATTAAGTGATACAGGAATAAATGCAGCACCTTTACAAGACGCATTTCCAGATGAACAATTGATGGCAGCTCAACATCAACCATCACCATGGTATGCACATATTGTTAATTTTCTGGTTTCTGGAAAAACTCCAGAACAGTGGGATAAGAACAGAAAAAATCATTTCTTTTCTAAGATTAGAAATTATTTTTGGCATGATCCTGATTTATATTACTTGGGCAATGATCAAATTTTAAGGAGATGTGTTCCTGAAGAAGAATATCATAGCATTATTAACATGTGTCATTCATCTAACTGTGGAGGACATTTCTCTGGACGAAAAACAGCTGCAAAAATTTTCCAGTGTGGTTTTTATTGGCCTACAATCATTAGAGATTCTATAGAATTTAGTAGAATATGTATTTCATGCCAATCTATAAGTAACATGAGTAAAAAAGATGAAATGCCCATGAGTAATATGTTAGTAGTCGAAATTTTTGATGTATGGGGAATAGATTTCATGGGTCCCTTCCCATCAGCTGAAAAATATGAATATATTTTGCTTGCTGTTGATTATGTGTCGAAGTGGGTGGAAGCTATTCCTACTAGAACTAATGATCATAAAATCGTAATGAAATTTGTGCAGGAAAATATTTTTTCGAGATTTGGATGTCCTAGAGTGATTATTAGTGATGGAGGAACACATTTTACAAATAAAAATTTCAGAGAACTGTTGAAAAAGAATGGAGTACACCATAGAGTAGCCACTCCATATCATCCCCAAACAAATGGGCAAGCTGAAGTAGCAAATAGGGAAATTCAGAGAATTTTGAGAAAAATAGTTAGACCAGATAGGAAAGATTGGCCCACGAAATTACAAGATGCATTATGGGCTTATAGAACAGCTTATAAAAATCCCATAGGTATGTCCCCATTTCGTCTCATTTTTGGAAAGCCATGTCATCTTCCTGTGGAAATAGAGCATAAAGCATTATGGGCTATAAAAAATTTATGTATGGATGAAAAATCAGCTGGTGGGCATAGAATTTTTCAGTTACATGAACTAGAGGAGTTGAGGAATGAAGCTTATGAAAATCATAGAATATATAAAGAAAAAACTAAAACTTTTCATGATAAATACATTAGCAGAAAAAAATTTGATGTTGGACAAAAAGTGTGGTTATATGATTCTAGGCTGAAATTATTCCCAGGAAAATTAAAATCAAAATGGAAAGGGCCTTATGTGGTGGAAGAGACATTTGATCATGGGGCTGTAATGATTAAAGATCCTAAAAGTGATCATAACTTTAAGGTAAATGGACAGCGGCTTAAACATTACATAGAACATGAACGCCTTGCAGAAAAAGAAATTTTATTATTAAAAGAAATTCAAGAGTAAGATCAAGGAGTCCAGCTGGAGACATTAAATTCAGCGCTGCATGGGAGGCAACCCATGGTTTTTATTTCATTCTGTTTGATCTCTGTTTTTCTTAGAATTTCGCAGTACTTGTTTCTGTGTTTGTTTTTCTTTCGAAAAAGTGCAGGAGGAGGAGTGTAAGATGAAGTGGAAAATTAAAAACGAGGTTGAGGTGATGTCTTTCTGAGCTTCATCATTTATGAAAATATTTTTAATGCTTAACTTTGCAGATATGCATGCTTCACTTGAAAATTATATTTTCTGCATATTCTGTTTCGATTTTTTGTGTCATTGAGGACAATGTCATTTTTAAGTCGGGGGGTGAAGTATTCATTATTAATTTATGCTGTAGGACGATTAAGAATATGTGTTTGCATTTTATTCAACTTAGAACAGCAACTAAAAAAATAAAAATAAAATAAAATTCGGAAAAATTGCAACATCTATTTTCTGGTTTTCTGTCAGAAACAACAGACTGTCAAAAACAGCAGACAAAAAACAGCCCGAAATTTGAAATTCTAGAAGACCCTTTTCTCACATTTCAATCCCCTAGATATATATTACTGAAATTCAAAATTACAGCTATAAAGAAGATAGTTTTGATTTATTTTTGACAAATTTATTGCTGCTAAAAATAGAACTGAAAACAGAAAACGGAATTGTCAGAACTATCTAATTTACAAATTCCTTACATCATATTGCATGCATGAAAAATTAAATCAATTAGATTGATTGATACTAAAAGATACTAGGAAGATTATTATTGAGTCAAAAGAATGATCTAGTAGCATGAAATGTTGGAATACTCCTTGGATACATGATAGATAACATGGATTTGATTTTACAGATTTTCACTTCATGATCTTGATGGATAATATTTACTTGATGTGAAAATTTGATTGATCATTTGAGTTTAATGGAGATTTTTGCACCTTGATCTATAGGACTTGTGAGGAGAAATCACTTATTTCAAAAAAAAAAAAAAAGAGAGCAATGTGAAAAATCTAGAAACGAAGAGTACACATGGAGGGTGTGAGACATCATTCTCATTGTCAAAAATCGTGCATAGAAAAACACTTGCTGAAAAATAAGTGGATAAAGTGAAAGCCCTGAAAATGAAGAGTACACATGGAGGGTGTGAGACATCATTCTTATTGTCGAAATTTGTCTACAGGAAAAGCTACTTATCCACTATATATATATAAAAAAAAAAAAAAGAAGGAAGAAATATAGTGCAAACTTCAAAAATCAAGTCATAGAAAAAGGGAAATGTAAGATCAATATTATTCTTGGATGAGTATTGATAATTGGAACATCTTGTAAATACATCTATGAGTGAAGAAGTGATAAAGATGTGAATAGAAGAAGTGAAGTCTAGATTGTTATTCCAAGGAGTGTTTAAACATTTAAGTGCTTGACATCATTCTTAAATACTTGATATAAGAATCCAAAGTATTTAAAGGTGCATCATTTCTAATTGTATTTCTTTTCTGTATTGAAATATGATGTTTGAGATTTGTAAATTTTTATTTTCGTAATTCCATTGCTAAGGGACTAGCAATGATTTAAGTTGGGGGGTGTGATAAGTCTTCATTATCATGAGTTAATAATCAGTAAATAATATAGTTTTAGCCTTAACTCATGATAAATAGACTTATATTTGTGTTAAAGCATGAAAAGTGGTTTTCAGTTGATTAACGTGAATCTTTGGGTAATTATGTGATTTTATACGATTTTTACAGTCTTAGTTTTGAGATAAATGAAGAACAAGAAATAAAAATAAAAATATTGCAAAATGGGGGAATCCGCCGGCCAGCCGGGCCCGCAAGTGGGTCGGAAGCGCAGTCGGAGAGTAGCCGCGAGCAGGGGCTCGAGCGGCTTGCTTGGATCGATAGGGGCACGTGTGCGCCACTCCCCTTCCACGTCACCGGTAGTCAGCCGGCTGTGGGGCAAGGAGTGGTCGTACACGCGAGAGGACTTTGCCTAGAAAGCTAACTTTACTCTATATTCGCCCGAATAATCCGCCCACAACCGATGTGGGACTAAATCCACCTTGTAACGGGCGGGCGACCGCCGCGGGTTCGAATCCTCCCAGTGTCAAAATTCATATATTTTTAACTGATTATCGCGACTTTCCTGCAGATCGCCGGTGAAGGATTAAGCAACCGGAATCGCTGGATCATCGGCGAAAATCTCGTCAACGCGATTCGCGGAGCATTGCTACTAAAATTTCTGAACGATTCGCGATAAAAGGATCGCAATCTATCGAGTAAATCATCTCCGATTGATCGACGAACAAGCCGTCGTCGGGAAGAGGACGATCCGCCGGGAGACCAGTCGCCACCTCCTGAGAGCGTACCAGATGCGATGAAGAGCCTCCTCTTGCTGCGCGGACCTGAGGATGAAGCTCCCTAACACGCGCCTCACCTCCATCCAGCCCCTCTCCGTCGGGTGACAGCCGCCGGAGAGCCACAAAGTCGCCGTTTTTCCGCTCCGCCGGGTGACAGCCGCCGGAGACGATTCGACGACCCACTTCATTGGTCTCTAGACTTCGCGAGAAGATCTAGAGATTGCCCACGTCGTCTTTGTCCAAGGAGAGCCTTCGAGGCCGTGGACACTGCACGACGATCCTCCCGAACGCTTAGGATTCCGGTGCATCGCCGACGCATCGCCGTCGCAACGCCGGAACTCTGTTTTCCTGCTTTCAATTTAATTTACGCTTCATTTAGTGATACTTTGTTGATTTTTATTTACCAAACTATACTTTGTTCAACTACGATTCTTCCGGCTTTTACAGATCTTAATTTGATTAATTGAGTCGTCTGTAATCGCCTACGTAAGAATCGCCGGGCAGAACTGTGTTTCCGCCTGATTCGCGTTCGCCGGGCGCTGACATCATCCTGACGTCCGCACCCTTATTTCCTTTTTTTTCGTGAATTTTAAATATATTTCCTTTTTATTTCCTAGTATAAAATTTGTAAGAAAATCGTACTCATTGAGAAAAATTCTGAATAATTACCAGATATCATATTACATCCCTGTGATCGACCTGGAAAATTACCGCTATTTTTGGAATTTTTATTGAATTATAATTGATATATTTATTTAGAAATACTTCTAAATATCTGAAAATTCGTATTTTCTAGTTTTATAAATTTTATATTTGCGTGATTTAACATACAACGACTGAGTCACGTCACTGGTCTACCTTGCTCGTAGGGACGATCTCCCACGTCCGCCACCACAACCACCTCGACCCCACTACAAGGACTATTGACCCCACAAATGCGACTAGGGAAATGATAGAAGAGACCTTCCAGGTTATACAGCTGACCCTTCTTGACGAGAGGAGCTCGATCAGTGAGTAGAGCGTCAGTCACGAGATTGTGTTAAAGTGTGAAAAGTGGTTTTCAGTTGATTAATGTGAATTTTTAAGTAATTATGTGATTTTACACGAATTTATATGATTTTTATAGTTTTACTTTTGCAGTAAATGAAGAAAAAGAAATAAAAAATAAAAAGAAGAAAAAACAAGGGAGACCCTCAAACATGACTTAGTCGTTGTATATTAAATCACACAAATCTAAAATTTATAAAACTAGAAAATACGAATTTTCAGATATTTAGAAGTATTTTTGAATAAATATATCTAGTATAATTCAATAAAACTTCCAAAAATAGTGGTAATTTTCCAAGTCGATCATAGAGATGTAATATAATATTTGGTAATTATTCAGAATTTTTCTCAATGAATATGATTTTCTATGAATTTTATACTAGGAAATGAAAACAAATATATTTAAAATTCACAAAAAAAGGAAGTAAGGGTGCAGACATCAAGATGATGTTAGTGCTTGGCGAACGTGAATCAGGTGAAAACAAAGTTCTGCTCAGCGATTCTTACAGAAGCAATTACAAACGATTTAATTGATCAAATTAAGATCTATAAAAGCCTGAAGAATTGTAATTGAACGAAGTATCTTTTGGTAAATTAAAACATAAAAATTATCACTAAATGAAGTGTAAAGTAAATTGAAAGCAAGAAAATAGAGTTTCGGTGTCGTGACAGTGATGCGTCGGCAATGCACTAGAATCCTGAGCGTCTGGGAGGATCGTCATATAGTGTCTATGGCCTTGAAGGCTCTCCTTGGACAAAGACGACGTGGGTAATCTCTAGATCTTCTCGCATAGTCTAGAGATTAATGAAATGGGTCATCGAGTCGTCTTCGGCGGCTGTCACCTGACAGAGTGGAAAAATGGCAACTTTGTGGCTCTTCGGCGACTGTCACCCGACAGAGAGGAGTTGGATGGAGGTGGGGTGCATGTCAGGGAGCTTCATCCTCAGGTCTTCGCAGCAAGAGGAGTGACGTGACTCAGTCGTTGTATATTAAATCACGCAAATTTAAAATTTATAAAACTAGAAAATACGAATTTTCAGATATTTAGAAGTATTTCAAAATAAATATATCAATTATAATTCAATACAAATCCCAAAAATAGTGGTAATTTTCCAAGTCGATCACAGGGATGTAATATAATATCTGGTAATTATTCAGAATTTTTCTCAATGAGTACGATTTTCTTACGAATTTTATACTAGGAAATAAAAAGGAAATATATTTAAAATTCACAAAAAGAAAAGGAAATAAGGGTGCGGACGTCAGGATGACGTCAGCGCCCGGCGAACGCGAATCAGGCGGAAACAGAGTTCCGCCCGGCGATTCTTACGTAGGCGATTATAGACGACTCAATTAATCAAATTAAGATCTGTAAAAGCCGGAAGAATCGTAGTTGAACGAAGTATAGTTTGGTAAATAAAAATCAACAAAGTATCACTAAATGAAGCGTAAATTAAATTGAAAGCAGGAAAACAGAGTTCCGACGTCGCGACGGCGATGCGTCGGCGATGCACCGGAATCCTGAGCGTTCGGGAGGATCGTCGTGCAGTGTCCACGACCTCGAAGGCTCTCCTTGGACAAAGACGACGTGGGCAATCTCTAGATAAAGCAGGAAAACAGAGTTCCGGCGTCGCGACGGCGACGCGTCGGCGATGCACCGGAATCCTGAGCGTTCGGGAGGGTCGTCGTGCAGTGTCCACGGCCTCGAAGGCTCTCCTTGGACAAAGACGACGTGGGCAATCTCTAGATCTTCTCGCGAAGTCTAGAGACCAATGAAGTGGGTCGTCGAATCGTCTCCGGCGGCTGTCACCCGGCGGAGCGAAAAAATGGCGACTTTGCGGCTCTCCGGCGGCTGTCACCCGACGGAGAGGGGCTGGATGGAGGTGAGGCGCATGTTAGGGAGCTTCATCCTCAGGTCCGCGCAGCAAGAGGAGGCTCTTCATCGCATCTGGTACGCTCTCAAGAGGTGGCGACTGGTCTCCCGGCGGATCGTCCTCTTCCCGACGACGGCTTGTTCGTCGATCAATCGGAGATGATTTACTCGATGGATTGCGATCCTTTTATCGCGAATCGTTCAGAAATTTTAGTAGCAATGCTCCGCGAATCGCGTTGACGAGATTTTCGCCGATGATCCAGCGATTCCGGTTACTTAATCCTTCACTGGCGATGTGCAGGAAAGTCGCGATAATCAGTTAAAAATATATGAATTTTGACTTTGGGAGGATTCGAACCTGTGGCGGTCGCCCGCCCCTGAAGGTTTAGTCCCACATCGGTTGTACGCGGATTATTCGGGCAAATATATAGTAAAGTTAGCTTTCTAGGCAAAGTCCTCTCGCGTGTACGACCACTCCTTGCCCCACAGCCGGCTGACCACCGGTGACGTGGAAGGGGAGTGGCGCACACGTGCCCCTATCGATCCAAGCAAGCTGCTCGAGCCCCTGCTCGCGGATACTCCCCGACTGCGCTTCCGACCCGCTTGCGGGCCCGGCTGGCCGGCGGATCCCCTCATTTTGCAATATTTTTATTTTTATTTCTTGTTCTTCGTTTTATCTCAAAACTAAGACTGTAAAAATCATATAAAATCACATAATTACCCAAAAATTCACGTTAATCAATTGAAAACCACTTTTCATGCTTTAACACAAATATAAGTCTATTTATCATGAGTTAAGGCTAAAAATATATTATTTACTAATTATTAACTCATGATAATGAAGACTTATCAAGGAGGCTCTTCATCGCATCTGGTACGCTCTCAGGAGGTGGCGACTCATCTCCCAGCAGATCGTCTTCTTCTCGACAACGGCTTGTTCATCGATCAATCGGAGATTATTTACTCAATGGATTCGCGATTCTTTTATCACAAATCATTCAACAATTTTAGTAGCAATACTCTGCAAATCACGTTGACAAGACTCACCGATGATCCAACAATTCTCTTTGCTTAATCTTTCACTAGCGATCTGCAAGAAAGTCGCGATAATCAGATAAAAATATATGACTTTTGACTCTAGGAGGATTCAAACTTGTGCCGGTTGTCCGCCGCTTCTGAGGAAGGTGTGATGCGGGTTTAGTCCCACATTGGTTGTGTGCTGATTTTTCGGGCGAATATATAATAATGTTACATTTCTAAGCAAAGTTCCTTCTCTCGCGTGTACGACCATTCCTTGTCCCATAGCCAGTTGGCCACCAATGACGTGGAAGGGGAGTGGCACATATGTGTCCCAATCGGTCACACCGCTCAAGCCCTTGCTTGTGGCTACTCCTCGACTGCACTTCCGACTTGCTTGCGGGCCCGGCTGGCCAGCAGGTCCCCCCATTTTGCTATATTTTTATTTTAATTTCTTTTACTTCATTTATCTCAAAAGTAAGACTGTAAAAATCATATAAAATCACATAATTACCCAAAAATTCATATTAATAAACTAAAAACCAATTTTCACACTTTAACACAAATATAAGTCTATTTATCATAAGTTAAGGCTAAAACTATATTATTTACTTAATTATTAACTCATGATAATGAAGACTTATCACCTACTGACTAGCCAGGCCTACAAGTGGGTCGGAAGCTCAGTCTGGGAGTAGCCGTGAGCAAGGGCTCGAGCAGCTTGGAATCGATAGGGGCACGTGTGTGCCATTCCCCTTCCACGTCACCAGTGGCTAGCCAGCTGTGAGGCAAGGAGTGGTCGTACATGCAAGAGAAGAGACTTTGCTTTCAAATATAACATTACTATATATTCATTCAAAACTTTGGTGCACAAGCAATGTGAGACTAAACCCACGTCACACCTTCCCTTGAATGGGGTGGGCAACTGGCGCAGGTTCGAATCCTCTCAGAGCCAAAACTCAATATGTTTATTTGATTATCGTAACTTTCTTACAGATCGCTGGTGAATAATTAAGTAACCAGAATCATTGGATCATTGGTGAAAATCTCATCAATACGATTCGCATGGTATTATTACTAAAATTACTGAATGATTTGGGATAAAAGGATTGTGAATGCATCGAGTAAAGCATCTCTAATTGATCAACAAATAAGCTGTCATCAGGAGGAGGACAATCCACTAGGAGACGAGTCACCACCTCTTGAAAGCATATTGATAAGTCTTCATTATCATGAGTTAATAATTAGTAAATAATATAGTTTTAGCCTTAACTCATGATAAATAGACTTATATTTGTGTTAAAGAATGATTTTTGGTTTTCAATTGATTAACGTGAATTTTTGGGTAATTATGTGATTTTATACAATTTTTACAGTCTTACTTTTGAGATAAATGAAGAACAAGAAATAAAAATAAAAATATTGCAAAAATGGGGGGACCTGTCGGCCAGCCGTGCCCGCAAGCGGGTCGGAAGCGCAGTCAGGGAGTAAACCGCGAGCAGGGGCTCAAGCGGCTTGGCTTGGGGACCGACTGGCACGCGTACACCACTCCCCTTCCACGTCACCGGTGGCCAGCTGGCTGTGGGGCAAGGAGTGGTCATACACGCGAGAGAAGGGACTTTGCTCACAAAGCTAACATTACTATATATTCGCCCGAAAAATCGGTGTACAACCGATGTGGGACTAAACCCCCGCCACACCTTCCTCAGAAGAGGCGGGTGACCGACGCGGGTTCGAATCCTTCCAGAGTCAAAATTCATATATTTTTATTTGATTATCGCGACTTTCCTGCAGATCGCCAGTGAAAGATTAAGCAATGAGAATCGCTGGATCATCGACGAAAATCTTGTCAACGCGATTTGCGGAGCATTGCTACTAAAATTGCTGAACGATTCGCGATAAAAGGATCGTGAATCCATCGAGTAAATCATCACCGATTGATCGATGAACAAGCCGTCGTCGAGAAGAGGATGATCCACTAGGAGACCAGTCGCCACCTCCTGAGAGCATACCAGATGCGATGAAGAGCCTCCTCTTGTTGCGCGGACTTGAGGATGAAGCTCCCTAACACGCGCCCCATCTCCATCCAGCTCCTCTCCGTCGGGTGACAGCCGCCGGAGAGCCGCAAAGTCGTCGTTTTTCCACTCCACCGGGTGACAGCCGCCGGAGACAATTCGACGACCCACTTCATTAATCTCTAGACTTCGCGAGAAGATCTAGAGATTGCCCACATCATCATTGTCCAAGGAGAGCCTTCGAGGCCGTGGACACTGCACGACGATCCTCCCAAATGCTCAAGATTCCGGTGCATTGCCGACGCATCGCCGTCGCGACGCCAGAACTCTGTTTTCCTGCTTTCAATTTAATTTACGCTTTATTTAGTGATACTTTGTGTGATTTTAATTTACCAAACTATACTTCGTTCAATTACGATTCTTCCAGCTTTTACAGATCTTAATTTGATTAATTAAGTCGTCTGTAATCGCTTACGTAAGAATCACCGGGCGGAACTCTGTTTCCGCCTGATTCGCGTTCGCCGAGCACTGATGTCATTCTGATGCCTGAACCCTTATTTCCTTTTTTTTCGTGAATTTTAAATATATTTCCTTTTTATTTCCTAGTATAAAATTCGTAAGAAAATCGTATTCATTGAGAAAAATTCTGAATAATTACCAGATATTATATTACATCCCTGTGATCAACCTGGAAAATTACTGCTATTTTTGGAATTTTTATTGAATTATAATTGATATATTTATTTTGAAATACTTCTAAATATCCGAAAATTCGTATTTTCTAGTTTTATAAATTTTATATTTGCATGATTTAACATACAACAACTGAGTCACGTCACATACCGGATGTGGTAAAGAGCCTCGTCTTGCTGCACAAACTTGAGGATGAAGCTCCCTAGCATGCGCCCCACCTCCATCCAGCTCCTCTCCATTGAGTGATAATGTGACTCAATCGTTGTATATTAAATCACATAAATCTAAAATTTATAAAACTAGAAAATATAAATTTTCAGATATATAGAAGTATTTTTGAATAAATATATCAATTATAATTTCATAAAACTTTCAAAAATAACAGTAATTTTTTATATCGATCACAAGGATGTAATATAATATCTGATAATTATTCAGATTTTTTCTCAATGAATATGATTTTCTATGAATTTTATACTAGGAAATGAAAAGGAAATATATTTAAAATTCACAAAAAAGGAAAATAAGGGTGCAGATGTCAAGATGACGTCAATGCCCAATGAACGCGGATCAGGCAGAAACAAAGTTCTGCTCAGTGATTCTTGCGTAAGTGATTACATATAATTTAATTAATCAAATTAAGATCTGTAAAAGCTAGAAGAATCATAATAGAACAAAGTATATTTTGGTAAATTAAAATCACAAAGATTATCACTAAATGAAGCGTAAAGTAAGTTGAAAGTAGGAAAGTAGAGTTCTAGCATTGCAGCGGCAATGCGGTGGCAATGCGTCGGCAATGCACCAAAATCCTGAGCATTTGGGAGGATCGTCGTGCATTGTCTATAGCCTCAAAGGCTCTCCTCGGACAAAGACGACGTAGGCAATCTCTAAATCTCCTTGCGAAGTCTAGAGATTAATGAAATGGGTCATCGAATCATCTCCGACGGCTGTCACTCGGCGGAGCAGAAAAATGACGACTTTGCAGCTCTCTGGCAGCTGTCACCTGACGGAGAAGAGCTGGATGGAGGTGGGACGCGTGTCAAGGAGCTTCATCCTCAGGTCCGCACAATAAGAGGAGGCTCTTCATCGCATTTGGTACACTTTCAAGAGGTGGCGACTCGTCTCTTGACGGATTGTCCTCTTCCCAATGACAGGTTGTTCGTCGATCAATCAGAGATGATTTACTTGATGGATTCACGATCTTTTTATTGTGAATCATTCAGCAATTTTAGTAGCAATGCTCTGCGAATCGCGTTGATGAGATTTTCGCCGATGATCTAGTGATTCTCATTGCTTAATCCTTCACCGACGATCTGCAGGAAAGTCACAATACTTAAATAAAAATATGTGACTTTTGACTCTAGGAAGAATCGAACCCACACTAGTTGCCCCGCCCCCTTCTGAGAAAAGTGTGGGGTGGGTTTAGTCCCACATTGATTCTACGTCAATTCTTTGAGCAAATATATACTAATGTTAGATTTTTCAATAAAGTCTCTTCTCTCACGTGTACAACCACTCCATGCCCCACAACCAGCTGGCCACTAGTGACGTGGAAGGGGAGTGGCGCACATGTGCCCCTATCAGTCCAAGCTGCTCGAGGCCTTGCTCGCGGCTACTCCCCGACTAAGCTTCTGACCCACTTGCAGGCCCAGCTAGCTGGCGGGTGACGTGACTCAGTCGTTGTATATTAAATCATGCAAATCTAAAATTTATAAAACTAGAAAATATTAATTTTTAGATATTTAGAAGTATTTCTGAATAAATATATCAATTATAATTCCATAAAACTTCCAAAAATAATAGTAATTTTCCAAGTAGATCACAGGGATGTAATATAATATTTGGTAATTATTTAGAGTTGTTCTCAATGAATATAATTTTTTCTGAATTTTATACTAGGAAATAAAAAGGAAACATATTTAAAATTCAGAAATAGAGTTTTGCCCGACGATTCTTATGTAAACAATTACAAATAATTTAATTAATCAAATTAAGATCTGTAAAAGATAGAAGAATCATAATAGAACAAAGTATATTTTAGTAAATTAAAATCACAAAGATTATCACTAAATGAAGTGTAAAGTAAGTTGAAAGTAGGAAAATAGAGTTCTGGCATCGCGGCAACAATGCGTCGGCAATGTATCAAAATCTTGAGCATCGAGAGGATCGCCATGTAGTGTCCACAGCCTTGAAGGCTCTCCTTGGACAAAGATGACGTAGGCAATCTCTAGATCTTCTCATGAAGTCTAAAGATTAATGAAATGGGTCGTCGAGTTATCTTTGGTAGCTATCACCCGACGAAGCAGAAAAATAGTAACTTTGTGGCTCTCTAGCGGCTGTCACTTGATGGAGAGGAGCTGGATGGAGGTGGGGTGTGTGTTAGGGAGCTTCATCCTCAGGTCCACATAGCAAGAGGAGGCTTTTCATCGCATCTTGTACGCTCTTAGGAGGTGGTGACTCATCTCCTGACAGATCATCTTCTTCCCGACGATGGCTTACTCATCGATCAATCAGAGATGATTTACTCGACAGATTCGTGATCCTTTTATCGCGAATCAGTCTGCAATTTTAGTAACAATGCTCTGCAAATTGCGTTGACGAGATTTTCACTAATGATCCAGCAATTCTAGTTGCTTAATCCTTCATCGGCAATCTATAGGAAAGTTACAATAATCAGATGAAAATATGAGTTTTGGCTCTAAGAGGATTCGAACCTATGTCAGTTGCCCTGTTTTTCTGAGGAAGGTGATGGGTTTAGTCCCACATCGGTTGTACGCTGAATTCTGGGGCAAATATATAGTAATGTTACATTTTTAAGCAAAGTTCCTTTCTTGCACGTGTACGACCCATCCTTACCCCACAACTGGCTGGCCACTGGTGACGTGGAAGGGGAGTGGTGCACATGTGCCCCTATCAGTACAAGCCACTTGAGCCCCTACCTGCGGGTCCCTCTCATTTTGTCTTATTTTTATTTTTTATTTCTTTTTCTTCATTTATCTCAAAAGTAAGATTGTAAAAATCATATAAATTCATGTAAAATCACATAATTATCCAAAAATTCACATTAATCAACTGAAAACCACTTTCCACACTTTAACATAAATATAAGTCTATTTATCATGAGTTAAGGCTAAAAATATATTATTTATTAATTATTAACTCATGATAATAAAGACTTATTAGTGGGTCCCCCTCGTTTTGTCTTATTTTTATTTTTTATTTCTTTTTCTTCATTTATTGCAAAAGCAATACTATAAACATCATATAAATTCATATAAAATCACATAATTACCTAAAAATTCACATTAATCAACTGAAAACCACTTTTCACACTTTAACATAAATATAAGTCTATTTATCAAGAGTTAAGGCTAAAACTATATTATTTACTAATTATTAACTCATGATAATGAAAACTTATCAAGTGGCAACTATTGTAGAGCCGCAAAGTTACAATTTTTTCACTCCACTAGATGTGTTGGAGATGATTTGATGACCCATTTCATTGATCTCTAGACTTCGCAAGGAGATCTAGAGATTGCCCACATTGTCCTTGTCTAAAGAGAGCCTTCAAGGCTGTGGACACTACATGACGATCCTTCTGAACACTCAGAATTCCGGTGCATCACCAATGCATCTCTATTGTAATGTCGGAACTCTATTTTCCTACTTTCAACTTAATTTTTGCTTTATTTAGTGATAATTTGTGTGATTTAAATTTACCAAGATTTACTTTATTTCACTATGATTCTTTTGACTTTTATAGATCTTAATTTTCTTAATTAAATCATCTATAATCACTTACGTAATAATCACTAGGTGGAACTCTATTTCCACCTGATTTATGTCATCAGACGCTAACTTCATCTTGTCGTTTGCATCCTTATTTTCCTTTTTCATAAATTTTAAATATATTTCCTTTTTATTTTCTAGTATAAAATTCATAAAACATAGTATTCTTTGAGAAAATTTCTGAATAATTATCAGATATTATATTACATCCTTGTGATCAACTTAGAAAATTACCGCTTTTTTTGGAAATTTTATTGAATTATACTTGATATATTTGTTCAAAAATACTTCTAAATATCCAAAAAATTTTATTTTCTAGTTTTATAAATCTTAAATTTGCATGATTTACAATACAATGACTAAGTCATGTCAAATTTTGGTGCCATTGCTGGGGATGTATTGCATAATATTAAGTATTTTTCTATTTTTCTCTTAGAGTACACAAAAAAAAATTAACTCTTGTTTTATTTTCTTCTTGCTAATTTTTTTTAAAAAAAAAGAGAACAAAGAGAAGCAAGGCAAGGACTAGAGCATACTAAAAGAGGGTAACAATTATTAAACTTTTTTCCTCGAATTTAATGGTTTTTTTTATGCATGGTAGAAGATCCTTACATCCAAGGCTAGAAAATCCTTTCATTATTTCATTCAAAACTAAAAACTCGAAGGAAAAATTAATTTTGATAGATCCTAAAGGAAGTACATGTCAAATTGAGAACAATCCTATGGCCATGAAAAATTATTATAACCCTAATTTATTTCAAAGAGCATCTAATATTAGAGTCCTATTAGCACCCACTGTTAAATTCGAAATAAATTCAGAAATTTTTCAAATGCTCCCTAATTTTCATGGATTGCCTTTAGAGGAACCTCATCAGCACTTAGAAAATTTTCATATGGTCTGTGATGTAGTTAGTCTTCCTCGTTACACTAGAAATTATTAAGATGAAATTATTTCCTCATACACTTAGGGACAAAGCTAGTCATTGGCTATCCACATTAGATAGAGAATTAACTAACTAGAAAGACATAGAACAGGCTTTTCTTTGAAAATTTTATCCCTTTAAAAAAATTCAAAATATGAGAAAATATATATAAAGTTTTTCTCAAAGATTAGGAGAAACTTTGCATGAGACATGGAAAAAATTCAAAGATTTACTTAGAAAGTGTCCTTCCTCATCATGCTATACTCAAGTGGTAGCTCAATAGAATTTTTTATGATGGATTATTAGAACAACATAGAAATATAATTAATACTATATGTGGAGGAGCTTTTATAGAGAAAACCCCTGATGAGATTTATAGTCTTTATGATAATTTAAGTGAAAATTCTAGAGATCAAGCCTCTTTTGAGTTATATGATAGGGATAAGAAGAGAGAAAATTATGAATTGCATCATGATGATGATTCTAAATTTAGAAATGAGGTTAATCAGATTAATTAAATATTATCAAAGCTTGATTTACTTATTGACAATATTAGAAAGCCTCTTAACCCTCAATTTAATTCAAATAGTACATATCCTATGTATGGTGAAAATGATTATTCTGAATTTCAATGTTATAATTTAGATCAATCATTTCACACTATGCAAGAACAAATGTAAGTAGCTCATAGTTTTAATAGAAATAGAAAACCTTTTTCAAATTCTTATAATCTTAATTAGAGGAATAATTTTCATGGAGATACCCAAATAAGATTCAAAATCCAAACACACTGACTCAATTCAAATTCTGAATTTCATCTAAAATAAGAAAATAAATTTCAGAAAAATCAGCATTCTCAAACCCAACCTGATACTATGAAAATGATGCCGCAAATGAGCCAAATGATGCAACAAACTATGAATCAAATGATGCTGCAATAGAAACAAATTATAGAGGCTCTTGAGAATAAGAGAAAAGAGGGACAACTACCTAGTCAGCCCATAGAAAATCCAAGGAAGTACCCAACAATAAGATTTCAATAAGGGGAGTCTAGAAGCATGAATCTAAGAAAAAACCTATGAAATGAAAATGTTAGGACAGTGAATGCATTAAGGATTGGTAAGATCTTACCTAATCTTTATCCCCAAACATTAGAAGAAAAGGAAAATGTAGACAACCTAAAACAAAATCAAATAAGAGTAGAAGAGGATTTTATAGATTTTACCAAGGAAATTTCAAAAAAGAGGACAACCATTCCATTTCCTAAAACTCTAGAGCCTAGACAAAGAAAAAAGAACACAATGAAGAAATAAAAAAAAATTACAAGATGTGCAAATTAGTCTTCCTTTACTCACTATCATTGAACATATTCCTGAATATACTAGAGTTTTGAAAGAAATGTGTACACCAAAAAGGGCACCTAGAGTAGAAAAATTATCTATGCATACTAGTACTTTATTATTAAATCAATTACCATATAAATTGAGAGATACGAGTGCCCTTTTAATTTCGTGTGATATTGGTGGATCTATTTTTCAGAATGCATTACTTGACACTAGTGCTAGTATTAATTTATTACCTACAAGTATTTATGATAAATTTAATACTACTTTCCTTAAAGCTTCTAATATTACCTTACAATTTGCTGACGTATTCATAAAACATCCTAAAGGTATTTTAGAAAATGTGATAGTGATAGTTAAAGGGTGTAAATTTCTGGCTGATTTTTGTAGTACTAGAAATGGATTTTAATGGATAGTTTATGATACACCAATCATCCTATGGAGACCATTTTTACATACAGAAAAAATGAATATTGATTTTCCTAGAAGGATTGCAAAAATTTCATGTGGAGATCAATCAGTAGAAATTAAAATTTTTGAGGTATCAAATGATCTTAAGAAATCTCAAATATATGATTGTCATACCATAGATCTTCTAGATGATTTTGATGATCTAGATGTTATTGATGACTATGTGCTGGAAGAATTAGAGGAAATAGAGAATATAAATTTGAGAGAAAAGAAAGAGGAAGATCATCTAAATTTAGAGTTGAAACCTCTTCCCTCTAGTTTAAAATATGTATTTTTGGAGAAAAATAATTCAGTTTTTATTATTATTGTAGCTGATTTGAGTGATGAATAGGAAGAGGAATTATTAGATGTACTTCGAAAAAAAAAGAAAGCTATGGGCTGGAAAATGGACGATCTAAGGGACATTGATATGAGTGTATGCATGCATAATATATATCTAGAGGTGGGGGCTAGAACTAGTAGGGAACCACAATGAAGATTAAATCCTAACATGATGGAAATTATACAAAAAAAAATTAAAGTGGCTGGCTACTAATATTATTTATCATATTTCAAATAGCAAATGGGTTGGTCCTACACAAGTGGTGACAAAAAAATCAAGGATCATAGTTTTAAAAAATGAAAATTGAGATGAAATATAAATAAGATTAACTATTAGTTGGAGGGTTTGTATTAATTATAGAAAATTAAATTTAATTACTAGGAAAGATCATTTTCTCTTATCATTTATTGATCAAATTCTAGAAAAATTAGTTGGAAAAAACTTTTTTTGTTTTCTAAGTAGATACTGTAGTTATAATCAAATATATATAAACCCTTTAGATTAAGAAAAAATAACTTTCACTTGTTCATTTGTTACTTTTGCTTTTAAACACATGCCTTTTAGTCTATGTAATGCTCCAGCCACATTTCAAAGATGTATACTATCTATTTTTTCTAATATGACTGGAAAATACATAGAAATTTTTATGGATGATTTTTTTGTTTTTGGTGAATCATTTGGTGAATGCTTAAATCATTTACAACATGTACTTGAGAAATGTATAGAGAAAAAAATAATTTCGAGTTGGGAGAAATCACATTTTATGGTTAGAGAGAGTTGTGTTGGGTCATATTGTGAGTGAAAGGGGTTTAGAGGTGGATAGAGCAAAAATTAATATTAGATCTAAAATGAAACGTCTAATATAATGCATCACACATTATATTGGGTCATACAGGTTATTATAGAGAATTTATTCAAGATTTTTTGAAACTTTCTAAACTTCTCACCATGTTATTATCTAAAAATGTGCCTTTTAATTTTGATGAGAAATGTTTTGAGTCTTTTTCTGAAATAAAAAGATTACTTATTGAGACACCCATATTACAAGATTCTGATTGGTCTTTTTCCTTTAAAATAATGTCTGATCCATCGAATTATGCAATAGGGGCCGTTCTAGGACAAACAAAAGAGTCAAAACCCATAGTAATTTCATATGCTAGTAAAACTATATCCGATGCTTAATTAAATTATACCACGACTGAAAAAGAGTTGTTAGCTATAGTATTTTTGTTAGAAAGGTTTAGATCATATATTTTGGGAGTTCAAATTATTATTTATACTGATTATGTAGCATTAAAATATCTATTAAATAAGAAAGATACAAAACTACGTTTATTAAGATGGATTTTATTGTTGCATGAATTTAACTTAGAAATAAAAGATAAACAAGGTTTTGAGAATGTTGTTGCTGACCATCTTTCTAGATTAAGTGATACAAGAGTAAATGCAATACCTTTACAAGATACATTTCTAGATGAACAATTGATGGCAGCTCAACATTAACCATCACCATGGTATGCACATATTGTTAATTTTCTAGTTTCTAGAAAAATTCTAGAACAATGGGATAAGAACAGAAAACATCATTTCTTTTCTAAGATTAGAAATTATTTTTGGCAGGATCCTAAGTTATATTACTTGGACAATGATCAAATTTCAAGGAGATGTGTTCTTGAAGAAGAATATCATAGCATTATTAACATGTGTCATTCATCTAACTGTGGAGGACATTTCTCTAGACGAAAAACAGCAACAAAATTTTTTAGTGTAGTTTTTATTAGCCTACAATCATTAGAGATTTTATAGAATTTAGTAGAACATGTATTTCATACCAGTCTATAGATAACATGAGTAAAAAAGATGAAATGCCTATGAATAACATGTTGGTAGTCGAAATTTTTGATGTATGGGGAATAGATTTCATAGGTCCCTTCCCATCAGCTGAAAAATATGAATTATGTGTAGCTGTTGATTATGTAGATTATGTGTCAAAGTGGGTGGAAGCTATTCCTACTAGAACTAATGATCATAAAATCGTGATGAAATTTGTGCAGGAAAATATTTTTTCGAGATTTGGATGTCCTAGAGTGATTATTAATGATGGAGGAACACATTTTACAAATAAACATTTCAGGGAACTATTGAGAAAGAATGGAGTACACCATAGAGTAGCCACTCCATATCATCTCCAAACAAATGGGCAAGCTGAAGTAGCAAATAGGAAAATTCAAAAAAATTAGAGAAAAATAGTTAGACCAAATAGGAAAGATTGACTGATAAGTCTTCATTATCATGAGTTAATAATTAGTAAATAATATAGTTTTAGCCTTAACTAATGATAAATAGACTTATATTTGTGTTAAAGTATGATTTGTGATTTTCAATTGATTAATGTGAATTTTTGGATAATTATGTGATTTTATACGATTTTTATAGTTTTACTTTTGAGATAAATGAAGAATAAGAAATAAAAATAAAAATATTGCAAAATGGGGGGACCCGCCAGCCAGTCGGGCCCGCAAACGGGTCGGAAGTGTAGTTGGGGAGTAGTCGCAAGTAGTGGCTCGAGCAACTTAGCTTGGACTGATATAGGGACATGTGTGTGCCACTCCCCTTCCACGTCACTAGTGACCAGCCGGCTATGGGGCAAGGAGTGGTCGTACACGCGAGAGAAGGGACTTTGCTTAGAAAGCTAACACTACTATATATTCACCGGAAAAATCGCCGCACAATCGATGTGGGACTAAACTTGCGTCACACCTTCCTTAGAGGAGGGCGACCGGCGCGGGTTTGAATCCTCCTAGAGTCAAAATTCATATATTTTTATCTGATTATCGCGACTTTCTTGCAGATCGCTAGTGAAGGATTAAGCAACAAGAATCGCTGGATCATCGACGAAAATCTCGTCAATGCGATTCGCAGAGTATTGCTACTAAAATTGCTGAACGATTCACGATAAAAGGATCGCGAATCCATTGAGTAAATCATCTCCGATTGATCGACGAACAAGCCATCGTCGGGAAGAGGACGATCTGTCGAAAGACGAGTCGCCACCTCTTAAGAGCGTATCGGATGTGATGAAGAGCCTCTTCTTGCTGCGTGGACCTGAGGATGAAGCTCCCTAACATGCACCCCACCTCCATCCAGCTCCTCTTTGTCGGGTGACAGCCGTCGGAGAGCCACAAAGTTGCCATTCTTCCACTCCGCTAGGTGATAGCCATCAGAGACGATTCGATGACCCACTTCATTGATTACTAGACTTCGCGAGAAGATCTAAAGATTGCCAATGTCGTCTTTGTCCAAGGAGAGCCTTCAAGACCATGGACACTGCACAACGATCCTCCTGAACGCTCAAGATTCCGGTGCATCATCAATGCATCACCATCGTGACACTAGAACTCTATTTTCCTGCTTTCAATTTACTTTACGCTTCATTTAGTGATAATTTTTGTGTTTTTAATTTACCAAGATATACTTTGTTCTATTACAATTCTTCTAGCTTTTACAAATCTTAATTTGATCAATTAAATCGTCTATAATCGCTTATGTAAGAATCGTCGAGCGGAACTCTATTTCCGCCTGATTCGCGTTCGCCAAGCACTAACATCATCCTGACATCCGCCCCTTTATTTCCCTATTTCGTGATTTTTAAATATATTTCCTTTTTATTTCCTAGTATAAAATTCATAGAAAATCGTATTCATTGAGAAAAATTCTGAATAATTATCAGATATTATATTACATCCCTGTGATCGATCTGGAAAATTATTGCTATTTTGGGAAGTTTTATTGAATTATAATTGATATATTTATTTAGAAATACTTCTAAATATCTAAAAAATTATATTTTCTAGTTTTATAAATTTTATATTTGCGTGATTTAATATACAACAACTGAGTCACGTCATTGACTCATGAAATTACAAGATGCATTATGAGCTTATAGAACAACTTATAGAAATGCCATAAGTATGTCCCCGTTTCATCTCATTTTTAGAAAGCCATGTCATCTTCCTATGAAAATAGAGCATAAAGCATTATGGGCTATAAAAAATTTATGTATGGATGAAAAATCAGCTGGTGGGCATAGAATTCTCAACTACATGAATTAGAAGAGTTGAGGAATGAAGCTTATGAAAATCATAGAATATATAATGAAAAAACTAAACCTTTTCATGATAAATACATTAGCAGAAAAAAAATTGATGTTGGACAAAAAGTGTGGTTATATGATTCTAGGCTGAAATTTATCCCAAAAAAATTAAAATCAAAATAGACAGGGCCTTATGTGGTGGAAAAGACATATGATCATGGAACTATACTGATTAAAGATCCTAAAAGTGATCATAACTTTAAGGTAAATGGACAGCAGCTTAAACATTACATAGAACATGAACATCTTGTAGAAAAAGAAATTTTATTATTAAAAGAAATTCAAGAGTAAGATCAACGTATCTAGTTGGAGACATTAAATTTAGCGTTGCATGGGAGGCAACCCATGATTTTTATTTCATTCTATTTGACTTTTTTTTAAGCTCTATTTTTCTTAAAATTTTGTAGTACTTGTGTGAACTTGAGGATGAAGCTCTCTACAAACAGTATACCTCCATCTAGCTCCTCTCCATCAGGTGACAGCCGCTAGAGAGCCACAAAGTCGTCATTTTTGTACTCCGCTAGATGACAGCCACCAAAGACGATTCAATGCACCCTTATTTCCCTTTTTCAAAAATTTTAAATATATTTTATTTTTATTTCTTAGTATAAAAGCTCATATTTTTTAAAATAATTCTGAAAAATTATCTAATATTATATTATATCTCTATAATCGACTTGGAAAATCATCACTATTTTTAGAAGTTTTATTAAATTATAATTGATATATTTGTTTAGAAATACTTCTAAATATCTGAAAATTAATATTTTCTAGTTTTATAAATTTTAAATTTATGTGATTTAATATAGAATAACTAAGTCACGTCAAGACTTGATCTCTATTATTTTCACTTAAATTCCCATAAAGACTATAAATCTCATTAGAGGTTTTCTCCATATAAGCTCTTCCACATAGAATCAATTATATCTATATGTTGTTCTAATAATTCATAATAAAAAATTTTATTGAGTTGCCACTTGGGTATAGTATGATGACGACACTTTTTAAGTAAATCTTTGAATTTTTCTCATGTCTCATACAAAGTTTCTCTTTGATTTTGAGAAAAACTTCATATATATTTTCTCATATTTTGAGTTTTTCCTAAGGGGTAAAATTTTCAAAGAAAAGACTATTCTATGTCTTTTCAACTATTTAATTCTTTATCTAATAGGGATAGCTAATAACTAGTCTTGTCCCTAAGTATATGAGGGAATAGTTTCATCTTAATAATTTCTAGTGTAACTCGAAGGAGATTAAGAAAATCATAGACCATATGAATTTTTTTCAAATGCTAATGAGGTTCCTCTAAAGGTAACCCATGAAAATTAGGGAGCATTTAGAAATTTTCTAGATTTATTTGGAATTTAACAATGGGTGCTAATGGGACTCAAATATTGGATGCTCTTTGAAATGAATTAGGGGTTTTTTATGGCCATAAGATTGTTCTCAATTTGACTTGTACTTCCTTCAAGATCCATCAAAATCAATAAATTTAAGAAAAAAGTTTAATAACTATTATCCTCCTTTAGTATGCCTCAATACTTCCCTTGCTAATCTTTGTTCTCTCTTTTTTCTTTTTTTTATACAAGAAGAAAATAAAAACAAGAGTTAATTTTTTTTTTGTAGTCAAAGAGAAAAATACAAAAATACTCAATATTATGTAATACATCCTTAGCAACGGTGTCAAAATTAAATGTGACTTAGTCATTGTATGTTACATCATGTAAATTCAAAATTTATAAAACTAGAAAAAACTAATTGTCAAATATTTAGAAGTATTTCTGAATAAATATCTTAATTATAATTTAATAAAATTTCCAAAAATAGTAACAATTTTTCAAGTCAATCATAGAGATCTAGTATAATATTGGGTAATTTTTTAAAATTTTCCTCAAAGAATACGATTTTTTATGAATTTTAGATTAAGAAATCAAAATAAAATTTATTTCAAATTTATAAAAAAAGAAAATAAAGGGGAGGACATTAGGATGGTGTTGGTGCTTGACAAATAAAACTAAAAATTCTTATGTAAGTGATTATAGGTGATTTAATTGATCAAATTAAGATCTATAAAAGTCAAAAGAATCGTAACTAAATGAAGAATAGTCTCGTAAATTTAAATCACACAAGTTATCACTAAATGAAGTGAAACTTAAGTTGGAAGTATGAAAATAGACTTTTGGTGTTGCAGTAGGATGCACCAGAATCTTGAGTGTTCAAAAGGATTGTCGTATAGTGTCTATGGTCTCAAAGACTCTTCTTAGATATGGATGACGTGAGTAATCTCTAAACCTTCTTGTAAAGTCTAGAGATTAATAAAATGGGTTGTCGAACCATCTCCGATGATTGCCACCAACCAAAGCAAAAAACTAGTGACTTTGCTGCCCTCTAGCTACTTTTAACCAACAAAGAAGAGCTAGATAGAGGTGAGGTGCGTGTTATGGAGCTTCATCTTCAGATCTGCACAGTAAGAGGAGGCTCTTCATCATATCTAGTATGCTCTTAGAAGGTGGCAACTCATCTCCTAACGGATCATCCTCTTTTCGACGACAGCTTATTCGTCAATCAATTACAGATTATTTACTTAATAGATTCACAATCCTTTTATCATGAATCATTTAATAATTTTAATAACAATATTTTGCGAACCACGTTGATGAAATTTTTGTTAATAATTGAATGATTCTAGCGGCTTAATCCTTCATTAGTGATCTACAAGAAAGTAGTGATTTAATTAGATAAAAATATGAGTTTTGGCTCTAGTAGGATTTGAACTCACCTCGATTACTTGCCTACATGAGAGAGATTAAAATAAGTATTCTAATATCTTTATGAAGTGATGTCATCATGGTATATGACGTGACTCAGTCGTTGTATATTAAATCACGCAAATATGAAATTTATAAAACTAGAAAATACGAATTTTTGGTTATTTAGAAGTATTTCTAAATAAATATATCAATTATAATTCAATAAAAATTCTAAAAATAGCAGTAATTTTCCAGGTCAATCACAGGGATGTAATATAATATCTGGTAATTATTCAGAATTTTTCTCAATGAATACAATTTTCTTTTGAATTTAATACTAGGAAATAAAAAGGAAATATACTTAAAATTCACGAAAAAAAACGAAATAAGGGTGCAGACGTTGGAATGACGTCAGCGCCGGGCAAATGCGAATCAGACAAAAACAGAGTTCCGCCCGGTGATTCTTACGTAAGTGATTACAGATGACTTAATTAATCAAATTAAGATCTGTAAAAGCTGAAAGAATCGTAATTGAACGAAGTATAGTTTGGTAAATTAAAATCACACAAAGTATCAGTAAATGAAACGTAAATTAAATTGAAAGTAGGAAAACAAAGTTCCGGCATCGTGACGGCGATGCGTTGGCGATGCACCGGAATCCTGACCGTTCGGGAGGATCGTCGTGCAGTGTCCACGGCCTCAAAGGCTCTCCTTGGACAAAGACGATGTGGGCAACCTCTAGATCTTCTTGCGAAGTCTAGAGATCAATGAAGTGGGTTGTCGAATCGTCTCTGGCGGCTGTCACCCGGCGGAGCGGAAAAATGGCGACTTTGCGGCCCTCCAGTGGCTCTCACCCGACGAAGAGGAGCTGGATGGAGGTGGGGCGCGTGTTAGAGAGCTTCATCCTCAGGTCTGCGCAGCAAGAGGAGGCTCTTCATCGCATCTGGTATGCTCTCAGGAGGTGGCGACTGGTGTCCCAGCGGATCGTCCTCTTCCCAATGACGGCTTGTTCGTTGATCATTCGGAGATGATTTACTCGATGGATTCGCGATCCTTCTATCGCGAATCATTCAGCAATTTTAGTAGCAATGCTCCGCGAATCGCGTTGACGAATTTTCGCCGATGATCCAACGATTCTCGTTGCTTAATCCTTCACCAGTGATCTGTAGGAAAGTCGCGATAATCAGATAAAAATATATGAATTTTGACTCTGGGAGGATTCGAACTCACGTCAGTCGCCTGCTGATAAGTCTTCATTATCATGAGTTAATAATTAGTAAACAATATAGTTTAGCCTTCACTCATGATAAATAGACTTATATTTGTGTTAAAAAATGATTTTCTGTTTTCAATTGATTAATGTGAATTTTTGGGTAATTATGTGATTTTATACGATTTTTACAGTCTTACTTTTGAGATAAATGAAGAATAAGAAATAAAAATAAAAATATTGCAAAAATGGGGGGACCCGCCAGCCAACCGGGCCCGCAAGCGGGTCGGAAGCACAGTCGGGGAGTAAGCTGCGAGCAGGGGCTTGAGCGGCTTGGCTTGGAGACCGACAGGGCACGCGTACGCCACTCCCCTTCCACATCACTGGTGGCCAGCTGGCTGTGGGGCAAGGAGTGGTCATACACGCGAGAGAAGGGACTTTGCTCACAAATCGGCATACAACCGATGTGGGACTAAACCCCCGTCACACCTACCTCAAAAGAGGCGGGCGACCGGCGCGGGTTCGAATCCTCCCAAAGTCAAAATTCATATATTTTTATCTGATTATCGTGACTTTCCTGCAGATCGCCGGTGAAGGATTAAGCAACGAGAATCGCTGGATCATCGGCAAAAATCTCGTCAACACGATTCGCGGAGCATTGCTACTAAAATTGCTAAACGATTCGCGATAAAAGGATCGCGAATCCATCGAGTAAATCATCTTCGATTGATCGACGAACAAGCCGTCGTCGGGAAAAGGACGATCCGCCGGGAGACCAGTCGCCACCTCCTGAGAGCGTACCAGATGCGATGAAGAGCCTCCTCTTGCTGCGCGGACCTGAGGATGAAGCTCCCTAACACGTGCCTCACCTCCATTCAGCTCCTCTCCATCGGGTGACAGCCGCCGGAGAGCCCCAAAGTCGCCGTTTTTCCGCTCCGCCAGGTGACAGCCGTCGAAGATGATTCGACGACCCACTTCATTGATCTCTAGACTTCGCAAGAAGATCTAGAGATTGCCCACGTTGTCTTTGTCCAAGGAGAGCCTTCGAGGCCGTGGACACTGCACGACGATCCTCCCGAATGCTCAGGATTCCGGTGCATCGCCGACGCATCACCGTCGTGATGCCGGAACTCTGTTTTCCTACTTTCAATTTAATTTACGCTTTATTTAGTGATACTTTATGTGATTTTAATTTGCCAAACTATACTTCGTTAAATTACGATTCTTCCAGCTTTTACAGATCTTAATTTGATTAATTAAGTCGTTTGTAATCGCTTATGTAAGAATCGCCTGACGAAACTCTGTTTCCGCCTGATTCGCGTTCGCAGGGCGCTAACGTCATCCTGACGCCCCCACCCTTATTTCCTTTTTTTTTTTCGTGATTTTTTAATATATTTTCTTTTTATTTCCTAGTACAAAATTCGTAAGAAAATCGTATTCATTGAGAAAAATTCTGAATAATTACCAGATATTATATTACATCTCTATGATCGACCTGAAAAATTACCGCTATTTTTGGAATTTTTATTGAATTATAATTGATATATTTATTTTGAAATACTTCTAAATATCCAAAAATTTGTATTTTCTAGTTTTATAAATTTTATATTTGCGTGATTTAACATACAACAACTGAGTCACGTCACCTACCTCTTTTGAGGAAGGTGTGACAAGGGTTTAGTCCCACATCGGTTGTACGCCGATTTTTCGGGCGAATATATAGTAATGTTAGGTTTGTGAGCAAAGTCCCTTCTCTCGCGTGTATGACCACTCCTTGCCCCATAGCCGGCTGCCCACCGGTAACGTGGAAGGGGAGTGGCGTATGCGTGCCCTGTCGATCCCCAAGTCAAGCCGCTCGAGCCCCTACTTGCGGCTTACTCCCCGACTGCGCTTCCGACCTGCTCGCGAGCCCAGCTGGCCGGCGGGTCCCCCCATTTTTGCAATATTTTTATTTTTATTTCTTGTTCTTCATTTATCTCAAAAGTAAGATTGTAAAAATCGTATAAAATCACATAATTACCCAAAAATTCACGTTAGTCAATTGAAGACAAAAAATCATTCTTTAACACAAATATAAGTCTATTTATCATGAGTTAAGGCTAAAACTATATTATTTACTAATTATTAACTCATGATAATGAAGACTTATCAGTATATCATTGTTATACCTAAAGGGTAATTTAGGTATTAAAATAAATGAAACCATTTTTGAGAAGGTGTGATACGGGTTTAGTTCCACATTGATTGTTGATAAGTCTTCATTATCATGAGTTAATAATTAGTAAATAATATAGTTTTAGCCTTAACTCATGATAAATAGACTTATATTTGTGTTAAAGCATGAAAAGTGGTTTTCAGTTGATTAACGTGAATTTTTGGGTAATTATGTGATTTTATACGATTTTTACAGTCTTAGTTTTGAGATAAATGAAGAACAAGAAATAAAAATAAAAATATTGCAAAATGGGCGGACCCGCCGGCCAGCCGGGCCCGCAAGCGGGTCGGAAGCGCAGTCGGGGAGTAGCCGCGAGCAGGGGCTCGAGCGGCTTGCTTGGATCGATAGGGGCACATGTGCGCCACTCCCCTTCCAGGTCACCGGTGGTCAGCCGGCTGTGGGGCAAGGAGTGGTCGTACACGCGAGAGGACTTTGCCTAGAAAGCTAACTTTACTATATATTCGCCCGAATAATCCGCGCACAACCGATGTGGGACTAAATCCACCTTGTAAGGCGCCGGCGACCGCCGCGGGTTCGAATCCTCCCAGAGTCAAAATTCATATATTTTTAACTGATTATCGCGACTTTCCTGCAGATCGCCGGTGAAGGATTAAGCAACCGGAATCGCTGGATCATCGGCGAAAATCTCGTCAACGCGATTTGCGGAGCATTGCTACTAAAATTTCTGAACGATTCGCGATAAAAGGATCGCAATCCATCGAGTAAATCATCTCCGATTGATCGACGAACAAGCCGTCGTCGGGAAGAGGACGATCCGCCGGGAGACCAGTCGCCACCTCCTGAGAGCGTACCAGATGCGATGAAGAGCCTCCTCTTGCTGCGCGGACCTGAGGATGAAGCTCCCTAACACGCGCCTCACCTCCATCCAGCCCCTCTCCGTCGGGTGACAGCCGCCGGAGAGCCGCAAAGTCGCCGTTTTTCCGCTCCGCCGGGTGACAGCCGCCGGAGACGATTCGACGACCCACTTCATTGGTCTCTAGACTTCGCGAGAAGATCTAGAGATTGCTCACGTCGTCTTTGTCCAAGGAGAGCCTTCGAGGCCGTGGACACTGCACGACGACCCTCCCGAATGCTCAGGATTCCGGTGCATCGCCGACGCGTCGCCGTTGCGACGCCGGAACTCTGTTTTCCTGCTTTATCTAAAGATTGCCCACGTTGTCTTTGTCAAAGGAGAGCCTTCGAGGCCGTGGACACTACACGACGATCCTCCCGAACGCTCAGGATTCCGGTGCATCGCCGACGCGTCGCCGTCACGACGTCGGAACTCTGTTTTCCTACTTTCAATTTAATTTACGCTTTATTTAGTGATACTTTGTGTGATTTTTAATTTACCAAACTATACTTCGTTAAATTACGATTCTTCCGGCTTTTACAGATCTTAATTTGATTAATTAAGTCGTCTGTAATCGCTTACGTAAGAATCGCCGGGCGGAACTCTGTTTCCGCCTGATTCGCGTTCGCCTGGCGCTGACGTCATCCTGACGCCCGCACCCTTATTTCCTTTTTTTCATGAATTTTAAATATATTTCCTTTTTATTTCCTAGTATAAAATTCGTAAGAAAATCGTACTCGTTGAGAAAAATTCTGAATAATTACCAGATATTATATTACATCCCTGTGATCGACCTGGAAAATTACCACTATTTTTGGGATTTTTATTGAATTATAATTGATATATTTATTTTGAAATACTTCTAAATATCCGAAAATTCGTATTTTCTAGTTTTATAAATTTTAAATTTGCGTGATTTAATATACAACGACTGAGTCACGTCAATTGTACATCGAATTTTTGGTTGAATATATAATAATATTAGATTTAGAAGCAATGAGTCTCTTTCTTGTGTGTACGACTACTCTTTGCTACACAACTAGCTGGCCACTAGTGACGTAGAAGGGACTGGCACACACATGCCCCCATCAGTCCATAGTTGCTCAAGCTTCTAATCATGGCTCCCCTCGACTGTGCTTTCAACCTGATTGTGGGCTCAACTGGTTGGTGGGTCCCCTCTTTTTTCTATATTTTTATTTTAATTTCTCTTTCTTCATTTATCTCAAAAATAAGAGTATAAAAATCATATAAATTTATATAAAATCACATAATTAGCCAAAAAATCACATTAACTAACTAAAAACCAATTTTCATAAATTAATAGAAGTATAATTTTATTTATCATGAGTTAAGATTAAAACTCTATTATTTATTAATTATTAACTCATGATAATGTAGACTTATCAATCCTATTATTAAAATTGCTACTACCCACATTTTACTTTCTCTAGCAAATCAGCATAATTAGTATATTCACTAATTGGATGTCTCAAATGCTTTCTTACATGGTGATCTTTCTAAAACAATTTATATGAGTCAACCCCCTAGTTTTAGCCATCCTAATTATCCTGATTACATGTGTAAACTTCAAAAATCATTATATGGGCTAAGACTCTCTAATATTTTAACTTCCCTTGAATTTAATGGTTCTAAAATTGACTCCTCATTATTTTCCAAATATATAAACTTCATCCCATATTTCTTGCTTATATATGTTGATGACATCATATTAATTAGCCCTAATTCTTTTGAACTTCATAATATTATACATTGCTTAAATTCCATATTTTCTATGGGTGATTTAGGACATGCTTATTTCTTTTTAGGTATAGAATTAATTAATATTTCATCTGGTTTTTTTATATTGCAATCAAAATATATCACATCTATCTTAAGAAAAACTAAAGTAGAAAATACCAAATCTGCATCAAATTTCTGCACTTTTCTACAATAAAAAACACTCCAATATAACTTGTTGATGCAACACATGATTATAGATGATTTAATTAGTCAAATTAAGATTTATAAAAGTTAGAAGAATCGTAATTAAATGGAGAGTAATTTGAAAAAGTTAAATCACATAAATTATCTGTAAATGAAGTAAAAATTAAGTTGAAAGTAAGAAAAATAGAATTCAAGCATGACATTAATGATGTGTTGACAATGCATTAAAATCTTGAGTGTTCGAGAGGATTGTCATGTAGTGTCTAAAGCCTTGAAAACTCTCCTTGGACAAGGACGATGTGGGCAATCTCTAGATCTTCTTGCAAAGTCTAGAGATCAACGAAATGAGTCGTCGAATCATCTTTGGTGGCTGTCACTTGACAAAGCAAAAATATGACAACTTTATAACTCTCTAACAGCTGTCACCCAATGGAGAAGAACTAGATAGAGGTGGGGCACATGGGAGTTTCATCCTAAGGTCAGCACAACAAAAGATGGCTCTTCATCACATTTGGTGGATTGTCTTCTTCCCACGACGACTTGGTCGTTGATCAATCAACTATGATTTACTCAATGGATTCACTATCTTTTTATCTTCAATCATTTAGTAATTTTAGTAATGATGCCCCACGAAACACATTGATTAGATTTTTGTCAAAAATTGGGCAATTTTGATGGCTTAATCCTTCACTAGTGATCTATAAGAAAATCATGATTTAATTAGATAAAAATGAGTTTTGACTTTAGTAGGATTCAAACCCTCACCGATTACCCATTGTCATGAGAAAGAGTAAAATAAGTACGCAAATATCCTTATAAAGTGACATCATCAAGCTATCTTCTTTTGATAAATAAGAGGTATTTTAGGTATTAAAATCTTCTAAAATATTTGAAAAGGGTGACATGATTTAGTAGTTGTATAGTAAATCATGTCAAATTTAAAATTTATAAAACTAGAAAATACTAATTTTTGAATATTTAGAAGTATTTCTGAACAAATATATCAATTATAATTCAATAAAATTTTCAAAAATAGTGATAAAATTTCAAATCAATTGTAGGGATGTAATATAATATTGGGTAAGTTTTCAAATTTTTTCTCAAAGAAGACAAATTTTTATAAATTTTATATTAAGAAATAAAAATAAAATATATTTAAAATTTTAAAAAAGGGAAATAAGGGTGTTGATGAGATTTTCGTCAATAATCTAGTAATTTTGGCTGCTTAATCCTTCACTGGTGATCTATAGGAAAGTTGCAATAATTAGATAAAAATATGAGTTTTGGCTCTAAGAGGATTCAAACTCATGCTGGTTTCCTATGTACATATAGAGAGTCAAATAAGTACTCTAATGTCCTTATAAAGTGACGTCATCATGGTATATCTCTGTTATAACTATGAGATATTTTAAGTATTAAAATCTTCGAACTCTTTCATAGGAAGGTGTAATGTAGGTTTAGTCCCACATTACTTGTGTGTTGAAGTTTTGGACGAATATATAGTAATATTACATTTACAAGCAATCAATCCCTTTTTCCTGTGTGTACGACCATTCCTTGCCCCACAGCCAACTAGCCACTAGTGACGTGGAAGGGGAGCGGCACACACAGATCCCCATTGGTCCTACTCTCTTGAGCCCCTACTCATGATTCCTCCATAATTGTGCTTCCGACCCACCTACACACCTAGCTGGGCAGTGGGTCCCCCTCATTTTGTTATATTTTTATTTTTATTTCTTTTTCTTCATTTATCTAAAAAATAAGACTATAAAAATCATATAAATTTATAAAAAATCACATAATTAGCCAAAAATTTAGGTTAATTAATTGAAAATCACTTTTCACACTTTAACACAAATATAAATCTATTTATCATGAGTTAAGACTAAAACTATATTATTTACTAATTATTAACTCATGATAATGAACACTTATAACACCCCCAACTTAAATTATTGTTGATCCTTTAATAACAGAATTAAGAAAATAAAAATTCATAAATCTCAAATATCTTATTTCAATGTATAAAAAAAATACAATTAGAAAGGATGCACCTTTAGAAACTTTGGATTCTTATATCAAGTATTTAAGAATGATGTCAAGCATTTAAATATTTATGTAGTACTTAGAATAACAATCTAGACTTCACTTCTTCTATTCACATCTTTATCACTTCTTAACTCATATATATATTTACAAGATGTTCTAATTATTAATACTCATCTAAGAATAATATTGATCCTACATTTTCTTTTTTCCATGACTTGATTTTTGAAATTTGCACTATATTTATTTCTTTTATATATATATATAGTGGATAAGTAGCTTTCCTTGTAGATAAATTTCGACAATAAGAATAATGTCTCATACCCCATGTGTACTCTTTATTTTCAGGGCTTTCACTTTATCCACTTATTTTGTAGTAAATGTTTTTCTATGCATGATTTTCGACAATGAGAATGATGTCTCACACCCTCTATGTGTACTCTTCGTTTCTAGATTTTTCACATTGCTCTCTCTTTCTTTTTTTAAATAAGTGATTTCTCATCACAAGTCCTATAGATCAAAGTGGAAAAATTTCCATTGAACTCAAATGATCAATCAAATTTTCACATCAAGTAAATACTATCCATCAAGATCATGAAAATAAATTTTTTTAAATCAAATCTATATTATCTATCATGTATCCAAGGAGTATTCCAATATTTCATGCTACTAAATCATTTTTTTGACTCAATAATAATCTTCCTAGTATCTTTTGATATCAATCAATCAAATTGATTTAATTTTTTGTGTATGCAATATGACGTAAGAAATTTGTAACAATTCTAACAATTCTACTTTTTGTTTTCAATTTTGTTTTTAGCATCAATAAATTTATCAAAAATAAATGAAAACTATCCTCTTTATAGTTGCAATTTCAAATTTTAGTAATATATGTCTAGGGGATTGAAATGTGAGGAAAGGGTATCTAGAATTTAAAATTTTGGGCTACTTTTTGTCTACTATTTTTGAGAATCTATTGTTCCTAATAGAAAACTAGAAAATAGATGTTGTAGTTTTTCTGAATATATATTTTTTTTAAGTGCTGTTCTAAGTGAGCATGAAAAAAAATGCAAACACATGTTCTTAATTGTCATACAGCATAAATTAAGAATTAACACTTCACCCCCCAACTTAAAAATGACATTGTCCTCAATGACACAGAAAAATTGAAATAGAATTTACAAAAATTATAATTTTCAAGTGAAGCATGCATATATGCAAAGTTAAGCATTAAAAATGTTGTTAAAATGATAAAGCTCAAAAAGACATCACCTCAACCTCATTTTTAATTTTCTACTTCATCTTACACTCCCCATGCACTTACCTCCCATACAATGCTGAATTTAATATTTTCATCTGGACACATTGATCTTACTCTTGAATTTCTTTTAATAATAAAATTTCTTTTTCTGCAAGGCATTCGTGTTCTATGTAATATTTAAATTGTTGTCTATTTACCTTAAAGTTATGATCACTTTTAGGATTTTAATCATTACAGCCCCATGATCATGTCTCTTCCACCACATAAGACCCTGTCCATTTTGATTTTAACTTTCCTAAGAATAATTTCAGCCTAAAATCATATAACCACACTTTTTGTCCAACATCATTTTTTTTCTACTAATGTATTTATCATGAAAAGTTTTAATTTTTTTTTATATTCTATGATTTTCATAAGCTTTATTCCTCAACTCTAGTTCATGTAGTTGAAAAATTCTATGCCTACCAGCTGATTTTTCATCCATATAGAAAATTTTTATAGCCCATAATGCTTTATGCTCTATTTTCACAAGAAGATGACATGCTTTCCAAAAATGAGACAAAATGGGGATATACCTATGAGATTTTGATAAGCTATTCTATCAACTCATAATGCATCTTGTAATTTTGTGGCCAGTTTTTCCTATCTAGTCTAATTATTTTTCTTAAAATTCTCTAAATTTTCTTGTTCGCTACCTCAACTTACCTATTTATTTGAGGATGATATGGAGTGACTACTCTATGGTGTACTCCATTCTTTTTTAACAGTTCCTTAAAATATTTATTTGTAAAATATGTTCCTCCATCACTAATAATCACTTTATGACATCTAAATCTAAAAAAATATTTTCTTACACAAATTTCATCACGATTTTATGATCATTAATTCCAGTAGGAAAGCTTCCACCACTTGAGACACATAATCAATAGCAATCAAAATATATTCATATTTTCAGCTAATAGGAATGGACCCATGAAATCTATTCCCCATTGATAAGTTTTCATTATCATGAGTTAATAATTAGTAAATAATATAGTTTAGCCTTAACTCATTAGAAATAAACTTATATTTATGTTAAATTATGAAAAGTAATTTTCAATTGATTAACGTGGTTTTTTAGTTAATTATGTGATTTTTTAAAAACTTATATGATTTTTATAGTCTTATTTTTGAGATAAATAAAGAAAAAGAAATTAAAAAAAAATAGTAAAATAGAGGGACTCACTAGCTAGTCGGGCCTACAAGGGGGTCGAAAGTATAGTCGAGGGGAGCCACAAGTAGGCGCTCGAGTGGCTAGGACAGATGGGGGCATGTGCACCACTCTCCTTCCACGTCACTGGTGGCTTGCCGGTTGTGGGGCAAGGAGTGGTCATACACATGAGAGAAAGTGACTCATTACTTCCAAATGTTATATTACTATATATTCGTCAAAAACTTCAGTGCACAAATAATGTGGTACTAAACCTGTATCACACCTTCCCTCCAGAGACTTCAAAGATTTAAATACCTAAACTACCCCTTCATTATACAAAGATAAACCATAATAACATCACTTGATAAGGGTAGTAGAGTACTTATTTCAATCTCTCTCATGTAGGCGGGCAACTGACATGGGCTCAAATCCTTCTAGAGCCAAAACTTGTATTTTTATTTGATTATTGTAACTTTCCTATAAATCGTCAGTGAAGGATTAAGCTGTCAAAATTGGTAGATGATTGGTGAAAATCTTGTTAACGCAATTCGTGGAGTATTGTTACTAAAATTACTAAATGATTCGTGATAAAAGGATCACGAATCCATCGAGTAAATCATCTCTAATTGATCGACAAACAAGTCATAAATTTTCATTAAGATGAGTTAATAATTAATAAATAATACAATTTTAGCCTTAACTCATGATAAATAGACATATTTATGTTAAAATATGAAAAGTATTTTTTAGTTGATTAATGTGAATTTTTAGATAATTATGTGATTTTATACAAATTTATATGATTTTTATAGTCTTATTTTTCAGATAAATGAAGAAAAAAAAGAAATAAAAATATAACAAAATGGGGGGAACCCACCAGCCAGCCGGGCCCACAAGTGGGTCGAAAGCGTAGTTGGGGAGTAGCCGCGAGTAGAGGCTCAAGTGGCTTAGACTGATGGGGGCATCATAAGTCTTCATTATCATGAGTTAATAATTAGTAAATAATATAGTTTTAGCCTTAACTCATGATAAATAGACTTATATTTGTGTTAAAAAATGATTTGTGGTTTTCAGTTGATTAACGTGAATTTTGAGGTAATTATGTGATTTTATATAATTTTTACAGTCTCACTTTTGAGATAAATGAAGAACAAGAAATAAAAATAAAAATATTGCAAAATGGGGGACTCGCCGGCTAGTCAGGCCCGCAAGCAGGTCGAAAGTGCAGTTAGGGAGTAGCCACGAGTAGGGGCTTGAGCGGCTTGGCTTGGACTAATAGGGCACGTGTATGCCACTCCCCTTCCATGTCATTGGTGGCCAGCCGACTGTGGGGCAAAGAGTGGTCGTACACGCGAGAGAAGGAACTTTGCTCACAAAGCTAACAGTACTACATATTCGCTCGAAAAATCACTGCACAACCGATGTGGGACTAAACCCACATCACACCTTCCTCAAAAGAGGTGGGCGACTAGCACGGGTTCGAATCCTCCTAGAGTCAAAATTCATATATTTTTATCTGATTATCGCGACTTTCTTGCAGATCGCCGGTGAAGGATTAAGCAACGAGAATCGCTAGATCATCGGTGAAAATTTAGTCAACGCGATTCGCGGAGCATTGCTACTAAAATTATTGAACGATTCGTGATAAAAGGATCACGAATCCATCGAGTAAATCATCTTCGATTGATCGACAAACAAGCTGTCGTCAAGAAGAGGACGATCCGTCAGGAGAAGAGTCGCCACCTCCTAAGAGTGTACCAGATGCGATGAACAGCCTCCTCTTGTTGCGCGGACCTAAAGATGAAGCTCCCTGACATGCGCCCCACCTCCATCCAGCTCCTCTCCGTCGAGTGACAGTCACCAAAGAGCCGCAAAGTCACCGCTTTTCCGCTCCGTCATGTGACAGCCACCGGAGACAGACTCGACGACCCACTTCATTGATCTCTAGATGTCAGTGCCCGGCGAACGCGAATCAGGCAGAAACAGAGTTCTGCCCGACGATTCTTACGTAGGCGATTACAGACGACTCAATTAATCAAATTAAGATCTGTAAAAGCCGGAAGAATCGTAGTTGAACGAAGTATAGTTTGGTAAATAAAAATCAACAAAGTATCACTAAATGAAGCGTAAATTAAATTGAAAGCAGGAAAATAGAGTTCCGGCGTCGCGACGGCGATGCGTCGGCGATGCACCGGAATCCTGATCGTTCGGGAGGATCGTCGTGCAGTGTCCACGGCCTCAAAGGCTCTCCTTGGACAAAGACGACGTGGGCAATCTCTAGATAAAGCAGGAAAACAGAGTTCCGGCGTCGCGACGGCGACGCGTCGGCGATGCACCGGAATCCTGAGCGTTCGAGAGGGTTGTCGTGCAGTGTCCACGGCCTCAAAGGCTCTCCTTGGACAAAGACGACGTGGGCAATCTCTAGATAAAGCAGGAAAACAGAGTTCCGGCGTCGCGACGGCGACGCGTCGGCGATGCACCGGAATCCTGAGTGTTCGGGAGGGTCGTCGTGCAGTGTCCATGGCCTCGAAGGCTCTCCTTGGACAAAGACGACGTGGGCAATCTCTAGATCTTCTCGCGAAGTCTAGAGACCAATGAAGTGGGTCGTCGAATCGTCTCCGGCGGCTGTCACCCGGCGGAGCGGAAAAATGGCGACTTTGCGGCTCTCCGGCGGCTGTCACCCGACGGAGAGGGGCTGGATGAAGGTGAGGCGCGTGTTAGGGAGCTTCATCCTCAGGTCCGCGCAGCAAGAGGAGGCTCTTCATCGCATCTGGTACGCTCTCAGGAGGTGGCGACTGGTCTCCTGGCGGATCGTCCTCTTCCCGACGACGGCTTGTTCGTCGATCAATCGGAGATGATTTACTCGATGGATTGCGATCCTTTTATCGCGAATCGTTTAGAAATTTTAGTAGCAATGCTCCGCAAATCGCGTTGACGAGATTTTCGCCGATGATCCAGCGATTCCGGTTACTTAATCCTTCACCGGCGATCTGCAGGAAAGTCGCGATAATCAGTTAAAAATATATGAATTTTGACTCTGGGAGGATTCGAACCCGTGGCGGTCGCCCGCCCCTGAACAAGGTGGATTTAGTCCCACATCGGTTGTGCGCAGATTATTTGGGTGATTATATAGTAAAGTTAGCTTTCTAGGCAAAGTCCTCTCGCGTGTACGACCACTCCTTGCCCCACAGCCGGCTGACCACCGGTGACGTGGAAGGGGAGTGCGCACACGTGCCCCTATCGATCCAAGCAAGCCGCTCCAGCCCCTGCTCGCGACTACTCCCCGACTGCGCTTCCGACCCGCTTGCGGGCCCGGCTGGCCGGCGGATCCCCCCATTTTGCAATATTTTTATTTTTATTTCTTGTTCTTCATTTTATCTCAAACTAAGACTGTAAAAATCGTATAAAATCACATAATTACCCAAAAATTTACGTTAATCAACTGAAAACCACTTTTCATGCTTTAACACAAATATAAGTCTATTTATCATGAGTTAAGGCTAAAACTATATTATTTACTAATTATTAACTCATGATAATGAAGACTTATCAGCGGCCCATATGGTTAGGTCAGCTATCACTACTTGAAGCCCCTGTGGCCTTGTTTCATTAGCAACAAATTATAGAGGCTTTTGAGAATAAGAGAGAAAAGGGACAGTCACCCAGTCACCTCATAGAAAATTAGGAAACTATCTAATAGTAAGATTTCAACAAGGAGAATCTAGCTGGATAAATTAAAAAAAACACCCACAAAATGAAAATGTTAGGATAGTAAATACATTAAGTGAGAATATTTTACTAGATCCTTATTTATAATTATTAGCAGAAATCAATGAGCGAAAATATAGTAGTGAAAAATTTAAATAAAATCATTTATTGATCATAATTGATGAATGAATATAGTGAGGATGATGAGAGTAATCAGCTGATCATGGAAGAATCTTCCAAATTTTAGTAGAAGGGAGTAAGGACAGAAATGAAGAAAAACATATTTCAAGTGAGGAAAAATCAATTGATTTGGGAGATGTAGGAGACGAAATTAATAAATCTAATCATAATTTGGCAGCAATAGATGTTGATAGTGAGAATGATGATGCATATCATATACTGAAATTAAAAGATAGCTCTTGAGAAGATGAAGAATTTGATGAGTTGAGAAACGAAAAGCTAGAAAAAGAGTTGATTCAACTAATGGAGAGAAATGAAAATAATCAATATGAATATAGAGATAATTTTGGAGGAGAAAATTTGAATTTGACTAAATTCATTAGATCTGAGATTAAAGAAGACAATCCTTCCATCTTTCAAAACCCACAACCCATTAGAGTTATTTCTAATCTTGAAATATTTCACTCCTTACAAATTGAACAAATATGTATGGAAGATAAAATAGAGCAAGGGAAGATTATGTAGATAAAAGAAGACATTAAGAAACGGGTGAATGGAAGAATTAGAGATATCAATTTAGATGAAAAAAATTCTAGATTGGGTAAGAGTTAATTTGAAAATTATATGGCTTGATCACATTTTATAGTCTATTAATAGAAAGTATTTATTAATGAATGAGAGCCTTACAAAATAAGATAGAAATGAGGAAAGATTCTGTTCAAAATAGAAATATTATTTTTGGGAAAATTTTGTTAATTTGCATTTTGTTTTGACTGAAAGTATGGCAAGGTATATATATGAAGTATATGAATTTATGCTAAATCTGAAAAAAAATATCATGAAACTTACTTTGGGATATAAATATATTTTGATGGCCATAGATCGTCTTATATGATTTAAGAGTTGTCTAGTTGAAGACATTAAATTTAGCACTACATGGAAGGCAACCCATGGTTTTTATTTCATTCTATTTTATTATTTTTTAAATTTTTTTAAGCTCTTTTTTTCTTAGAATTTCACAATACTTCTGTAATTTTTTTTTTGAAAAAGTACAAGAGGAGTGTAAAATGAAGTGGAAAATTAAAAACAAGCTTGAGGTGATGTCTTTCTAAGCTTTATCATTTATGACAACATTTTTAATACTTAACTTTGGATGTATGTATGCTTCACTTGAAAATTATGTGTCATTGAGGACAATGTCATTTTTAAGTTGGGGGGTGAAGTATTCTTTATTAATTTATGCTGTAGGACGATTAAGAACATGTGTTTGTATTATATTCAACTTAGAACAGCAACTAAAAAATAAAAATAAAATAAAATTAAGAGAAACTACAACATCTATTTTCTTATTTCCTGTCAGAAACAACAGGTTGTCAAAAAGAATAGACAAAAATTACCCCAAATTTTAAAATTCTTGAGACCATTTTCTTACATTTCAATCTCCTAGACATATATTACTGAAATTCGAAATTACAGCTATAAAGAGAATAGTTTTGATTTATTTTTGACAAATTTATTGTTGCTAAAAGTAGAACTGCAAATAGAAAATAGAACTATCAAAACTATCTAACTTATAACTTTCTTACATCATATTGCATGCATGAAAAATTAAATCAATTAGATTGATTGATACTACAAGATACTAGGAAGATTATTATTGAGTCAAAATAATGATCTAGTAGTATGAAATATTGGAATACTCCTTGGATACATGATAGGTAACATGAATTTGATTTTACAGATTTTCACTTCATGATCTTGATGGATAGTATTTACTTGATGTGAAAATTTGACTGAGCATTTGAGTTTAATGGAGCTTTTTGCATCCTGATCTATAGGACTTGTGAAGAGAAATCAATTATTTTAAAAAAAAAAAAGAGAGAGCAATGTGAAAAATCTAAAAACGAAGAGTACACATGAAGGGTGTGAGACATCATTCTCATTGTCGAAAATCGTGCATAGAAAAACATTCGCTGTAAAAAAAGTGGATAAAGTGAAAGCCCTGAAAATGAAGAGTACACATGGAGGGTGTGAGACATCATTCTTCTTGTTGAAATTTCTCTATAGAAAAAGCTACTTATCCACTATATAGAAAAATAAAAAAAGGAGGAAATATAGTACAAACTTCAAAAAGTAAGCCATTGAAAAGGGAAATATAGAATCAGTATTATTTTTGGATGAGTATTTATAATTGGAACATCTTGTAAATATATCTATTAGTAAAGAAGTGATAAATATGTGAATAGAAGAAGTGATGTCTAGATTATTATTCCAAGAGTGCTTAAATATTTAAGTGTTTGACATCATTCTTACATACTTGATATAAGAATCCAAAGTGTCTAAAGGTGCATCATTTCTAATTATATTTTCTTTTTATGCATTGAAATATGATGTTGGAGATTTATTTTTGTAATTTCATTGCTAAGGGACTGGCAATGATTTAAGTTGGGGGGTGTGTTATGCCTTCATTATGATGAGTTAATAATTAGTAAATAATATAATTTTAGTCTTAACTCATGAAAAATAAACTTATATTTGTGTTAAAATATAAAAAGTAGTTTTTAGTTGATTAATGTAAATTTTTGGATAATTATATGATTTTATACAAATTTATATGATTTTTATAGTCTTACTTTTGAGATAAATGAAGAAAAAAAAATATAACAAAATAGGGGGAACTCGTTAGCTAGTCGGGCCCGCAAGCAGGTTGGAAGCGCAATCAGGGAGTAGTCATGAGTAGGGGCTTGAGCGGCTTGGACCGATGGGGGCACGTGTGTGCCACTCTTCTTCCACGCCACCGGTGGCCAGCTAGGTGTGGGGCAAGGAGTGGTCATATATGCGCGAGAAAGAGACTTGATTGGAAATGTACTATTACTATATATTCGTCAAAAATATTGGTGCACAACCGATGTGGGACTAAACCTGCATCACACCTTCCCCAGAAAGGGCAGGCAATCAGTGCGGGTTTGAATCCTCTCAAAGCCAAAACTCATATTGTTTTTTATCTGATTATCGCGACTTTCTTGCAGATCAACAGTGAAGGATTAAGCAACCAGAATTGTTGGATCATTGGTGAAAATTTCATCAACGTGATTTATAGAGCATTGTTAATAAAGCTGTTGAATGATTCACGATAAAAGGATCACAAATCCATTGAGTAAAGCATCTTTGATTGATCGAAAAACAACCTGTCATCGGGAAGAAGACAATCTGCCAAGAGACAAGTTGTCACCTCCTAAGAGCATACTAGATGTGATGAAGAGCCTCCTCTTGCTGCGTAGACCTGAAGATGAAGCTCCCTGATGTGACTCAATCGTTGTATATTAAATCACGCAAATATAAAATTTATAAAACTAGAAAATACGAATTTTTGGATATTTAGAAGTATTTCTAAATAAATATATCAATTATACTTTAATAAAAATTCCAAAAATAGCGGTAATTTTCCAGGTCAATCACAAGGAAGTAATATAATATCTAGTAATTATTCAGAATTGTTCTCAATGAATACGATTTTTCTATGAATTTTATACTAGGAAATAAAAAGGAAATATATTTAAAATTCATGAAAAAGGGAAATAAGGGCGCGGACGTCAGAATGACGTCAGCACTAGGCGAGAGCGAATCGGACAGAAACAGAGTTTCGCCCGGCAATTCTTACGTATGCGATTACGGTTGATTTAATTGATCAAATTAAGATCTGTAAAAGTCGGAAGAATCGTAATAGAAAAAAGTATATTTTGGTAAATTAAAAACACAAAAATTATCACTAAATGAAGCGTAAAGTAAATTGAAAGCAGTAAAACAAAGTTCTGGCGTCGCGACGGCGATGCGTCAGTGATGCACTAGAATCCTGAGCATTCGGGAGGGTCGTCGTGCAGTGTCCACGGCCTCGAAGGCTCTCCTTGGACAAAGACGACGTGGGCAATCTCTAGATCTTCTCGCGAAGTCTAGAGATCAATGAAGTGGGTCGTCGAATCGTCTCCGGCAGCTGTCACCCGGAGGAGCGGAAAAATGGCGACTTTGCGGCTCTCCGGCGATTGTCACCCAACGGAGAGGAGCAGGATGGAGGTGGGGCACGTGTTAGGGAGCTTCATCCTCAGGTCCGCGCAGCAAGAGAAGCTGGATGGAGGTGAGGCTCTTCATCGCATCTGGTACGCTCTCAAGAAGTGGCGACTGGTCTCCTGATGAATCGTCCTCTTCTCGACGACGGCTTGTTTGTCGATCAATCAGAGATGATTTACTCGATGGATTCGCGATCCTTTTATCATAAATCGTTCAGCAATTTTAGTAGCAATGCTCCGTGAATCGCGTTGACGAGATTTTTGCCGATGATCCAGCGATTCTCGTTGCTTAATCCTTCACCAGTGATCTGTAGGAAAGTCGCGATAATCAGATAGAAATATATGAATTTTGACTCTGGGAGGATTCGAACCCGCGTCAGTCGCCCACCTCTTCTGAGGAAGGTGTGACAGGGGTTTAGTCCCACATCGGTTGTATGTCGATTTTTCAGGCGAATATATAGTAATGTTAGGTTTGTCAACAAAGTCCCATCTCTTGTGTGTATGACCACTCCTTGCCCCACAGCCGGCTGGCCACTGGTGACGTGGAAGGGGAGTCACGTACGTGTGCCTTGTCGGTCCCCAACCCAAGCCGCTCGAGCCCCTGCTCGCGACTTACTCCCCGACTGCGCTTGTGGGCCCGGCTGGCCGGCGGGTTCCCCCATTTTTGCAATATTTTTATTTTTATTTGTTCTTCATTTATCTCAAAAGTAAGATTGTAAAAATCGTATAAAATCACATAATTACCCAAAAATTCACATTAATCAATTGAAAACCAAAAATAATTCTTTAACACAAATATAAATCTATTTATCATGAGTTAAGACTAAAATTATATTATTTACTAATTATTAACTCATGATAATGAAGACTTATCACTCCCTAACATGCACCCCACCTTCATCCAGCTCTTCTTTATCAAGTGACAACTGTTGGAAAGGCACAAAGTCACCATTTTTTTGCTCCACTGGGTGACAACTGTCAGAGATGATTTGACAACCCATTTTATTGATCTCTAGACTTTACAAGGAGATCTAGAGATTGTCCACATTGTCCTTGTCCAAGGAGAGCCTTTGAGGCTGTGGACACTGCACGATGATCCTCTCAAAGTTCAAGATTCTAGTACATCATCGATGTATTGCCACTACGATGTCAAAACTCTATTTTTCTAGTTTTAACTTAATTTCAGCTTCATTTAATGATAATTTGTGTGAATTAAATTTACCAAACTATACTTCATTCAATTACGATTCTTCTTACTTTTACAGATCTTAATTTAATCAATTAAATCATCTATAGTTGCTTACATAAAAATTATCAAGTGAAACTTTATTTTCGCCTGATTTGCATTCGTTAGGTGCTGACATCATCCTGATGTCTACACCCTTATTTTCCTTTTTTGTGAATTTTAAATATATTTTATTTTCATTTTGTAATATAAAATTCATAAAAAATTATATTCTTTGAAGAAAATTTTGAATAATTACCTAATATTATATTACATCCTAGAAATCAACTTAGATAATTACCAATATTTTTGGAAGTATTATTGAATTATAATTAATATTTTTTAGTTTATAAATTTTAAATTAGCGTGATTTACTATATAATGACTAAGTCACATCGCCCATACATCAAAAATTTTGAGGACTAACATGTTACTCATGTGCATTTCATCTTATTTACTCATGTTACCTATAAATTGACATGAAATACATGTTCTACTAAATTCTATAGAATCTCTAATGATTGTAGGCCAATAAAAATCACATTTAAAAAAATTTGCAACTATCTCGTCTAGAGAAATTTCTTCTACAATTAGATGAATGGCACATGTTAAGAATGTTATGATATTTTTCTTTAGGAACATATCTTCTTTAAATTTGATCATTGCCCAAGTAATATAAATCAAGATCATGCCAAAAATAATTTCTAATCTTAGAAAAGAAATATTTTTTCTTTTTGATCCCACCTTTTTTAAATTTTGTTAAAAACTAAAAAATTGACAATATGTGCATACCATGGTGATAGTTGGTGTTGAGCTGCAATCAATTGTCAATCTGAAAATGCATCTTGTAAAGTTGTTGTATTTATTCCTATGTCACTCAATCTAGAAAGATGGTCAGCAACAACATTCTTGAAACCTTTTTTATCTTTTATTTCAAGTTAAATTTATGTAATAATAAAATATATCTTAATAAACATGGCTTTACATCTTTCTTATTTAATAAATATTTTAATACTACGTGATTAGTATAAATAATAATTTTAGCTCCCAAGATATATAATCTAAACCTTTCTAAGGAAAATACTACAACTAACAACTCTTTTTCAGTCGTGGTATAATTTAATTGAACATCGGATATAATTTTGCTAGCATATGAAATTAGTATTAGTTTTGACTCTTTTCTTTGTCTTAGAACGGTTCATAATTCGATGCATCACACATTATTTTAAAAGAAAAAGACTACTCAAGAGCTTGTAAAATGAGTGCCTAAATAAGTAATCTTTTTATTTTAGAAAAGACTCAAAATATTTCTCATCAAAATTAAAAGGCACATCTTTAGATAATAACATGGTGAGAGGTTTAGAAATTTAGAGGTTTTTATTTCAGATTTAATATCAATTTTTACTCTATCCACCTCTAAACCTATTTCACTCACAATATAACCTAACACAACTCCCTCTCTAACCATAAAATGTGATTTTTTCGAGCTCAAAACTTTTTTTTTCTATACATTTCTCAAGTAAATACTGTAAATGATTTGAGCATTCATGAAATGATTCACCAAAAATAGAAAAATCATCCATAAAACTTTTCATATATTTTTCAGTCATATCAGAAAAAATAGATAGCATACATCTTTGAAATGTGGCTGGAACATTATACAGCCCAAAAGACGTACCTTTAAAAGAAAAAGTACCAAATAGTTAAGTGAAAGTTATCTTTTCTTGGCCTAGAAGATTTATATAAGTTTAATTATAACTAGAGTATCCATCAAGAAAATAAAAAATGTTTTTTTCAGATAAGTTTTCTAGAATTTGATTAGTAAATGGTAGGGGGAAGTTATGCCTTTTAGTAACTAAATTTAATTTCTATAATCAATGCAAACCCTCCAATCAGTAGTTAATCCTATTTGTATTTCATCTCTAGTTTTGTTTTTTATAACTATGATCCTTGATTTTTTTGGCACCACTTGTGTAGGACTAACCCATTTGCTATCGGAATAGGATAAATAATATTAGCATCCAACCACTTTAAAATTTCTTTTTTTACAATTTTCATCATGTTTGGATTTAATCTTCATTGTGGTTCCCTAATAGTTCTAGCCCCCTCCTCTAGATATATACAATGCATGCATGCACTCATATCAATGCCCCTACGATCATCCATTTTCCAGCCAATAACTTTCTTAATTTTTCGAAATACATCTAATAATTCTTCTTCTTGTTCATTACTCAAATCAACTACAATAATAATAGGAAATAAATTATTTTCCTTCAAAAACATATATTTTAAACTAGAGGGAAGAGGTTTGATGTGACTTAGTCATTGTATAGTAAATCACACAAATTTAAAATTTATAAAATTAGAAAATACAACTTTTCAAATATTTAGAAGTATTTCTGAACAAATATATCAATTATAATTTAATAAAACTTTCAAAAATAGCGATAATTTTTTAGGTCAATCATAGGGATGTAATATAATATTGGGTAATTATTCAGAATTTTCTACAAATAATACTATTTTATATAAATTTTACTCTAGAAAATAAAAAGGAAATATATTTAAAATTCACAAAAAAGGGAAATAAGGGTGCAGATGTCAAGATGACATCACCGCTTAGCGAATGAGAATTAAGTAGAAATAGAGTTCCACCCGAAGATTCTTACATAAGTGATTACAGACGATTTAATTGATCAAATTAAGATATATAAAATTCGGAAGAATTGTAACTGAATGAAGTATATCTTAATAAATTTTAATTACATAAATTATCATTAAATGAAACAGAAAGTAAGTTAAAAGTAGAAAAATAGAGTTCCGATGTCGCGGCAGCGATGCATCGGTGATGCACAAGAATCTTGAGCATTCGGAAGGATCGTCGTGTAGTGTCCACAGCCTCAAAGACTCTCCTTGGACAAGGATGACATGAGTAATCTTTAGGTCTCCTTGCAAAGTCTAGTGATCAATGAAATGAGTCGTCGAATCGTCTTTAGTAGCTGTTGACATGACTTAGTCATTGTATATTAAATCACGCAAATCTAAAATTTATAAAACTAGAAAATATAAATTTTCAGATATTTAGAAGTATTTCTAAATAAATATATTAATTATAATTCAATAAAAATTCCAAAAATAGTGGTAATTTTCTAGATCGATCATAAGGATGTAATATAATATCTAATAATTATTTAGAATTTCGTCAATGAATACAATTTTTTATAAATTTTATACTAGGAAATGAAAAAGAAAAATATTAAAATTCACAAAAAAGGGAAATAAGGGTGCGGAGGTCAAGATGACATCAGCACTCGACGAACGTGAATTAGGCAGAAACAGAGTTCCATCCAGTAATTCTTATGTAAGCGATTACAAACGATTTAATTGATCAAATTAAGATTTATAAAAGCCGGAAGAATCGTAATAGAACAAAGTATATTTTGGTAAATTAAAGTCACAAAAACTATCACTAAATGAAGCGTAAAATAAGTTAAAAGCAAGAAAACAGAGTTCTAGCATTGCAATGGCGATGCGTAGGCAATGCACCAGAATCCTAAGCATTTGGGAGGATCGTCGTGCAGTCTCCATGGCCTCGAAGGCTCTCCTTGGACAAAGACGACGTGGGCAATCTCTAGATCTTCTCGTAAAGTCTAGAGATCAATGAAATGGGTCGTCGAGTCATCTCCAGTGGCTGTCACCCGGCAGAGCAAAAAAATGGCGACTTTGCGGCTCTCTGGTGGCTGTCACCCGATGGAGAGGAGCTGGATGGAGGTGGGGCGCATGTTAGGGAGCTTCATCCTCAGGTCCGCGCAGCAAGAGGAGGCTCTTCATCAATCACATTTGATATGCTCTCAAGAGGTGGCGACTCGTCTCCTAGTGGATCGTCCTCTTCCTGATGATGGCTTGTTCGTCGATCAATCGGAGATGATTTACTTGATGAATTCACGATCCTTTTATCATGAATCCTTCAGCAATTTTAGTAACAATGCTCCGCAAATTGCGTTGACAAGATTTTTGCTGATGATCCAGTAATTCTAGTTGCTTAATCCTTCACTAGTGATCTGTAGAAAAGTTGTGATAATCAGGTAAAAATATGAGTTTTGGCTCTAGGAGGATTCAAACCTATGCTAGTTGCCCCGCCTCTTTTCAGGAAGGTGACGGGTTTAGTCCCACATCGGTTGTGCGCTGAATGTTTGGGTGAATAAATAGTAATATAACATTTCTTAGCAAAGTCCCTTTCTCACGTGTGTACGACCACTCCTTGCTCCACAGTCGGCTGGCCACCAGTGACATGGAAGGGGAGTGGTGCACATGTGCCCCCATCGGTTCAAGCCACTCAAGCCCTTGCTCGCGGCTACTCCTGATTGTGCTTCCGACCCACTTGCGAGCCCAACTGGCCAGTGGGTCTCCCCATTTTGCTATATTTTTATTTTAATTTCTTTTCCTTCATTTATCTCAAAAGTAAGACCGAAAAAATCATATAAAATCACATAATTACCCAAAAATTCACGTTAATCAATTCAAAACCAATTTTCACACTTTAACACAAATATAAGTCTATTAATCATGAGTTAAGACTAAAACTATATTATTTACTAATTATTAACTCATGATAATGAAGACTTATTAGCCACTCGACGGAGCGGAAAAATGACAACTTTGTGGCTCTCGAACGACTAGTACCTGACAAAGAGGAGCTGGGTGGAGGTGGGGCACGTGTCAGGAAACTTCATCCTTAGGTCTGTGCAGCAAGGGGAGGCTCTTCATCGCATATGTTACGCTCTCAAGAGGGGGTGACTCATCTCCCAATAGATCATCCTCTTCTCAACAACAGCTTGTTTGTTGATCAATCAGAGATGTTTTACTCAATAGATTCGCGATCCTTTTATCATAAATCGTTCAACAATTTTAGTAACAATGCTCCACAAATCACATTGATGAGATTTTTGCCAATGATCCAGAAATTCTGGTTGCTTAATCTTTCATTGGCAATCTCTAGGACAGTCACAATAATTAGATAAAAAATATGAGTTTTCGTTCTAGGAGGATTCAAACCCGCACCGGTTGCCCACCCATTTCTGAGAAAGGTGTGACACGAGTTTAGTCTCACATTGGTTGTGCACCAAAGTTTTTGGCGAATACACAGTAATATTAAATTTCTGATCAATTCTTTTTCTCGTGCTTGTACGACCACTCCTTCCCCCATAGCTAGCTAGCCACTAGTGATGTGGAAGGGAAGTGGTGCACACATGCCCCATCAGTACAAGCCGCTCGAGCCCCTGCTCGTGGCTACTCCTCGACTGCACTTCCGACCCACTTGTAGGCCCAGCTGGCCAGCGGGTCCCCCCCATTTTATTTTATTTTTATTTTTATTTATTTTTCTTCATTTATCTCAAAAGTAAGATTATAAGAATCATATAAATTCGTATAAAACCACATAATTACCCAAAAATTCACATTACTCAACTAAAAACCACTTTTCACACTTTAACAGAAATATAAATCTATTTATTATGATTTAAGGCTGAAACTATATTATTTACTATTATTAACTCATGATAATGAAGACTTATCAGGTTTCAACTCTGAATTCAGATGATCTTCCTCTTTCTTTTCTCTTAAATTTATATTCTCTATTTCTTCTTATTCTTCCAACACACAATCATGAAGAACATCTAGATCCTCAAAATCATTTAGAAGATCTATGGTATGACAATCATATACTAGGGATTTCTTAAGATCATTTGATATCTCAAAAATTTTAATTTCTACTAATTGATCTTCACATGAATTTTTTGCAATACTTGTGGAAAAATCAGTATTCATCTTTGCTATATGCAAAAAAAGTCTCCCTAGGATGATTGGTGTATCATAAAACTATCTAGTAAAATCCATTTTCAACACTACAAAATCAGTTGGAAATTTACACCCTTTAATTGTCACTATCATATTTTCTAAAATACCTTTAGGATGTTTATAGATCTATCAGCAAATTTTAAGGTAATAGTAGAAGGTTTAAGATCAACAATATTAAATTTATCACAAATACTTATAGGTAATAAATTAATACTAGCACTAGCGTCAAGTAATGTATTCTGAAAAATAAATTCACCAATATCACATGAAATTAAAAGGGCACTAGTATCTCTCAATTTATATGGTAATTGATTTAATAATAAAGCACTAATATGCATAGATAATTTTTCTACTCTAGGTGCCCTTTTTTATGTACACATTTCTTTCAAAACTTTAGCATATTCAAAAATAGGTTTAATGATAGTGACTAAAGGAAGGCTAATTTGCACATCTTGTAATTTTTTTTTTATTTCTTCATTGTGTTCCTTTTTCTTTCTTTGCCTAGGCTCTAGAGCTTTAGGAAATAGAATGGTTGTCCTCTCTTTTGAAATTTCCTTGGTAAAATCTATTAAATTTTCTTCTACGCCTATTTGATTTTGTTTTGGGCTGTCCATGTTTTCCTTTTCTTCTAATGTTTGGGGATAAGGATCAGGTAAAATCTTCCCACTCCTTAATATATTTATTGTCTTAACATTTTTATTTTGTGAGTTTTTTCCTAGATTCATGTTACTAAACTCCCTTTGCTGAAATCTTATTGTTAGGCGGTTCCTTGGATTTTCTATGGGCTGACTAGGTAGTTGTCCCTTGATAAGTCTTCATTATCATGAGTTAATAATTAATAAATAATATAGTTTTAGCCTTAACTCATGATAAATAGACTTATATTTGTGTTAAAGAATGATTTTTAGTTTTCAATCGATTAACGTGAATTTTTGGGTAATTATGTGATTTTATATGATTTTTACAGTCTTACCTTTGAGATAAATGAAGAACAAGAAATAAAAATAAAAAATATTGCAAAATGGGGGGACTTGCCGGCCAGCTGGGCTCGCAAGCCGGTTGGAAGCACAGTCGGGGAGTAGCTGCGAGCAGGGGCTCGAGCGGCTTAGCTTGGACCAATGGGGGCACGTGTACGCTACTCCCCTTCCACGTCACTGGTGGCCAGCCGGCTGTGGGGCAAGGAGTGGTCTTACATGCGAGAGAAGGGACTTTGTTTACAAAGTTAACATTACTATATATTCGCTCGAAAAATCGGCACACAACCGATGTGGGACTAAACCTGCGTCACACCTTCCTCACAGGCGGGCGACTGGCGTGGGTTTGAATCCTTTCAGAGTCAAAATTCATATATTTTTATCTGATTATCGTGACTTTCTTGTAGATCGCTGGTGAAGGATTAAGCAACAAGAATCACTGGATCATCGGCGAAAATCTCGTCAATGCGATTTGTTGAGCATTGCTACTAAAATTGCTGAATGATTCACGATAAAAGGATCACAAATCCATTGAGTAAATCATCTCCAATTGATTGACGAACAAGCTGTCGTCGGAAAGAGGACGATCTGCTGGGAGACTAGTCGCCACCTCCTGAGAGCGTACCAGATGCGATGAAGAGCCTCCTCTTGCTGCGCGGACCTGAGGATGAAGCTCGGTGACACGCGCCCCACCTCTATCCAGCTCCTCTCTATTAGGTGACAACTGCCGGAGAGCCGTAATGTCGCTATTTTTCCACTCCGCTGGGTGACAATCGCCGGAGATGATTTGACGACCCACTTCATTGATCTCTAGAGTTCGCGAGAAGATCTAGAGATTGCCCACGTAGTCTTTGTCCAAGGAGAGCCTTCGAGGCTGTGGACACTACACGACGATCCTCTCGAACGCTCAGGATTCCGGTGCATCACTGACGATCTGTCGTCGTGATGTCGGAACTCTGTTTTCCTGCTTTCAATTTAATTTACGCTTCATTTAGTGATACTTTGTGTGATTTTAATTTACCAAACTATACTTCGTTCAATTATGATTCTTTCGGCTTTTACAAATCTTAATTTGATTAATTAAGTCGTCTGTAATCACTTACGTAAGAATCACTGGGCGGAACTCTGTTTCCGCCTGATTCACATTTGCCGAGCGTTGACGTCATCCTAACGCCGCACCCTTATTTCCTTTTTTTTCGTGAATTTTAAATATATTTTCTTTTTATTTCTTAGTGTAAATTTGAAAGAAAACCATATTCATTGAGAAAAATTTTGAATAATTACCAGATATTATATTACATCCCTGTGATCGACCTGGAAAATTACTGCTATTTTTGGAATTTTTATTAAATTATAATTGATATATTTATTTAGAAATACTTCTAAATATGTGAAAATTCGTATTTTCTAGTTTTATAAATTTTATATTTATGTGATTTAATATACAATGACTAAGTCACGTCATCCCTCTTCTCTCTTATTCTCAAGAGGCTCTATAATTTATTTCTACTGCAACATCATTTGATTCATAATTTGTTACATCATTTGACTTATTTGCTGTATCATTTTTATAGTATCATGTTGGATTTGAGAGGGTTGATTTTTCTGAAATCTATGTTCCTATTTTGGACAAAATTCAGAGTTTGAATTTAGTCTAAGTGCTTCTGAATTTTGAATATTATTTGGGTCTCTCTATGAAAAATTATTCCTCCAATTAAGATTATAAGAATTTAAAAAAGGCTCACTATTTCTATTAAAACTGTGAGCTACTTGTACTTGTTCTTGTAAGGTGAAATAATTGATCTAAATTATAGTATTAAAATTCAGAATAATTATTTTCATCATACATATAATAGGTACTATTTGAATTAAAATAAGGGTTAAGAGGCTTTCTAATATTGTCAATAAGTAAATCAAGTTTTTTTAATATTTGATTAATTTGATTAACCTCATTTTATAAATTAGAATCATTTTGATGATGCAATTCATAAATTCTTTTCTTATTATCTCTATCATATAATTTAAAAGAGGCTTGATCTCTATAATTTTTACTTAAATTCTCATAAAGATTGTAAATCTCATCAAGGGTTTTCTCCATAAAAGTTCCTCCACATATAGAATCAATCATATTTCTATGTTGTTCTAATAATCCATCATACAAAATTCTATTGAGCTGCCACTTGAGGACACTTTCTAAGTAAATCTTTGAATTTTTCTCATGTCTCATGCAAAGTTTCTCTTGATCTTTGAGAAAAACTCCATATATGTTTTCTCATATTTTGAGTTTTTCTTAAGAGATAAATTTTTTGAAGAAAGGCTTGCTCTATGTCTTTCCAACTAATTAATTTACTATCTAATGTGGATAATCAATAACTAACTTTGTCCTTAAGTATACAAGGAAATAATTTCATTGTAATAATTTTCGATGTAACTTGAGGGAGATTAACTAAATCATAGAGTATATGAAATTTTTCTAAATGCTAATAAGGTTTCTCTAAAGGTAGTTCATGAAAATTAGGGAGTATTTAAAAAAATTCTAAATTTATTTTGAATTTAAAAGTGGGTGCTAATGGGACTCTAATATTGGATGCTCTTTGAAATGAATTAGGAACATAATAATTTTTCATGGCCATTAGATTATTCTCAGTTTGACTTATACTTCCATCAGGATCCATCAAAATTAATTTTTGTAGCCTTTTTGTGGCTTATGGGCTTGAGGGCCTCAAGTGGGCTCACCTCCTCTTAGCCCACTTGTTGGCCCTATATAAGGGGAGGTAGGACCCCCCCTCAACAAGAAATGCCAAATTTTCTGAGAGATTATCATTTGTGAGTTACCTTCTTCATGACCTAGGATAGGGAGGGGAGGGAGAGGAAGGTCATTGATACCCTTTGAGGACTTCTTTCTTCGTGACACTACTGCTTGAGAAGTCTCACCGCCACCTGAGACCAACTGCTGCCGCCGGACATCTTCATTGCCATCTATGAGATTGCCGCCATCACCGGATGAAAGGGTTGTGGTAGCCGCTGCAATTGCCGCCGCCTCTGCTAGAACCCCGTCATGCCATTGTGACGAAAGGGGCTTGCTTTGCCTCCCTACAAGCTGTCGTCGAGCACTCTGTCGGAGTCTCTTGACTCCTAGTTTGACTGCCCCCTCTTCCTTTGGAACTTCACCATAAACTCGTTGGAGCCGCCATCTGCCGCTCTACCCAATCGCTAGCCATTTGCCGACGAATGCCTACCTGCTGCCGACATCAAGAGAGACCTTGCAGCCATGCCGACAAGCCAGATCCAGTCCAAGCTCCTCACAGGCCCCCGTCAGAGTTTCCCAATGATCTACTACCGTCGTGCCATTTCTAACGCCGCCTAGACCAAGAGGGCTCAACCCTCCCTTGTATCGTTGGTGGGGATTGTCTCCTTCCTCTGCTCTACTTCCTGGCACTGCTAGAGAAGGCTGATCCTTCTGGCGACAGTTGGGCTTCCGCCCAACTACCAAAGCTCAACATTCCCGCCAAAGTGCCGCCGCTGCACGTGCCCCATGCACTGGCTCTTGCAGCCCGTGCACCCACTTGGCACCGCCGCCCATGTGCCCCGAGGCACGCCATGCGGCATGCTGTGTCCGCCCGCTAGTGTGCCCTTTGGCCCACCAACAGGCCCATGCCTACACCGACTGCCACGTCTTACGATGACAACTATTGTGACTCTCGACCAAGACCGACCATTGACACTAAGCATCGCTCTTCACTAGACGTCTTTGCTTATGTCTTCACTCCGTCACGACCCGCCAAGCTACGCATCCCTAAAGCTTAGCTTTGTACCCCTTCTTACTTAAGTTTAATTACCTTTCGAAGGGTTTTCTCCATTCATTTTCACCGCCATCTGGAGAATGTAGATAGGATAGGATGAGTTATAAGATCATGACTTCTGATGCTACGTCAAACTCATCATTATTCGTGAGCTGCAGCCCTAAGCTATTTCACGACAATTGTTCTGCCATTTGTCTAAATGTGGACTGAGAGGGTCTCACACTTACCATCATCGAGTGTTTCCCTCGATTGTCTTGGGTTGATAGTGCATATTAGTATGCCTACCTGTACTTAGGTTAGGTGGTCAGACCTAGAGTCTAGGGTCCATACATTCTTATCGGATCAGTTTGACTGCCCTATCTCGAGTCTTGAGTTTCATTGATCAGGTACAAGGGTTCTCACCCCATCTTGCATCAATTTTTTATGAATTTTATATTACAAAATGATTCTTTTGCTCGATGATAAGGTACAAGGGTTTATGAATTTTTTATGAATTTCATTGATTAGGTACAAGGGTTTATGAATTTTTTATGAATTTTATATTACAAGGGCTCAGGTAAAAGGGTTCCGCTTGATGATTCTTTCGTAAGTGATTTTAAATAATTAGTAAAATAGACTTATATTATCATTATCATGAGTATCTTTCGTAAGTGATTGATAAGTCTTCATTATCATGAGTTAATAATTAGTAAATAATATAGTTTTAGCCTTAACTCATAATAAATTGACTTATATTTATGTTAAAGTGTGAAAAGTGGTTTTTAGTTGATTAATGTGATTTTTTGGATAATTATATGATTTTATATGAATTTATATGATTTTTACAATCTTACTTTTGAGATAAATGAAGAAAAAGAAATAAAAATAAAAATAAGATAAAGTTGGGGGGAACTACTAGCCAGCCGAGCTTGCAAGCGGGTCAAAAGTCTAGTCAAAAATGCAATCGTGAGTAAGGGCTTGAGCGGATTGGACCAATAGGGTCACATGTGCGCCACTCCCCTTCTTGGTGGCCAGCCAACTATGGGGCAAGGAATGGTTGTACATGCGTGAGAACGGGACTTGCTTTCATATGTAACATTACTATATATTCACCCAAAAATTTATTGCACAAGTGATGTGGGACTAAACCCACATCACACCATCCCCAAAAAGGGCACGCAACCAATGTGGATTCGAATCCTCTCAGAGCCAAGACTCATATTTTTTTAACTAATTATCGCAACTTTCTTGCAAATCGCTAGTGAAGGATTAAGCAACCAAAATCACTTGATCATCGGCGAAAATCTCGTCAACGTGATTTGCGAAGCATTGTTACTAAAATTACTGAATGATTCGTGATAAAAGGATCACAAATCCATCGAGTAAAGCATCTCCAATTGATCGATGAACAAGCTGTCGTTGGAAAGTGGATGATCCACTGGGAGATGAGTTACCACTTCTTAAGAACATACCGGATGTGATGAAGAGTCTCCTCTTGCTGCGCAGACCTGAGGATGAAGCTCCTTGACACATGCCCCATCTCCATTGAGCTCCTCTCCATCAGGTGACAATCGCCGGAGAGCCGCAAAGTTGCCATTTTTTCGCTCCACCAGGTGACAGCTGCTAGAGATGATTCAAGGACTGATTTCATTGATCTTTAGACTTCACAAGGAGATCTAGAGATTACCCACATCGTCCTTGTCCAAGGAGAGCCTTTGAGGTCATAAATACTACACGATGATCCTCTCAAACACAAGATTTCGGTGCATCATCGACGCATCACTACCACGACGCTGGAACTTCATTTTCCTACTTTCAACTTAATTTTCATTTCATTTAGTGATAATGTTTTAGATTTTAAAATTTACCAAGATATACTTCATTTCATTATGATTCTTCTGACTTTTATAAATCTTAATTTAATCAATTAAATCATCTATAGTCGCTTACGTAAGAATCACTGAGTAGAACTCTATTTCTACCTAATTCACATTTGTTGGGCGCTGACATCATTTTAACGTCTACACCCTTATTTCCTTTTCTTCGTGAATTTTAAATATATTTCCTTTTCATTTCCTAGTATAAAATTCATAGAAAATAGTATTCTTTGAGGAAAATTCTAAATAATTACCAGATATTATATTACATCCTTGTGATTGACTTGGAAAATTACTACTATTTTTAGAAGTTTATTGAATTATAATTGATATATTTGTTTGAAAATACTTCTAAATATCTGAAAATTTGTATTTTCTATTTTTATAAATTCTAGATTTGTATGATTTAATATACCACGACTATGTCACATCAATGATGCTAGTGCCCGATGAATATGAATTAGGCAAAATAGTTTTCTGCTCGACGATTCTTTTGTAAGTGATTATAAATGATTTAATTAATTCAATTAAGACCTGTAAAAGCCGAAAGAATCATAATTGAATGAAGTATAGCTTGATAAATTTAAATCACATAAATTATTACTAAATGAAGCTGAAATTAAGTTGAAAGTAAGAAAATAGAGTTTCGATGTTGCGATGGTGATGCATTAGCAATGTACTAGAATCTTGAGCGTTTGGGAGGATTATTGTGTGTCCACAACTTTGAAGGCTCTCCTTAGACAAGGACGATGTGGGTAATTTCTAGATCTCTTTACAAAGTCTAGAGATCAATGAAATGAGTCGTCAAATCCTCTCCAAAAGCTGTCACCTAATGGAGTAGAAAAACAATAATTTTGAGGTTTTCTTGTAGCTGTCACCTAATAGAGAGGTGCTAAATGGAGGTGGGGTGCATGTGAGGGAGCTTCAACCTAAGGTCTACATAGTAAGAGGAGGCTCTTCATCGCATCTAGTATGCTCTTAGTAGGTGCGACTTGTCTCCTGACATATCGTCTTTTTTCAACAATGACTTATTTGTCGATCAATCAGAGATCATTTACTTGATAAATTTATGATCCTTTTATCATGAATTGACATGACTTAGTCGTTGTATAGTAAATCACAAAAATTTAAAATTTATAAAAGTAGAAAATATGAATTTTTAAGTATTTAAAAGTATTTCTGAGCAAATATATCAATTATGACTCAATAAAACATCCAAAAATAGCTATAATTTTCCAAGTTGATCACAGGGATATAATATAATATCTGGTAATTATTCAGAATTTTCCTCAAAGAATACTATTTTCTATGAATTTTATACTAGGAAATGAAAATTAAATATATTTAAAATTCACAAAAAAGGAAATTAAAGGTGCAGACATCAAGATGATGTCAGTGCCTGGCGAACATGAATCAAGTAAAAATAGAGTTCTACACGATGATTCTTACATAAGCGATTATAGATGATTTAATTGATCAAATTAAAATCTATAAAAGCCAGAAGAATCATAATAAAATGAAGTTTATCTTGGTAAATTTAAAATCAACAAATTATCACTAAATGAAATGAAAATTAAGTTTAAAGTAGGAAAATAGAGTTCTGGCATCGCTATGGCGATGCATTGGTGATACACTGGAATCTTGAGCATTCGAGAGGATTGTCATGCAATATCCATGGCCTCGAAAGCTCTCTTTGGACAAAGACGACGTGGGCAATCATTAGATCTCCTTGCAAAGTCTAAAGATCAATGAAATGAGTCATCAAATCATCTTCGACAGTTGTCACCCGGCAGAGCAGAAAAATGGCGACTTTGCAGCTCTCTAACGGTTGTCACTTGACGGAGAGGAGCTGGATGAAAGTGGGGCGCGTGTCAGGGAGCTTCATCCTCAGGTTTATGCAACAAGAGGAGGCTCTTCATCGCATCTGGTATGCTCTTAGGAGGTGGCGACTTGTCTCTCGCCAGATTGTCCTCTTTCTGACGACAGCTTGTTTGTTGACCAATTAGAGCTACTTTACTCGATGGATTTGCGATCCTTTTATCACGAATTGTTCAACAATTTTAGTTACAATGCTTCATGAATTATGTTGATGAGATTTTCATTGATGATCGAGCAATTTTGGTTGGTTAATCCTTCACCGGTGATCTGCAGGAAAGTCGTGATAATCAGATGAAAAAAATATGAGTTTTGGCTCTAAGAGGATTTGAACCCACATCGGTTACCCTGCCCTATCTAGGGAAGGTGACACGGGTTTAGTCCCACATCAATTGTGCACTGAAGTTTTTGACAAATATATAGTAATATTAAATTTTCAATCAAGTCCCTTTCTCGCACGTGTACAACGACTCCTTGCCCCACAGCCAGTTGGCCACTAGTGACATGGAAGGGGAGTGGTGCACACATGCCCCCATCAGTTCAAGCTGCTCGAGCCCCTGCTCATGGCTCCTACCCAACTTGCTTCCGACCCGCTTGTGGGCCGCGCTGGCCAGTGGGTCCCCCCCATTTTGCTATTTTTATTTTAATTTCTTTTCCTTCATTTATCTCAAAAGTAAGACTATAAAAATTATATAAAATCATATAAAATCACATAATTACACAAAAATTCATGTTAATCAATTGAAAACCACTTTTCACACTTTAACACAAATATATGTCTATTTATTATGAGTTAAGGCTAAAACTATATTATTTACTAATTATTAACTCATGATAATGAAAACTTATCATGAACCGTTTAACAATTTTAGTAAAAATGCTCCACGAATCACATTGATGAGATTTTTGCCGATGATCCAAAAATTCTTGCTGTTTAATCCTTCACTAGTGATTTGTAGGAAAGTCACGATAAGTAGATAAAATATAAGTTTTGGCTCTTAGAGGATTCAAACCCTTGCCAATTGTCTACTTGTATGAGAGAGATTGAAATAAGTGCTTTAATACCCTTATCAAGTGACATCATCATGGTATATTTCTATTATAACTAAGAAGTATTTTAGGTATTAAAATCTTCAAACCTTTTCAGAGGAAGGTGTGACACAAGTTTAGTCCCACATCACTTATGCGTCAAAGTTTCTAGCAAATGTATAGTAATATCACATTGTAAATAATGAGTCCCTTTCTCCCACACGTAGGACCACTCTTTGCCCTATAGCTAGTTGGCCACTAGTGACATGGAAGGGGAATGGCACACACATGTCCCCATCTGTCTTACCCACTCGAGCCTCTACTCACAGCTCCTCCTTAACTGTGCTTCCAACTTGCTTGCAGGCTTGGTTGGTTGGTTGGTAGGTTCCCCTCATTTTGTTATATTTTTATTTTTATTTCTTTTTCTTTATTTATCTAAAAAATACAATTATAAAAATTATATAAATTCATAGAAAATCACATAATTAGCCAACAAATCACATTAATCAATTGAAAATCACTTTTCACATTTTAACACAAATATAAGTCTATTTATGATGAGTTCAGGCTAATAATATATTATTTACTAATTATTAACTCATGATAATGAAGACATCAACATGACTCTTTGTATATTGCTAGATCACATAGCACTCTAGATAGTTGCATTGAAATAGATGAAAACATTTAGTCCCACAATAGAAATATATCAGACACATGTGCTGAATATAAACTAAAGCTTCTCTCTCTTAGTAGAGATCCCTTCCCTTGAAATAAAATAATTCCTAGGACCATTTTGAGAGAAAACAATAAGGTGGTTTGCCCTCATGCACGCGCATGTGTATAGGTGCTCCTTGCTCAATTGATCAATTGGCCACTGATAAGTCTTCATTATCATGAGTTAATAATTAGTAAATAATATAGTTTTAGCCTTAACTCATGATAAATAGACTTATATTTGTGTTAAAGTGTGAAAAGTGGTTTTTAATTAATTAACGTGAATTTTTGGGTAATTATATGATTTTATATGATTTTTATAGTCTTACTTTTGAGATAAATGAAGAACAAGAAATAAAAATAAAATGAGGGGACTCGCCGGCTAGCTGGGCCCGCAAGCAGGTTGGAAGCTCAGTTAGGGAGTAGCCACGAGTAGGGGCTCAAGTAGCTTGGACCGATAGGGGCACATGTGTGCCATTCCCCTTCCATGTCACCAGTGGCCAGTCAGTTGTGGGGCAAGGAGTGGTCGTACACACGAGAGAAGGAACTTTGCTTAGAAATCTAACATTACTATATATTCGCCTGAAAAATTGGCGCACAACCGATGTGGGACTAAACCCGCATCACACCTTCCTCAAAAGAGGCGAATGACTGGCATAGGTTTGAGTCCTTCTAGAGTCAAAAGTAATATATTTTTATATAATTATCGTGACTTTCTTGCAGATCGTCGGTGAAGGATTAAGCAACGAGAATCGTTAGATCATCAGCGAAAACTTCGTCAACACGATTCGTGGAGCATTGCTACTAAAATTGCTGAACAATTTACGATAAAAGGATCGTGAATCCATTGAGTAAATCATCTCCGATTGATCGATGAACAAGCCATTGTTGGGAAGAGGACGATCTGCCGAGAGACGAGTCGCCACCTCTTGAGAGCGTACCGGATGCAATGAAGAGTCTCCTCTTGCTGTGCAGACTTGAGGATGAAGCTCCCTAACATGCGCCCCACCTCCATCCAGCTCTTCTCTGTCGGGTGATAGCCACTAGAGAGCTGCAAAGTCACCGTTTTTCTGCTCCGCTGGGTGATAGCCGCCAGAGACGATTCGACGACCCATTTTATTAATCTCTAGACTTTGCAAGGAGATCTAGAGATTGCCCATGTCAGCTTTGTCCAAGGAGGGCCTTCGAGGCCGTGGACACTACATGATGATCCTCCCGAATGCTTAAGATTCCAGTGCATCGCCGACGCATCACCGTCGCGATGCCGGAACTTTGTTTTCTTGCTTTCAATTTACTTTACGCTTCATTTAGTGATAATTTTGTGTTTTTAATTTATCAAAGTATACTTTGTTCAATTACAATTCTTCTGGCTTTTACAGATCTTAATTTGATTAATTAAATCATTTGTAATTGCTTACATAAGAATCGCCAAGCGAAACTCTATTTTCGCCCAATTCACATTCGCCGGGCACTAACATCATCTTGATATTGGCACACTTATTTTCTTTTTTTGTAAATTTTAAATATATTTTCTTTTCAATTCTTAGTATATAATTCATAGAACATTGTATTATGAATAATTACTAGATATTATATTACATCCTTGTGATCGACCTAGAAAATCACTACTATTTTTGGAAGTTTTATTGAATTATAATTGATATATTTATTTATAAATACTTCTAAATATCTAAAAATTCATATTTTCTAGTTTTATAAATTTAATATTTACGTGATTTAATATACAACGACTGAGTCACATCAAATTTTGGTACTATTGTTGGGAATGTATTGCATAATATTTAGTATTTTTCTATTTTTCTCTTAGAGTACACAAAAAAATTTAACTCTTTGTTTTATTTTCTTTTTGTCGATTTTTTTTTTAGAAAAAGGGAATGAAAAGAAGCAAGACAAGGAATGGAGCATACTGAAGGAGGGTAACAATTACTAAATTTTTCTCTCGAATTTATTGTATTTTATGCATGGTAGAAGATCCTTGCATCCAAGGCTAGAAAATCCTTTCATTATTTCATTCAAAAATAAAGATCCGAAAGAAAAATTAATTTTGATAGATCCTGAAGGAAATACAGGCCAAATTGAGAACAATTCTATGGCCATGAAAAATTATTATATCCCTAATTCATTTCAAAGAGCATCCAATATTACAGTCCCATTAGCACCCACTGTTAAATTCGAAATAAATTGAAGAATTTTTTAAATACTCCCTAATTTTCATGGATTGCCTTTAGAAGAACCTCATCAGCACTTAGAAAAATTTCATATGGTCTGTGATTTAGTTAATCTCCTTCAAGTTACACTAGAAATTATTAAAATGAAATTATTCCCTCATACACTTAGGGACAAAGCTAGTCATTAGCTATCCATGTTCGATAGAGAATTAACTAGCTAGAAAGATATAGAACAGGCCTTTCTTTAAAAATTTTATCCCTTAGGAAAAACTCAAAATATAAAAAAAACATATATGGAGTTTTTCTCAAAGACCAGGATAAACTTTGCATGAGACATGGGAAAAATTCAAAGATTTACTTAAAAAGTCTCCTCATCATGCTATACCCAAGTGACAGCTCAATAGAATTTTTTATGATGGATTATTAGAACAACATAGAAATATGGTTGATTCTATATGTGGAGGAGCATTTATGGAGAAAACTCTTGATGAGATTTACAATCTTTATGAGAATTTAAGTGAAAATTCTAGAGATCAAGTCTCTTTTGAATTATATGACAAGGATAAGAAGAGAGAAATTTATGAATTGCATCATGATGATGATTCTAAACTTAGAAATGAGGTTAATTAGATTAATCAAATATTAGAAAAAATTGAATTACTTATTGACAATATTAGAAAGCCTTTTAAGCCTCAATTTAATTCGAATAGTACATGTCCTATGTATGGTGAAAATGATTATTCTGAATTTCAATGTTATAATTTAGATCAATCATTTCAACCTAGGCAAGAACAAGTGCAAGTAGCTCACAGTTTTAATAGAAATAGGGAACCTTTTTCAAATTTTTATAACCCTAATTAGAGGAATAATTTTTCATCGAGAGACCCAAATAATATTCAAAATCCAAAAGCACTTAGATCCAATTCACATTTTGAATTTTGTCCAAAATAGGAACATACATTTCAAAAAAATCAGTCCTCTCAAATTCAACCTGATGCTATGGAAATGATGCAGCAAATGAGCCAAATGATGCAACAAACTATGAATCAAATGATGCTGCACTAGAAACAAATTATAGAGACTCTTAGGAATAAGAGAGAAGAGGGATAGCTACCTAGTCAGCCCATAGAAAATTCAAGAAACTATCCAACAATAAGATTTCAGCAAGGAGAGTCTAGCTGAATAAATTTAGAAAAAAACTCATGAAATGAAAATGTTAAGTCAGTGAATATATTGAGTGAGAATATTTTACCTAATCCTTATTTCTAATTATTAGATAAAATTAATGAGCCATTAGAAGTAAATGAGAACATTAAGGCTGAAAATATAGTAGTAGAAAATTTGAATAAAATCATTTATTGCTCACAATTGATGAATGAATATAGTGAGGATGATGAGGAGAAAGACCCCTTAGATGAAGAGACAACAGCTGATCATGGAAAAATCATCCAAATTTTAGTAGAAGGGAGTAAGGACACAAATGAAGAAAAATATATTTCAGGTGAGGAAAAATGAGTTGATTTAGGAGATGTAGGAGACGACATTAATAAATCTAATCATAATTTTCCAGCCATGGATGTTGATAATGATGTATATCATACCTCAAAATTAAAAGATAGCTCTTAGGAAGATGACGAATTTGATGAGTTGAGAAATGAAAAGCTAGAAAAAAAGTTGATTCAACTAATGGTGAGAAACGAAAATAATGAATATGAGTATAGAGATAATTTTGGAGGAGAAAATTAAAATTTTACTGAATTCATTAGATCTAAGATTAAAGAAGAAAATCCTTCCATCCTTCAAAACTCACAGCTCATTAGAATTATTTCTAAGCTTGAAATATTTCACTCCTTGCAAATTGAACAAATATGTATGGAAGATAAAATGGAGTAGGGGAGGTGATAAGTCTTCATTATCATGAGTTAATAATTAGTAAATAATATAGTTTTAGCCTTAACTCATGATAAATAGACTTATATTTGTGTTAAAAAATGATTTTTGGTTTTCAATTGATTAACATGAATTTTTGGGTAATTATGTGATTTTATACAATTTTTACAGTCAAACTTTTGAGATAAATGAAGAACAAATAAAAATAAAAATATTGCAAAAATGAGGGGAACCCGCCGGCCAGCCGAGCTCGCAAGCGGCAAGTGGGTCGGAAGTGCAGTCGGGGAGTAAGCCGCGAGCAGGGGCTCAAGCGACTTGGCTTGGGGACTGACAGGGCATGCGTACGCCACACTCCCCTTCCACGTCACCGGTGGCCAGCTGGCTGTGGGGCAAGGAGTGGTCATACACGCGAGAGAAGGGACTTTGCTGAGAAAGCTAACACTACTATATATTCACCCGAAAAATCGGCGTACAACCGATGTGGGACTAAACCCCCGTCACACCTTCCTCAGAAGAGGCGAGCGACCGGCGTGGGTTCGAACCCTCCCAGAGTCAAAATTCATATATTTTTATCTGATTATCACGACATTCCTGCAGATCGTCGGTGAAGGATTAAGCAACGAGAATCATTGGATCATCGGCAAAAATCTCGTCAACGCGATTCGCGGAGCATTGCTACTAAAATTGCTGAACGATTCACGATAAAAGGATCGTGAATCCATCGAGTAAATCATCTCCGATTGATCAACGAACAAGCCGTCGTCAGGAAGAGGATGATCCGCCGGGAGACCAGTCGCCACCTCTTGAGAGCGTACCAGATGCGATGAAGAGCCTCCTCTTGCTGCGTGGACCTGAGGATGAAGCTCCTTGACATACGCCCCACCTCCATCCAGCTCCTCTCTGTCGGGTGACAGCCGCCGGAGACGATTCGACGACCCACTTCATTGATTTTTAGACTTCGCGAGAAGATCTAGAAATTGTCCACATCGTCTTTGTCCAAGGAGAGCGTTCGAGGCCGTGGACACTACACGACAACCCTCCCGAACGCTTAGGATTCCGGTGCATCGTCGACGCATCGCCGTCGCGACGTCAGAGCTCTGTTTTCCTGCTTTCAATTTAATTTACGCTTTATTTAGTGATACTTTGTGTGATTTTAATTTACCAAACTATACTTCGTTAAATTACGATTCTTCCGGCTTTTACAGATCTTAATTTGATTAATTAAGTCGTCTGTAATCGCTTACGTAAGAATCGTCGGGCAGAACTCTGTTTTCACCTGATTCACGTTCACCGGGCGCTGACATCATCCTGACGCCCGCACCCTTATTTCCTTTTTTTTTCGTGAATTTTAAATATATTTCCTTTTTATTTCCTAGTATAAAATTCGTAAGAAAATCGTATTCATTGAGAATAATTCTGAATAATTACCAGATATTATATTACATCCTTGTGATTGACTTGGAAAATTACCGCTATTTTTTGGAATTTTATTGAATTATAATTGATATATTTATTTAGAAATACTTCTAAATATCTGAAAATTCGTATTTTCTAGTTTTACAAATTTTATATTTGCGTGATTTAATATAAAACGACTGAGTCATGTCAAGAGGATACAAAATTTATGCTAAATTTGAAAAAGAATATCATGAAACTTACCTTGGGATATCAATATATTTTGATGGCCATAGATCATCTTATATGATCTTAGAGCTGTCCAGCTAGCGACATTAATTGCAACATTGCATGATAGGCAACCCATGGTTTTTATTTCATTATGTTTGATTTTTTTTTAAGCTCTATTTTTCTTAGTATTTTGCAATACTTGTTTCTGTATTTGTTTTTTCGAAAAAGTGTAGGAGGAGTGTAAGATGAAGTGGAAAATTAAAAATGAGGTTGAGGTGATGTCTTTCTGAGCTTAATCATTTATGACAACATTTTTAATGCTTAACTTTACATATATGTATACTTCACTTGAAAATTATCTTTTCTGCATATTTTGTTTCGATTTTTCTGTGTCATTGAGGACAATGTCATTTTTAAGTTGGGGGGTGAAGTATTCATTATTAATTTATGTTGTAGGACAATAATGTATATTTGAGGAATATTTCACAAGTTATCATGTAAATTATTTTATTTGTTATTTAAATGAACCTCTCTAAATCTTAATTTAAATTGATATTTTATGAATAAACAAAAAGTTGATGAGAATTTATTTTATATCTTGAGGCTTAATTCTCACTTATTTTTTAAAATAAAATATTATTGTGCTAAATTTTATGATTAATTGAAATCTATTTTATATAATTTTTCTAAAAATTTGAGGCTTTAAAATAAATATAATTAGAAGACATCATTATTAGATATGATAACAATCACATAATACTTTCAATATGGGATTAACTTTATATTCTTTTCAGATCTAACAGTAGTGTGATAGTAGTGGTCAAATCTAATGCATGCCATGAAGCCACATCACTGTTGCTGTCATATGAAAAAGTAGCTCCAAGATCCAATGGTGACTGCTAGTAGATCCCACACTCCATGTCATAGCCATCAATACATGAAAAGTAGCCACCAATCCAACAGTGGCTATCATGGCATCTGATGCACACAGATCGTGATAAAGCACATGCAAAAGGAGCAAGAGCCGATGGAGATCTAACAGTGATTATTAGGCCACATCACCCCTCTTCAGAGCAAAATCATAGCACAAGGATCCAATAGTCTTCATCGAACCATGCTTCGGAGCATATATTTAGAAATATCAATTATCATTTGGTAAAACAAACGATATCAATTATTCCCTCACATGCACAAAAGGGTATATATTCAAATATTGATTATCATCTGGCAAAATAGATAATATCGATTATTACCCCATGAGAAAAGGGGAAAATGCTGAAAACTTTAGAGAAAAATTGGCAAAATATGACAGAAAATAAGAAGTCAAAATAGAAAATTCGATTTGTAGATCTATGGGACAAAGGAGGAAGAGGGGAGGGAAATGGAGATTTTCTAGAGTTGTTCTTGGGTTGTTCTTGAGAGAAAATATTGTTCTTCTTTCTCATGAGAAAATAGGATTCTGAAGAGTGCATTGTTAATTTTGATTGTTCTCCTTTACCCTTTTCACCTTAAATCCATTCTATTGAACTAGATGCAAGATTGAGAAGTGCTACCCAGAAGTTGACATCAAGCCATGCATTCAAAGAGTTGTAAGTTTGATTTTTAATAGAGTTTTTATTATTTTCTTGTTTGATCTGTGAAATAATTTTATTTTCTTAGGTTAAATTATTTATTTACTTTTTTTCTTCTATTTTAATCAATCCAAAGCATATTTAGTTTATTGATTTTAATTCATTTCATTTTTATATTCGCATTTATATTTATTTGCCATTTTATTTCATTTATTGTTTTGAATATGAATTTAAATCTTCTAATCAATTTGTAATTCTTTAAATTAGAGGATAAAAGGATTTTTAAAAGCTTTCCCCTAAGGAGATGACCTAGCTCACCACTATATCCATCTAAAATTCTTATTATTATTTTTGTTGAATCTAGTTGAACAAGTTATTAAAATTGATTGATGATTCTAATAACGACTTAGAACCACATCAATTTTTGGTGCTGTTCTTGGCGAAGGTAATTTCGAAATCTTTAATTCTCTATAGGAATTATTTTTCTATTTTTCTACATTTTCTTTTCATATCTCATTTCTATATAAAAAAATAATTCGTGAATTAATGTTGCATGCTAGGACGGAGGTCATTAAAACCCAAATTAGTAGAACTACCTATATCTAGAGTTAAATCATCTGGCAATTTGCTTAATTCACGAAAAGTAGAGGAAAATAGAGAAAACCCTAGACCTATTAGAGATTATTTTAATCCACCATCTGCACTTGATTTTCAATAGCAACCTATTTGCAAGCACAATATTAAATCAGGAATTTTTCAATTGCTGCCTATATTCTTATGATAAAAATATTGAAGATCCATATGATCATTTGCAAGAATGTCTTAAGGTTTGTGGGACTGTCAAAGAGGTTGACGATGAATTAAAATTAACATAGTTTCCTTTTTCTTTGAAATGTGATGCTAGCTATTGGATTTCTACTTTAGAAAAGGAGATAAAATCATGGCCTGATTTAGTGCAGGAATTTCTGAAAATATTTTATCCTAGGGGGAAAACCATGTTGATGAGAAAACATATTATGAGTTTTACACAAAACAGTAATGAACCTTTGCATGAAGCATGGTATAGATTCAAAGCTATGATGAGAAGATGTCTTCATCATGGTATTCCTAAATGACAAATAGTTCAAATGTTTTATGATGGTTTGTCTGCAGCCAACAAGCAAATGATTGATGCATCATGTGGTGGCACATTTATGAATAAAAAGGAAGATGAGGGATATTCTCTTTTGGAAGAACTTACTGATAACTCTTCTAACTATATATCTTCATCTTCCTTTGATAGATCTAAGGGTGGAATTTATGAGATTAGAAAATCAGATGATAAAGAATGGAAGAGTTAATTTGATGAGCTAAATTCTAAGATGGAAAAAATTCTTGCTTTTAGGAAAAATTTAAGTGACAAACTTACAAAATTTCTTCAAGTTTGAATCATGCTGAAAATGAATGTCCTCAAATTATTTCTCCATCATATACATCTGAACAAGTTCAATTAGCTCAAGATTTTAATAAGTCTAATCATGATTTTGTGCAGGCTTCTTATAACCCTGGATGGAGAAATCATCCAAATTTTTCATGGAAAAATCAAAACATGTTTAGTGAGCAAACATCTTCTAGTTATCCCAACATGCAGGTTAGACCTCAGCAGCAAATATTTCCACCCATGAAAGGTCAACCACGCCCATCAAATTTTCAAGCACACCCACCATTAGGTCAAGGACCACAAGTCATGGGAAAAAATCAAGGCAGTGACAATAAATTGAGTGGTTTACAACGGATCATGGTTCAACAACAACAAACCATTCAAAAATTACAACAACAACAAACTCGACAACAATCCATTCAACAATTGCTGCAGCAACAACAACAAAACAAATCCATGCATCAACTCACACAAAAACCACATGCAGCTCAACAATTTAGACCAAGTGGAGGCCAGCTACCAAGTCAACCCATAGCCAATCTACAAAATCATCCTCCTGGTTTTCAGCATCAAGCTAACATGGTAAATACAAGTTTTGAAGAACCTTTTGTACTATCTCAAATGGAAGACATGAAGGCCATATCTCAGCTACGAAATGGGAAGGTTTTGAGTGATCGTTACCAACAAAAGGAGGATGGAAAAGACATCTCTTCTATGGACAAAAATTCAGAAGATCAAAAACAGAAAATTATAGAGGAAGATGATGATTTTAGTGATGATGAAGAGGTTGAAAAATCAAAGGTTGAAGTAAATATTGACCCCAAGGAATATGTTCCCACTACACCTTTCCTTCATGCATTAAAACCAAAAGGTAAAAAGGGATTGATTCATAGTGATGAGGTGATGAAAATTTTTGAGCAAGTGCAGCTCAAGATTGCTCTCTTGGATGCCATCAATCATGTACCAAGTTATGCAAAATTTTTGAAGGAGATGTGCACACCTAAAAGAGAAAAAAGAATCATCCTTTCATCACAATGCAATTATTCTTGATCAATTGCCCATGAAATGTAAAGATCCAGGTAAACCTCTAATCTCTTGTAAAATTGGTGGAATTACTTTTGATAATGCATTGCTTGATTTAGGTGCTGGTGTTAATTTTTTACCTACTGCCATTGCTGAACATTTTAGAATTGGTGAGCTCAAACCAGCCTCTACAATTCTTCAAGTTGTAGATAGATCTACTAGGAAACCTAAAGGAATATTAGAAGATGTAATTGTCAAGGTAGGTGAATGCTATTTTCCCATTTATTTTTTGGTCTTAGACATTGACGTGACTTAGTCGTTGTATGTTAAATCACGCAAATATAAAATTTATAAAACTAGAAAATACGAATTTTCGGATATTTAGAAGTATTTCAAAATAAATATATCAATTATAATTCAATAAAAATTCCAAAAATAGCGATAATTTTTCAAGTCAATCACAGGGATGTAATATAATATCTGGTAATTATTCAGAATTTTTCTCAATGAATACGATTTTCTTACGAATTTTATACTAGGAAATAAAAAGGAAATATATTTAAAATTCACGAAAAAAAAGGAAATAAGGGTGCGGGCGTCAAGATGACGTCAACACCCGGTGAACGCGAATCAGGCGGAAACAGAGTTCCGCCTGGCGATTCTTATGTAAGCGATTACAGATGACTTAATTAATCAAATTAAGATCTGTAAAAGTCGAAAGAATCGTAATTTAACGAATTATAGTTTGGTAAATTAAAATCACACAAAGTATCACTAAATGAAGCGTAAATTAAATTGAAAGTAGGAAAACAGAGTTCCGGCGTCACGACGGCGATACGTCGGCGATGCACCAGAATCCTAAGCATTCAGGAGGATTGTCGTGCAGTGTCCATGGCCTCGAAGGCTCTCCTTGGACAAAGACAACGTGGGCAATCTCTAGATCTTCTCGCGAAGTCTAGAGATCAATGAAGTGGGTCGTCAAATCATCTCCGGTGGCTGTCACCCGGCGGAGCGGAAAAACGGCGACTTTGCGGCTCTCCGGCGGCTGTCACCCGACGGAGAGGAGTTGGATGGAGGTGGGGCGCGTGTCAGGGAGCTTCATCCTTAGGTCCGCACAGCAAGAGGTGGCTCTTCATTGCATCTGGTACGCTCTCAGGAGGTGGCGACTAGTCTCCTGGCGGATCGTCCTCTTCCTGACGACGGCTTGTTCGTCGATCAATTGGAGATGATTTACTCGATGGATTCGCGATCCTTTTATCGTGAATCGTTCAGCAATTTTAGTAGCAATGCTCCACGAATCGCGTTGACGAGATTTTCACCGATGATCCAGCGATTCTCGTTGCTTAATCCTTCATCGGTGATCTGCAGGAAAGTCGCGATAATCAGATAAAAATATATGAATTTTGACTCTGGGAGGATTTGAACCTGCGCCGGTCACCCGCCTCTTCTGAGGAAGGTGGGTTTAGTCCCACATCAGTTGTACGCCAATTTTTCGGGCGAATATATAGTAATGTTAGCTTTGTGAGCAAAGTCCCTTCTCTCGCGTGTATGACCACTCCTTGCCCCACAACCGGCTGGCCACCGGTGACGTGGAAGGGGAGTGGCGTATGCGTGCCCTATCGATCCCCAAGTCAAGCCGCTCGAGCCCCTGCTCACGGCTTACTCCCCGACTGCGCTTCCAACCTGGTTGCGGGCCTGGCTGGCCGGCGGGTCCTCTCATTTTTGCAATATTTTTATTTTTATTTCTTGTTCTTCATTTATCTCAAAAGTAAGACTGTAAAAATCGTATAAAATCACATAATTACCCAAAACTTCACGTTTATCAATTGAAAACCAAAAATCATTCTTTAACACAAATATAAGTCTATTTATCATGAGTTAAGGCTAAAACTATATTATTTACTAATTATTAACTCATGATAATGAAGACTTATCAGACATTAATGTTAAAGCTAGATTTATGTGTTTTAATTAGTTTTATTTTTTGACTTTATTTTGTTAACTTGCAAAAGAAATATAGGATATATTGTTAATTTTAAAAGTCAAGTTAAAATATTTAGTAGTATTTTTTATTATTGAAATAAAAATAATAAAATATAAAAAATTCTTTCGTATGCTAGCAAGGTAGCACTTGGCAGTTGACCTAGAGGGGGGACAACAATCAACTGGGTAGACCCAGACGAAGGGAGCCACGAGTTGGGCTCGAGTGACGAAGGCCTCACTCTACACACGTGTGCGCCACTCTCCTTTTACATCCTAGTGGCCAACCAGTCATGGGGCAAGGAGTTCTCATAAACACGTGCGTGCACGAGGGCGGACCACCTTATTGCCTTCTCCTAAGATGGTTCTAGACATTATTTTATTTTGGGAGAAGGGATCTTTGCTGAGAGAGATAAGCTTTAGTTTCTATTCAGTACATACATCCAATATATTTCCAGTGTTGAACTAAATATTTTCGCTTGTTCTAGCATAGCCATCTAGAGCATGGTGTGATCTAGTAGTACACAAAGAGTCATGTCATCAAATTAGCCAAATCTTGTGGCTGGCAAACCACCACAATACCATATGTGTAAAGCAATCCATCGACAGTTTATGAATTCGACATTGCTCAACACACATGTGGGCTTAAAGGATGATTTGACAGCTATGAAGGTGCCATGGTACCAAGAACTTAAGTTTTCGATCGATAGTGGTTTGTAGCAGGTTGATCCTATGTTGTTCAATGTGCCATGTACCAAGCTCATCTGATCTAGTGGCTCTTGAAGCACCACGACACTAGGAACTTAAGTTCTCACACAAATCATCATCAGGGATATAAAGATAATAATTGATTATTTTCTAGTAAAATAGATATTATTGATTATCGTTAAAGTCCTGATGGTAGTCAAAAATACGGCAAGCTATTATTCCCTTCTTTTACGCAATCGACATCTTCAGTGATTGGCAAGTTTCTTCCTTCCTCCTTTGACTACACTCAAGGCCTCTAACAAGTGGTCAGCTCTTCTCTTCTCCCCTTAGACAACGCTGACAGCTTGGCAACCCTTATTTCAGCAAATCTCTTTGGAAAGTGGCACAGTGCTTTTGGATGATACTTCTATGACTTCCGGCGTGGTGTGGCATGTTTGGACAAAACCAAACTACCACATTGGTGTCTCTAGTTATCTAGGAGGTAGACTAAACTTGGGCAATGATTTATTTCCTATTTTCAGCATTTACTTATCTGCTTTTGTCATTTATTTACATTTTACGATAAGTTCTTTCCATTTCATGCACGTTTTGATTGAAATGAGTAGAACTAATTCAAAACTTGATGAATGATCTTCATTCTTCTTGTAAATCCTCCAAGACTCGTATGAGATTAAGCTAAGATCATTTCTAACTTTTTCTATTGATTTTTACAATTGAATCTTGACATATTCATGTTCTCAATATTCTACGAATAACAAGTTTTTTTTATTTTCAAATGCAAAATCACCGAGATTAAAGGTTGATTAATGAGCATTCAATGGTTTAAATAAGCTAGAGACATTCATGACTAATCTCATGTCATGTGTGTGAATCCTCGAGCACACATTCGTCTGAGAAAATAGGATGACCATATTTCTCTTTTTCTTCATTTTCTTCTTATTTCTCTCTCTCTCTCTCTCGTGAGACCTCTCTTCTTTCTCTATCTCTTGTGAGACCTCTCTTCTCTCTTCATCTCTCATAAGATCTCTCCCTTTCTCTCCCTCTCTCTTGATTGATTTCATTCTCTTTCTCTCTCTCGATTGATTTCTCTCTCCTTCTCTCTCTCTGCCTCATGTGAGATTTCTCTCCTCCACTCCCTTTCTCTTCCTTTCACGAGAGATCTGATCCCTTCTCTCTCTCATGAGAGCTTTCTCTCCTCCGCTCTCTTTCTTTTCCTTTCATGAGAGATCTCATCCCTTTTCTCTCATAAGAACTCTCTCTTCTCCTCGCTCTTTCTCTCCCTTTCATGAGAGATCCCATCCCTTCTATCTCTCGTGTGAGCTCTCTCTTTCTCTCTCTCTTTTCCCCCTTCCTTTTTTTCTCCCTTCCCTTCCTTTATTCTTCTCACCTCACCCTTCTACTTTATATTTATGTTAAATATTAACAAAATATTAAAACCACTTTATATATAAATTAAATTATTTTTTATGACAGATTAGTCAATCTCCTTGTGTTCAACTTGAGACTTAATTCTATAATAATATTTTATTAAGTTTTAGGTATAAATATTATTAGATAGTGTGTATTTAAACTCAACAATAAGTACACACTAATGACATTGTCATATGAACTAAAACAAATGACTATCATTTTTAGACGTTGATGTGACTTAGTTGTTGTATAGTAAATCACACAAATTCAAAATTTATAAAACTAGAAAATACAAATTTTTAGATATTTAGAAGTATTTCTGAATAAATATATCAATTATAATTCCATAAAACTTCAAAAAATAGCAGTAATTTTCCAAGTCAATTAAAGGGATGTAATATAATATCGGCTAATTATTCAGAATTTTTCTCAAAGAATACTATTTTCTATGAATTTTATACTAGAAAATAAAAATTAAATATATTTAAAATTCACGAAAATGGGGACGTCAAGATGACATCAACACCCAGCAAACATGAATCGGGCAAAACAGAGTTTCATCTGATGATTCTTACTTAAGTGATTATAGATGATTTAATTGATCAAATTAAGTTCTATAAAAGCCAAAAGAATCGTAATTGAATGAAGTATATCTTGGTAAATTTAAATCACACAGATTATCACTAAATGAAGTAAAAATTTAGTTGAAGTAGGAAAACAGAGTTCTGGTGTTGTGGCAACAATGCGTTAGTGATGCACTAGATTCTTGAGCATTCGGAAAGATTATTCTACAGTGTCCATGGCCTTGAAGGCTCTCCTTGAACAAGAATGACATGGGCAACCTCTAGATTTCTTTGCAAAGTCTAGAGATCAATAAAATGGGTCGTCGAATCGTTTGTAGCAGTTGTCACTTGGCAGAGTAGGGCGGGCAACCGGCATAGGTTTGAATCCTCCTAGAGCCAAAACTCATATTTTTTTATTTGATTATTACGACTTTCCTACAGATTCTCAGTGAAGGATTAAGCAACTAGAATCGCTGGATCATTGGCAAAAATCTCATTAATACGATTTATGGAGCATTGTTACTAAAATTTTTGAACGATTCATGATAAAAGGATCGCGAATCCATCGAGTAAAGCATCTCCGATTGATCGATGAACAAGCCATCATCAGGAAGAGGATGATCCATTAGGAGATGAGTCGCCACCTCCTGAGAGCGTACTAGATGAGATGAAGAGCCTCTTCTTACTGTGCGGAGGTGAGGGTGAAGCTCCTTGACAGGCGCCCCACCTTCATCTAGCTCCTCTCTATCGGGTGACAACCATTGGGTGACAACTATCAAAGACAATTTGACGACCCATTTCAGTGATCTCTAGACTTCACAAGAAGATCTAGAGTTTGCCCACATCGTCCTTGTCCAAGGAGAGCCTTCAAGGCCATAGACACTGCACGACGATCCTCCCGAATGCTTAGGATTTCGGTGCATTGCTGACGCATCACCGCCGCGATGCCGGAACTCTTTTTTCTTACTTTTAACTTACTTTATGGTTCATTTAGTGATAATTTGTGTGATTTTAATTTACCAAAATATACTTCGTTCACTTATAATTCTTCTGGCTTTTACAAATCTTAATTTGATCAAGTAAATCGTCTATAATCGCTTACATAAGAATCACCAAGTGGAACTCTATTTCCGCTTGATTCATGTTTGCCGAATGCTGACGTCATCTTGATGTCCACACCCTTATCTCCCTTTTACGTGAATTTTAAATATATTTTCTTTTCATTTACTAGTATAAAATTCATAGAAAATAGAATTCTTTGAAGAAAATTTTGAATAATTATCAGATATTATATTACATCCTTGTGATCGATTTAGAAAATTACTACTATTTTATAAATTTTATTTAATTCTACTTGATATATTTTTTTAAAAATACTTCTAAATATCTGAAAATTCATATTTTCTTATTTTATAAATTTAAAATTTATGTGATTTACTATACAACAACTAAGTCACGTCAATACACTCTCAAGAGGTGGCGACTCATCTCCCAGCGGATCATCTTCTTCCCGATGATGACTTATTTGTCAATCAATCAGAGATGCTTTACTCAATGGATTCGTAATCTTTTTATCGTAAATCGTTCAATAATTTTAGTAACAATGCTCTACGAATCATGATAAGTTTTCATTATCATGAGTTAGTAATTAAGTAAATAATATAGTTTTAGCCTTAACTCATGATAAATAGACTTATATTTGTGTTAAAGTGTGAAAATTAGTTTTCAATTGATTACATAAAATTTTTAGGTAATTATGTGATTTTGAGATAAATGAAGTAAAAGAAAATAAAATAAAAATATAGTAAAATGGGGGGACCCACTAGCTAGCCGGGGCCCCAAGTGAGTCGGAAGCTCAATTAGGGAGTAGCCACGAGCAGAGGCTCGAGTGGCATGGACCGATAGGGGCACGAGTGCGCCATTCCCCTTCCATGTCACTAGTGGCCAGCCAGTTGTGGAGCAAGGAGTGGTCGTACACATGAGAGAAGGGACTTTCCTTAGAAATCTAACATTAGTATATATTCACCCGAAAAATCGGCGCACAACCAATGTGGGACTAAACCCACCTCACACCTTCCTTAGAAGGGGCGAGGCAACTGGTGCGGGTTCGAATCCTCCTAGAGTCAAAAGTCATATATTTTTATTTGATTATTGTGACTTTCTTGTAGATCACTGGCGAAGGATTAAGCAACGAGAATTACTAGATCATCAGCAAAAATCTCGTCAACGCGATTCGCAGAGCATTGCTACTAAAATTATTGAATGATTCGCGATAAAACGATCGCAAATTCATCAAGTAAATCATCTCTGATTGATTGACGAACAAGCCATCATCAGGAAGAGGACGATCTGCTTGGAGACAAGTCGCCACCTCCTGAGAGTGTACCAAATGCGATAAAGAGCCTCTTCTTGCTGCGTGGACTTGAGGATGAAGCTCCCTGACATGGGCCTCACCTCCATCCAGCTCCTCTCTATCAAGTGACAGTCGCCAGAGAACTGCAAAGTCACAATTTTTCTGCTCCGCCAGGTGACAGCCACCAAAGACGACTCGACGACCTATTTTATTGATCTCTAGACTTCATGAGAAGATCTAGAGATTGCCCACGTCGTCTTTGTCTAAGGAGAGCCTTCGAGGCCATGGACACTACACGACGATCCTCCCAAATGCTTAGAATTCTAATGCATCACTGACGCATCGCCGTCGTAATGCCAGAACTCTATTTTCCTACTTTTAACTCACCTTACGCTTTATTTAGTGATAGTTTTTGTGATTTTAATTTACCAAAATAAACTTTGTTCTATTACGATTCTTCTAGCTTTTACAAATCTTAATTTGATCAATTAAATTGTCTATAATTGCTTACATAAGAATCACCAGATGGAACTCTATTTTCGTCCGATTCGTGTTTGCCGGGTGCTGATGTCATCCTGACGTTTGCACCCTTATTTCACTTTTTTGTGAATTTTAAATATATTTTCTTTTCAATTCCTAATATAAAATTCATAAAAAACCGTATTCATTGACAAAAACTCTGAATAATTACGAGATATTATATTACATCCTTGTGATCGACTTGGAAAATTATCGCTATTTTTAGAAGTTTTATAGAATTATAATTTATATATTTATTCAGAAATACTTCTAAATATCCAAAAATTTATATTTTTTAGTTTTATAAATTTTTGATTTGCATGATTTAATATACAACGACTAAGTCGCGTCAAATTTGGCACCATTGCTAGTGATGTATTGCATAATATTTAGTATTTTTCTATTTTTCTCTTAGAGTACACAAAAAAAATTAACTCTTGTTTTATTTTCTTTTTTCCAATTTTTTTTTAGAAAAAGGGAAGGAAAAGAAGCAATGAAAGGACTGGAGCATACTAAAGGAGGGTAACAATTACTAAATTTTTCCCTCAAATTTATTGATTTTTATGCATGATAGAAGAAGATCCTTGCAACCAAGGCTAGAAAATCCTTTCATTATTTCATTCAAAACTAAAAATCCGAAAAAAAAAATAATTTTAATGGATCCTGAAAGAAGTACAGGTCAAACTGAGAGCAATCCTATGGCCATTGAAAATCATTATATCTCGTATTCATTTCAAAGAGCATCCAATATTAGAGTCCCATTAGCACCAACTATTAAATTTGAAATAAATCTAGAAAATTTTCAAATGCTCTCTAATTTTCATGGATTGCTTTAGAGGAACCTCATCAGCACTTAGAAAAATTTTATATGGTCTGTGATTTAGTTAATCTCTCTCAAGTTACATCGGAAATTATTAAGATGAAATTATTTCCTCATACACTTAGGGACAAAGCTAGTCATTGGCTATCTACATTAGATAGAGAATTAACTAGCTGGAAAGACAGAACAGGCCTTTCTTCAAAAATTTTATCTCTTAGGAAAAACTCAAAATATGAGAAAATATATATAGAATTTTCTCAAAGACCAAGAGAAACTTTACATGAGACATGGGAAAAATTCAAAGATTTACTTAGAAAGTGTCCTCATCATGCTATACCCAAGTGGCAGCTTAATAGAATTTTTATGGTGGATTATTAGAACAACATAAAAATATGGTTGATTCTATATGTGGAAGAACTTTTATGGAGAAAACTCCTGATAAGATTTATAGTCTTTATGAGAATCTATATGAAAATTCTAGAGATCAAGCCTCTTTTGAATTATATGATAGGGATAAGAAGAGAGGAGTTTATGAATTGCATCATGATGATTATTCTAAATTTAGAAATGAGGTTAATCAGATTAATCAAATATTAGAAAAAATTGATTTACTTATTGACAATATTAGAAAGCCTCTTAACCCTCAATTTAATTCAAATAGTATACGTCCTATGTATGGTGAAAATGATCATTTCAAATTTCAATATCATCCTAGGCAAGAACAAGTGCAAGTACCCCACGATTTTAGTAAAAATTAGGAATATTTTTCTAATTCTTATAATCCTAATTGGGGAAATAATTTTTGGTGGAGAAACCCAAATAATATTCAAAATCCAGAAGCACTTAGATTCAATTCAAATTTTGAATTTCATCCAAAATAAAAACACAGATTTCAGAAAAATCAGTCCTCTCAAATCCAACTTGATGCTATGGAAATGATGCAGCAAATGAGCCAAATGATGCAACAAACTATGAATCAAATGATGCTGCACTAGAAACAAATTATAGAGGCTCTTGGGGATAAGAGAAAAAAGAGACAGCTACCTAGTCAGCCCATAGAAAATTTAGGAAACTGTCCAATAGTAGGATTTCAGCAAGAAGAGTCTAGCTGGATAAATTTAGAAAAAAACCCACAAAATAAATATTAGGACAGTGAATACATTGAGTGAGAATATTTTACCTGATCTTTATTTCCAATTATTAGAAGAAATTGATGATCCATTAGAAGTAAATAAGAATATTAAGGCCAAAAATATAGTAGCAGAAAATTTGAATAAAATTATTTATTGCTTGCAATTAATGAATGAATATAGTGAGGATGATGAGGAGAAAGAGCCCTTAGATGAAGAAACAACAGTTGATCATGGAAAAATCATCTAAATTTTAGTAGAAGGGAGTAAGGACAGAAATGAAGAAAAACATATTTCAGGTGAGGAAAAATCAATTGATTTGGGAGATGTAGGAGACGAAATTAATGAATCTAATCATAATTTTGCAGCCATGGATGTTGATACTAAGGATGATGATGTATATCAGATACAGAAATTAAAAGATAGCTCTTGGAATGATGAAGAATTTGATGAGTTGAGAAATGAAAAGCTAGAAAAAGAGTTGATTCAACTAATAGGGAGAAACGAAAATAATGGATATGAATATAGAGATAATTTTAGAAGAGAAAATTTGAATTTTACTGAATTCAGTAGATCTGAGATTAGAGAAGAAAATCCTTCCATCCTTCAAAACTCACAGTCCATTAGAATTATTTCTAAGCTTGAAATATTTCACTCCTCGCAAATTGAAAAAATATGTATGGAAGATAAAATGGAGCAGGGGAAGATTATGCAGATAAAAGAAGAAATTAAGAAATGGGTGAGTGGAAGAATTAGAAATACCAATTTAGATGAAAAAAATTTAGATTGGGCAAAAGCTAATTTGAAAGTTATATGGCCTGATCACATTTTATGGTTTATTAATAGAAAGTATTTATTAATGAATGAGAGCCTAACAAAACAAGATAGAAATAAGGAAAGATTCTTTTCAAAATGGAAATATTATTTTTGGGAAAATTTTGTTAATTTCCATTTTGTTTTGGTTGAAATTATGTCAAGGTATATATATGAAGTATATGAATTTATGCTAAATCTGAAAAAGAATATCATGAAACTTACCTTGGGATACAAATATATTTTGATGGCCATAGATCATCTTATATGATCTAAGAGCTGTCCAGCTGAAGACATTAAATTGAGCGCTGCATTGGAGGCAACCCATGGTTTTTATTTCATTCTATTTGATCTTTTTTAAGCTTTGTTTTTCTTAGAATTTTGCAGTACTTGTTTCTGTATTTGTTTTTTCAAAAAAGTGCAAGAGGAGGAGTGTAAGATGAAGTGAAGAATTAAAAACGAGGTTGAGGTGATGTCTTTCTGAGCTTAATCATTTATGACAACATTTTTAATGCTTAACTTTACATATATGTATACTTCACTTGAAAATTATATTTTCTGCATATTTTGTTTTAATTTTTTTGTGTCATTGAGGACAATGTCATTTTTAAGTTGGGGGGTGAAGTATTCATTATTAACTTATGTTGTAGGACAATTAAGAACATGTGTTTGTATTTTATTCAACTTAGAACAGCAAGTAAAAAAATAAAAATAAAATAAAATTCAGAAAAACTGCAACATCTATTTTCTGATTTTCTGTCAGGAACAATAGACTGTCAAAAATAACAAACAAACAAATACCCCAAAATTTGAAATTCTAGAGACCCTTTTCTCACATTTCAATCCCCTAGATATATATTACTGAAATTCGAAATTACAGTTATAAAGAGGATAGTTTTGATTTATTTTTGACAAATTTATTGTGCTAAAAATAAAACTAAAAACAGAAAATAAAACTATTAGATTTATAAATTTCTTACTTCATATTGCATGCATGAAAAATTAAATCAATTAGATTGATTGATACCAAAAGACACTAGGAAGATTATTATTGAGTCAAAAGAATGATCTAGTAGCATGAAATGTTAGAATACTCCCTAGATACATGATAGATAACATGGATTTGATTTTACAGATTTTCACTTCATGATACTTGAGATTTGTAAATTTTTATTTTCATAACTCCATTGCTAAGGGACTAGCAATGATTTAAGTTGGGGGGTGTGATAAGTCTTCATTATCATGAGTTAATAATTAGTAAATAATATAGTTTTAGCCTTAACTCATGATAAATAGACTTATATTTGTGTTAAAGAATGATTTTTGGTTTTCAATTGATTAACGTGAATTTTTGGGTAATTATGTGATTTTATACGATTTTTACAGTCTTACTTTTGAGATAAATGAAGAACAAGAAATAAAAATAAAATATTACAAAAATGGGGGGACCCGTCGGCGAGCCGTGCCCGCAAGCGGGTCGGAAGCACAGTCGGGGAGTAAGCCGCGAGCAGGGCTCGAGCGGCTTGGCTTGGGGACCGACAAGCACGCGTACGCCACTCCCCTTCCACGTCACCGGTGGCCAGCCGGCTGTGGGGCAAGGAGTGGTCGTACACGCGAGAGAAGGGACTTTTGCTCACAAAGCTAACATTACTTTATATTCGCCCGAAAACTCGGCGTACAACCGATGTGGGACTAAACCCACACCTTCCTCAGAAGAGGCGGGGGGCAACCGGCGCGGGTTCGAATCCTCCTAGAGTCAAAATTCATATATTTTTAACTGATTATCGTGACTTTCCTGCAGATCGCCGGTGAAGGATTAAGCAACCGGAATCGCTGGATCATCGGCGAAAATCTCGTCAACGCGATTCGCGGAGCATTGCTACTAAAATTGCTGAACGATTCGCGATAAAAGGATCGCAATCCATCGAGTAAATCATCTCCGATTGATCGACAAACAAGCCGTCGTCGGGAAGAGGACGATCCGCCGGGAGACCAGTCGCCACCTCCTGAGAGCGTACCAGATGCGATGAAGAGCCTCCTCTTGCTGCGCGGACCTGAGGATGAAGCTCCCTGACACGCGCCCCACCTCCATCCAGCTCCTCTCCGTCGGGTGACAGCCGGCGGAGATGATTCGACGACCCACTTCATTGATCTCTAGACTTCGCGAGAAGATCTAGAGATTGCCCACGTCGTCTTTGTCCAAGGAGAGCCTTCGAGGCCATGGACACTTGACATGACTCAGTCGTTGTATATTAAATCATGCAAATATAAAATTTATAAAACTAGAAAATACGAATTTTTGGATATTTAGAAGTATTTCAAAATAAATATATCAATTATAATTCAATACAAATCCCAAAAATAGTGGTAATTTTCTAGGTCGATCAAAGGAATGTAATATAATATCTAGTAATTATTCAGAATTTTTCTCAATGAGTACAATTTTCTTACGAATTTTATACTAGGAAATAAAAAGGAAATATATTTAAAATTCATAAAAAAAAAGAGGAAATAAGGGTGCGGACGTCAGGATGACGTCGGCGCCCGGCGAACGCGAATCAGGCGGAAACAGAGTTCCGCCCGGTGATTCTTACGTAGGCGATTACAGACGACTCAATTAATCAAATTAAGATCTGTAAAAGCCGGAAGAATCGTAGTTGAACGAAGTATAGTTTGGTAAATAAAAATCAACAAAGTATCACTAAATGAAGCGTAAATTAAATTGAAAGCAGGAAAACAGAGTTCCGGCGTCGCGACGGCGATGCGTCGGCGATGCACCGGAATCCTGAGCGTTCGGGAGGATCGTCGTGCAGTGTCCACGGCCTCGAAGGCTCTCCTTGGACAAAGACGACGTGGGCAATCTCTAGATAAAGCAGGAAAACAGAGTTCCGGCGTCGCGACGGCGACGCGTCGGCGATGCACCGGAATCCTGAGCGTTCGGGAGGGTCGTCGTGCAGTGTCCACGGCCTCGAAGGCTCTCCTTGGACAAAGACGACGTGGGCAATCTCTAGATCTTCTCGCGAAGTCTAGAGACCAATGAAGTGGGTCGTCGAATCGTCTCCGGCGGCTGTCACCCGGCGGAGCGGAAAAACGGCGACTTTGCGGCTCTCCGGCGGCTGTCACCCGACGGAGAGGGGCTGGATGGAGGTGAGGCGCGTGTTAGGGAGCTTCATCCTCAGGTCCGCGCAGCAAGAGGAGGCTCTTCATCGCATCTGGTACGCTCTCAGGAGGTGGCGACTGGTCTCCCGGCGGATCGTCCTCTTCCCGACGACGGCTTGTTCGTCGATCAATCGGAGATGATTTACTCGATGGATTGCGATCCTTTTATCGCGAATCGTTCAGAAATTTTAGTAGCAATGCTCCGCGAATCGCGTTGACGAGATTTTCGCCGATGATCCAGCGATTCCGATTGCTTAATCCTTCACCGGCAATCTGCAAGAAAGTCGCGATAATCAGTTAAAAATATATGAATTTTTACTTTGGGAGGATTCGAACCCGCGGCGGTCGCCCGCGCCTTACAAGGTGCATTTAGTCCCACATCGGTTGTGCGCGGATTATTCGGACGAATATATAGTAAAGTTAGCTTTCTAGGCAAAGTCCTCTCGTGTGTACGACAACTCCTTGCCCCACAGCTGGCTGACACCAGTGACGTGGAAGGGGAGTGGCGCACACGTGCCCCTATCGATCCAAGCAAGCCGCTCGAGCCCCTGCTCGCGGCTACTCCCCGACTGCGCTTCCGACCCGCTTGCGGGCCCGGCTGGCCGGCGGGTTCCCCATTTTGCAATATTTTTATTTTTATTTCTTGTTCTTCATTTATCTCAAAACTAAGACTGTAAAAATCGTATAAAATCACATAATTACCCAAAAATTCACGTTAATCAACTGAAAACCACTTTTCATACTTTAACACAAATATAAGTCTATTTATCATGAGTTAAGGCTAAAACTATATTATTTACTAATTATTAACTCATGATAATGAAGACTTATCAACACTGCACGACGATCCTCCCGAACGCTCAGGATTTCGGTGCATCGCCAACGCATCGCCGTGGCAACGCCGAAATTCTGTTTTCTTGCTTTCAATTTAATTTACGCTTCATTTAGTGATACTTTGTGTGATTTTAATTTACCAAACTATACTTCATTCAATTAGGATTCTTCCGGCTTTTACAGATCTTAATTTGATTAATTAAGTCGTCTATAATCGATTACGTAGGAATCACCGAGCAGAACTCTGTTTCTGCCTGATTCGCGTTCGCCGGGCACTGACGTCATCTTGACGTTCGCACCCTTATTTCCTTTTTTTCGTGAATTTTAAATATATTTCCTTTTTATTTCCTAGTATAAAATTCGTAAGAAAATCGTATTCATTGAGAAAAATTCTGAATAATTACCAGATATTATATTACATCCCTGTAATTGACCTGGAAAATTACTGCTATTTTTGGAATTTTTATTGAATTATAATTGATATATTTATTTTGAAATACTTCTAAATATCTAAAAATTCGTATTTTCTAGTTTTATAAATTTTATATTTACGTGATTTAACATACAACGACTGAGTCACGTCACCCCACAGCTGGCTGGCCACCAGTGACATGGAAGGGGAGTGGCGCACACGTGCCCCTATCAGTCCAAGCTAAGCTGCTCGAGCCCTTGCTCGCGGCTACTCCCCGACTGCGCTTCCGACCTGCTCGCGGGCCTGGCTGGCCGATGGGTCCCCCCCCCATTTTGCAATATTTTTTATTTTTATTTCATGTTCTTCATTTATCTCAAAGGTAAGACTATAAAAATCACATAATTACCCAAAAATTCACGTTAATCAATTGAAAACCAAAAATCATTCTTTAACACAAATATAAGTCTATTTATCATGAGTTAAGGCTAAAACTATATTATTTACTAATTATTAACTCATGATACTGAAGACTAATTATCTCTTCATTGAAAAGTTCTTCTACACACATATCAGCAATGTCAATGATCCATAAATCTCCCGATAGTTCAAGATACTTCAATAGTTTTGTAATTTTAACTCAATTTTTTCTTGCCCAAATTTTAATTCTATTGTCCTATTACCCCAATCTTTTTTGGCTTTAGTTGTGGCCAAAAAAGAATGTCTTAAAATTATTGGGGCATGACTAATATTTTTTGTTATTTTCATATCAGCAACTAAAAGTCTACCAAAAAATAGCAGCTCTCAGTCTTCACTACAACAACTTTTAAAACTCCATAGGGTTGTCAGACTAATCCATCTACTAGCTGTAGCTCCACAAATAAAGGTTGCAAATCACCAAGTATATACATATCATATAGAGCTTTAGGCACTATTTTAACACTTGCTCCTGAACTAAGTAAAGAGTAGGTGAAAATCATACCTTGAATTTCACATTTGATAAGAAGAGCTCCCAGATCTTGTTGCTTTGTTGGGATCTGATTTAGTAAAACTGATCTTATTATTTCAGACAATTGAATGTATTTATATTTCTTTACAAGAGTGCATAATCCTTTTAAAAATTTAGCATAAAAAGGAATGTGCTGGATTGCATCTATCAAAGGAATACTAAGAGTGACTTGCTTAAAAACTTCTAAAATTTTTGTATCTTGATCTGTAACCTTGGGCTTATTGTCCTTTAAAGCTTCAGGAAAAGGATTGGAGGGCTATATTTTTCCAAATTATGTTCTTCCCTCTCTTTTCCTTTATCCTTAGTTTTTGTGAAATTCACATCTTTAGTTGTTGGTTCCTCTAACTCATTCTCTTAATTTTCTGCACTTACAAAATAAGGGTCAGATAAGACCTTCCTATTTGGAAGTTTAGAAATAGCATTGAGTGTTTCTTTATCCTAATCATGGCAATCGACTTGATTTACATGATGTTGACCTAAGGAATTAATCAAATTCTGAGGATTAATAGATGGCTGCATTGAAAATTGGCCTACTTCTCTGCTGTTGTTGTCTATTTCCAGCTGCTTATCATTTTTCTTCTTGGATCCATTCAGATCAAATTGTTGTCTTCCCTAGATCTATAGTTTCCTTGATGTAGCTTTTGTTGTTCTTGCAGCATCTGCTTCAAGAGCTCCTGCATAGACAAATCAGATCCAGTTGCATGTGACTGTAAGTGATGATTTGAAGGGCAAATATCTTGATTTTGAAAATGTGGCCTTTGAAATGACAAGTTCTGTGGAGGAATAAATGGCCCAGGCTGATGGACTGTTTCCTGACTTTTCCTCTAACCATTGGCTTAATTAGTGCAAAACTAGCTGTGTCTATAATTTGCATTACAGTTATTGTTAGATAATGCATTTTGCCTATGTCCTTGCCAACTATTGTCTGAAATAAATTGATTTGGTTTGAACTGCCCATTGATTGCCATGATCTGGTCATATTTTGGACAGTCGACTTCTACATGTTCATAGCTTGAACATAGTGCATATGCTGACATGTCTTGCTCTTATTTGGGAAGTTGCTGGTTGAATCATTTGTTGTGGATTTGCTCATCAATACCTATACACATTCATTTAGTTTGTCTACTTTATCAATAAGTAGTCGGGTCTCTATATTTTTCACATTATGGATACCCCATCTTCTAAATCCTGAAGTTTTTCTATTCTAGTTTAAAGAATAATGATGTCTACTATTTTCTGACAATGTTTCAATAAGATCAATAGCTTCACCTTCATATTTGTTCATAAAATCTCACCTAAGGCAACATCAATCATGTGCCTATCTCTCTCATTCAAACCTTCATAAAAAAGCTGCACAAGTTGCTAGTTTTGTATCTCATGATGTGGACACTAGCAGGTGTATTCCTTAACTCTCTCCCATACCTCAAAAAGATTCTTGGGTCCCTTGCATGAAATTCCTGATTGCCCTCCTAATATAATTCATTTTTCCTAAATAAAATTTCTTAAGGAATGCTGCCTCCATGTCAGTTCATGAATTTAGCTTCTGGACCAAGGCATGAAGCCAGTCTTTAGTTTTATCTTTGAGTGTGAAGGGAAATAATCTCATCTTCACTATCTCAATGAGAATGTTAGGATAATACGAAATCTCACAAACTTATGAGAAATCTTCCAAATGTTTATATGGCTCACAAAGAGCCATCCCATGAAAATGTGGTAACATTTGAATAGTATGATGATCAACTCTAAAATTAACATCATTCTCAATAGAACCATTGATTCTATTCACTGGTCTATATTGTAAGGGAGCTGAATATTCTCTAAGATGCATTCTTCTATTTTTCATTTAGTTTCCTTCTATTTTTGTTTCTTTTCCAAAGTCACTTTTACTTGTGATGATTCTCCTCACTCTTTTGCTGGTGGAATGACTACGTCCTTCTAGGATCTACGTCCTTGCATTTGCTTAATTCTAGTTTTGCTGATTTGTTCTACTCTTTTTACTTATTACTATGATAGTCTTATATACCTTGACTAGAAAGATGTGTATAAAATCCTCAATGATCACAATGAATAAAATTGCATAAAAATATTCAAACTTAACTAGTTTTAGAAGATAGATGTAATCTTTACAAGGAATCTGAATTGAGAAATAACAGGCAACTTCGCATATATTGATCATATGCAAGAATTGGATAGCAGGTAATAACAATTTCTGTCCTTATTTTCTAGGTGGCCTCTTTGGTTCTTCAAAACAAATTCGAACTTACTAGATATTTAAAACCAAATTCCCAATAGAAAGATCTCAGCGACCAAAACCAACAAACATACTTTTAGTGAATTATTTCAAAGGTATATATCAATTATGACTGATCAAAGTTTCAGAAAAATCATGTAATGCAGAAAAACAGGTCAAAATTTAAAAGCTGAATTTTGAGATTTCTACATGTTTTGAGGCTAATTTTTCTGCCTACGATTTCCCTTGCCTTGTCTTCTCACGAAAGCTATTCAATGTGACCGTTAATACAAGTCACAACACAAAATCAAGATTAGGCAATTAATTTCAAATCTGTTTGTAGATTAAATCCTTAATGAGTCCTGCAAGTTAGATTTCAAATATTTGCAAGCACACAATATAACTATTTTGAGCAATTCACCCTTTATTAAGATAAAGAAAATAGTTAAAATTTCAAATATACTCAATTCATTATACTTTAAAAAAAATTATGAAACTTTTTTAATCTTTTTAAAGAAAAACTATTATTTTGAGGTTGAATTTTGCTCAAATGAACTTGTCACATTTAGGAAAGAAAGTTAAATGACACAATTCAATTGATATTTTTCAAGTCAATTTCTCTTAAATTCATATCAAATTTTGCTCGATATCTCTACAACAAACCTCCTCAAGGTTCACTTACCTTGTTCCTTAAAATCTCTCAAAGTAATTGACTAGTATCCATGTCTTATAAGTTTTCATTATCATGAGTTAATAATTAGTAAATAATATAGTTTTAGCCTTAATTCATGATAAATAGACTTATATTTGTGTTAAAGTGTGAAAAGTGGTTTTCAATTGATTAAGTTTTGGGTAATTATCTGATTTTACACGAATTTATATGATTTTTATAGTCTTACTTTTAAGATAAATGAAGAAATAGAAATAAAAAATAAAAATAAGACAAAATGAGGGGGACCTGCTGGCCAACTGGGCCTGCAAGCGAGTTGGAAGCTCAGTCGGGGAGTAGCCACAAGTAGGGGCTCAAATAGCTTGGACCAATAGGGGCACGTGTGCACCACTCCCCTTCCATGTCACCGGTGGCTAGCTGGCTGTGGGGCAAGGAGTGGTTGTACATACGAGAGAAGAGACTTATTTAGAAATGTAACATTAGTATATATTCGTCCGAAAAATCAGTGCACAACCAATGTGGGACTAAACTCGCATCACACCTTCCTCAGAAAAGGGTGGGGGCAATCAGTGCGGGTTCAAATCCTCCTAGAGCCAAAACTCATATTTTTTTATCTGATTATCGTGACTTTCTTACAAATTGTTAGTGAATGATTAAGCAACCAGAATAGCTAGATCATCGATGAAAATCTCGTCAACATGATTCCCAAAGCATTGTTACTAAAATTGTTGAACGATTTGCGATAAAAGGAACATGAATCCATTGAGTAAAGCATCTCCGATTGATCGACGAACAAGTCATCGTCGGAAAGAAGATGATCTACTAGGAGACAAGTTACCAGCTCTTGAGAGCATACCAGATGCGATGAAGAGCCTCTTCTTGCTATGCGGACTAGAGGATGAAGCTCCCTGACATGCGCCCCGCCTTCATCCAAGTCCTCTTCATTGGGTGATAGCCACTAGAGAGCCATAAAGTCTCTATTTTTCCCCTCTGCTGAGTGACAGCCGTTAGAGATGATTCGACGACCCATTTCATTAATCTCTAAGCTTCGCAAGGAGATCTAGAGATTGCCCACATTGTCTTTGTCCAAGGAGAGCCTTCAAGGCTGTGGACACTACACAACGATCCTCCTAAATGCTCAAAATTCCAATGCATCACCGACACATCGCCGTCGTAACGTCGAAACTCTATTTTCTTACTTTCAACTCACTTTACTCTTCATTTAGTGATAATTTGTGTGATTTTAATTTACCAAAATATACTTTGTTCAATTATGAATCTTTCAGCTTTTACAAATCTTAATTTAATTAATTAAATCACTGGGCAGAACTCTATTTCCACCTGATTCGCATTTGCTAGGTGCTGACATCATCCTGATGTCTGCACCCTTATTTTCCTTTTTTGTGAATATTAAATATATTTCCTTTTCATTTCCTAGTATAAAATTCATAAAAAATTATATTCTTTGAGGAAAATTCTGAATAATTACCAGATATTATATTGCATCCCTGTGATCAACTTAGAAAATTATCACTATTTTTGAAAGTTTTATTAAATTATAATTGATATATTTATTTATAAATAATTCTAAATATTTCAAAATTCATATTTTCTAGTTTTATAAATTTTAGATTTATGTGTTTTAATATACAATGACTAAGTCACGTCAATGTCATCTTATCTTCTATAGATAAAACTCAAGAAATTAAAAGTATCTTCATTAAAAACTACATACATAAAATTGCTCAGCATTCAAACTTTCCCAATAATGGTGCCATTTGATGAGTTAAATCTTCTACATGTGTCATTAGTCCTTAATCTCCTCAATCAAAAATATTATGAGTTATATCTTAATTTGATTTGCAAAATACTTGTAGATAGTAGTGATTCCAGTCATCTTCTTAGGGAATTTGAGGCTTACTATTTAATGCTCAATCTAACAGAGGATTAAATGAAAAAGAAAACAAGGGGTCATGGACTGGAATGAGAGAAGAAGAGGGAATGATAAATCTAGATCTAATTTCTCAGATCTAGCTGATGTAAGAACGACAATCAATTGTCTGTGACTTCTACTAAATTCTTAACTAAAATCTAATCTAAACTAAACGAAACTAACCTTGTGTCACTACTCCTTCCTTACTTCTATCAAGAAGAGGCATTCACTTGAAGCAGTGGAAGAGACCATATTTAGGTGAGATGACCAGTGCTCCAAATTTACACACCTACATTAACAAGATGTGGAGCTTGGCAAACCCTAAACCCTCTAGGCTGGCTAAATTGCTGAAGACTTCTATAATCAGAAGCTATTTGTGACGTAGGTTTTTCCCAAATGTATAGGGTGGTGTTCTCTCTCTCTCTCCTCTCTCACTCGCCTATATGTGCACACAAGAGAAACTATCCAAAGGTTCTGGTGGCTTCTTCTCTGGCAAGGCCACACTCTGTTGGATCGATGGACTCCCTTCTCCTGAGCTCTTCTTAAGCCATCAGATCCTTCCCCCACCAAAGGGCTGCCTCCTCACTCCCATGAGTGATGGTCGAGCTGTTGTATCACAACTATTGATGAAGCGGCTACGACTTGAGGCATAAATTCCTAAACTCGTTGGAAAATGATCAGAAAAATCAGAAAAATATATTCAATGTCTAAAATAATCTGGTTTAATTAAACACCTAAATGTGTATGAGGAGATTAATCTCATTAAATTCTCAAAAATATTTGAAATATTACTATATCTTGAAACATGTTAAAAATCATATTTATTAATGTAAACAACATATTGATAATATCATAGAATTGTAAAATTAACCAACTTAAGGTGTCTTCTAACATATTATTCATGTGCTATCAATCACCTCTGAGATGTGTGGACTCACCTGCACATAGATTGAGATGTCTCTTTTTAGGGGGTGGTTATCTTTTCTTATTTTCTATAAATAGAGCATACATTTCCTTTTTTCGTGTGCATTTATCTCTCTCTCTCTTGATTTTACCCTCTCTCTTCACCAACTCACTTCTTCTTTCATAATTTCTTTTCTTTCTTCTATTACAAGTGTAGTCTTTATAAAAGTATATGAGTCTATTTTTGACTCTCTAGTGTGTGGGTCGTCTCGAAGACTATGAGACGTGGATCAGAAGTGTTTAGTGAAAGTCTTATTCTCATCAGAATTCTTGATAGCTTGATGATTTATCTTTTTTTTGTTCTCATTGATATATAGAAATTAAGTTTCTATTGTTATTGTGATCTTGTGCTTACATATTTGTTCCTATAAAATTAAAGAATGAAGGAAAAGTTTGAAGGAAAGATAAAGAGAAAAAATGATTTTAAAGAAGATAAAATTCACAAGAAAATAGAAGAACTCACGCTAGAGAGAAGTTTCTTGCTAACATGAGAAAAATCAAGATTTCTGGTGAATAAAAGTGATGAAGAATTATTAAAAAGAAACAAACTATCAATTTCTAATGAGAAAATTATCAAAAGAAGAGAGGAATTAGGGAGAAAAAGTGAAAAACTTGTCAAAAAGGGGAAAACTCGCTGACAAGAGAGAACGTTGGCATGAGAGAGAAAAAAAAATTGGAGGACAAAATAGGGGATTTGAGAATATCAAAACAGCTGCATGAAACCTTTGGAACATCAAAATACTAAGAAAGGATAGAGATGAAGTGGGAGGAAGGGAAGAACATGTCAGAACTAAATGAAAACAAAGAACTCTTCCTATTTGTCACCGAGTAAGAAAGAGCAAAAGGGAGAGCTAGAAAGTCACGAAAACTAACTAAAAACTTAGGAATGAAAGTCTAAAACGTTGAAGATGAGGGAGAGCTAGAAAGATGATGTTTGAAAATGTCAAACATCAAAAGATGAAGAGAGAAGAGAGAAACACCAAGAGAAAGAGAGTGCTCGAGAAAGGGAAGGGAGAAGAGAAGAGCTAGGAGAAGAGGTGCAAGAAAATATATATCCAAAAATTAGTAGTTGTAGATGGGGACTAATAAGTCTTCATTATCATGAGTTAATAATTAGTAAATAATATAGTTTTAGCCTTAACTCATGATAAATAGACTTATATTTGTGTTAAAGTGTGAAAAGTGGTTTTTAGTTGATTAATGTGAATTTCTAGGTAATTATGTGATTTTCTATGAATTTATATAATTTTTATAGTTTTACTTTTGAGATAAATAAATAAATAAATAAACAAAATGAGAGGGACCCACTGGCCAACTAGGCCCGCAAGTGGGTCAGAAGCTCAATTGAGGAGTAGTTGTGAGCAGGGGCTCAAGCAGCTTGGACCGATAGGGCACGTGTGTGCCACTCTCCTTTCACGTCACTAGTGGCCTACCAATTGTCAGGCAAGGAGTGGTCGTACATGCGCAAGAAAAGGACTTGATCGGAAATGTAAGATTACTATATATTCATTAGAAACTTCGGTGCACAACTGTTGTGGGACTAAACCCACTTCACACCTTCCCTAGAAAGGGGGGGCAATCGGTGTGGGTTCGAACCCTCCTAGAGCCAAAACTCATATTTTTTATCTAATTATCGTGACTTTCCTGCAGATCGTTGAGGAAGGATTAAGTAACTAGAATCGCTAGATCATTAGTGAAAATCTCGTCAACATAATTTGTGGAGTATTGTTACTAAAATTCATTAAGTAAAGCATCTCTAATTGATCGATGAACAAGCCGTCGTTGGGAAGAAGATGATCTGCTAGGAGATGAGTCGCCACCTCCTAAGAGTGTACCAAATGCGATGAAGAACCTCTTCTTACTATGCGGACCTGAGGATGAAGCTCCCTGACATGCGCCCCACCTCTATCTAGCTCCTCTCCGTCAAGTGATAGCTGTCGAAGGGCTACAAAGTCATTGTTTTTTCGCTTTGCTGAGTAACAGCTACCGAAAATAATTGATCTCTAGACTTCGTGATAAGTGATAAATCTTCATTATCATGAGTTAATAATTAGTAAATAATATAATTTTAGCCTTAACTCATGATAAATAGACTTATATTTGTGTTAAAGTGTAAAAAGTGGTTTTCAGTTGATTAACATGAGTTTTTAGATAATTATGTGATTTTATATGATTTTTACAGTCTTACTTTTGAGATAAATGAAGAACAAGAAATAAAAATAAAAATATTGCAAAATGGGGGGACCCACCGGCCAACCAGACCCGCAAGTGGGTCGGAAGCGTAGTTAGGGAGTAGCTGCAAGTAGGGGCTCAAGCGGCTTGGCTTGGAACGATAGGGGCACGTGTGTGCCACTCCCCTTCCACGTCACCAATGGCTAGGCAATTGTAGGGCAAAGAGTGGTCATATACGCGAGAGAAGTGACTTTGCTTATAAAGCTAACATTACTATATATTCACCGAAAAAATTGGTGCACAACCGATGTGGGACTAAACCCGTGTCACACCTTTCTCAGAAAAGGCAGGGCGACCAATGTGGGTTCAAATCCTCCCAGAGTCAAAATTCATATCTAATTATCGCAACTTTCTTGTAGATCGCCGATGAAGGATTAAGCAACGAGAATCGCTGGATCATCGGCAAAAATCTCATCAACGCAATTCACGGAGCATTGCTACTAAAATTGCTGAATGATTTATGATAAAAGGATTGCAAATCCATTGAGTAAATCATCTTTGATTGATCGACGAATAAGCCGTCGTCAAGAAGAGGACGATCAGCCAGGAGACGAGTCGCCACCTCTTGAGAGCATACCAGATGGGATGAAGAGCCTCCTCTTGCTGCACGAACCTGAGGATGAAGCTCCCTGACACGCGCACCACCTCTATCCAACTCCTCTTCGTCGGGTGACAATTGCTAGAGAGCCATAAAGTTGCCATTTTTCCGCTCCGCTGGGTGACAGCCGCCGGAGATATTTTGACAACCCATTTCGTTAATCTCTAGACTTCGCGAGAAGATCTAGAGATTGCCCACGTCGTCTTTGTCCAAGGAGAGCTTTCAAGACTATGGACACTACACGACGATCCTCTTGAACGCTCAAGATTCCGGTGCATCGCCGATGCATCGCCATCGTGACACCAGAACTCTATTTTCCTACTTCCGACTTACTTTACGCTTCATTTAGTGATAGTTTTGGTGATTTTAATTTACCAAAATATACTTTGTTCTATTATGATTCTTCTAGTTTTTATAGATCTTAATTTAATCAATTAAATCATTTATAATTACTTACGTAAGAATCACCGGGCACAACTCTGTTTCCGTCTAATTTGCATTCACTAGGTGCTGACATCATCTTGACGTCCGCACCCTTATTTCCCTTTTTCATGAATTTTAAATATATTTCCTTTTTATTTCCTAGCATAAAATTCATAGAAAATCGTATTCATTGAGAAAAATTCTGAATAATTACCAAATATTGTATTACATCCCTGTGATCGACTTAGAAAACTACTACTATTTTTGGAATTTATTGAATTATAATTGATATATTTATTTAAAAATAATTCTAAATATCCAAAAATTTGTATTTTCTAGTTTTATAAATTTAAGATTTGCGTGATTTAATATACAATGACTAAGTCACAACAAATTTTGGTGCCGTTGTTGGAGATGTATTGCATAATATTTAGTACTTTTCTATTTTTCTTTTAGAGTACAAAAAAAATAAATTTAACTCTTATTTTATTTTCTTTTTGCTGATTTTTTATTAGAAAAGGGAAATGAAAAGAAGCAAGGCAAGGACTGGAGCATCCTGAAGGAGGGTAATAGTTACTAAATTTTTCCCTCAAATTTTTTTATTTTTATGCATAGTAGAAGATCCTTGCATCCAAGGCTAGAAAATCCTTTCATTATTTCATTCAAAAATAAAAATTCGAAAGAAAAATTAATTTTGATGGATTCTGAAGGAAGTATAGGTCAAATTGAGAACAATCCTATGGCCATGAAAAATCATTATATCCCTGATTCATTTCAAAGAGCATCCAATATTAGAGTCCCATTAGCACCTACTGTTAAATTCGAAATATATCGTGAAATTTTTCAAATGCTCCCTAATTTTCATGGATTGTCATTAGAGGAACCTCATCAGCACTTAGAAAAATTTCATATGGTCTGTGATTTAGTTAATCTCCCTCAAGTTACATCAAAAACTATTAAGATGAAATTATTCTCTCATACACTTAGGGACAAAGCTAGTCATTGGCTATCCACATTAGATAGAGAATTAACTAGCTGAAAAGATCTAGAATAGACCTTTCTTTGAAAATTTTATCCTTTAGGAAAAACTCAAAATATGAGAAAATATATATGGAGTTTTTCCCAAAGACTAGGAGAAACTTTGCATGAGACATGAGAAAAATTCAAAGATTTACTTAAAAAGTGTCCTCATCATGCTATACCCAAATAGCAGCTCAATAGAATTTTTTATGATAGATTATTAGAACAACATAAAAATACAGTTGATTCTATATGTGGAGGAGCTTTTATGGAGAAAACTCTTGATGAGATTTACAATCTTTATGAGAATTTAAGTGAAAATTCTAGAGATCAAGCCTCTTTTGAATTATATGACAAGGATATAAAGAGAGAAATTTATGAATTACATCATGATGATGATTCTAAACTTAGAAATGAGGTTAATCAGATTAATCAAAGATTAAAAAAACTTGATTTACTTATTGACAATATTAGAAAGCCTCTTAACCCTCAATTTAATTCAAATAATACACATCCTATGTGTGGTGAAAATGATCATTTTGAATTTCAATATCATCATAGGCAAGAACAAGTCTAGGTACCCCACGATTTTAGTAAAAATAGAGAATATTTTTCTAATTCTTATAATCCTAATTGGAGGAATAATTTTTCATGGAGAAACCCAAACAATATTCAAAATTCAGAAGCATTTAGATCTAATTCACATTTTGAATTTCGTCCAAAACAGGAACATGGATTTTAGAAAAATCAGTCCTCTCAAATCCAACCTGATGCTATGGAAATGATGCAGCAAATGAGCCAAATGATACAACAAATTATGAATCAAATGATGCTGCACCAGAAACAAATTATAAAGGCTCTTGGGAATAAGAGAGAAGAGGGACAACTACTTAGTCAGCCTATAGAAAATTCAAGAAACTATCCAACAGTAGGATTTTAGCAAGAAGAGTCTAGTTGGATAAATTTAGAAAAAAACCCACAAAATGAAAATGTTTGGACAGTGAATACATTGAGTGAGAATATTTTACCTAATCCTTATTTCCAATTATTACAAGAAATTGATGATCCATTAGAAGTAAATGATAATATTAAGGCTGAAAATATAGTAGCAGAAAATTTGAATAAAGTCATTTATTGCTCAAAATTGATGAATGAATATAGTGAGGATGATGAGGAGAAAGAGCCCTTAGATGAAGAAATAGCAGCTGATCATGGAAAAATCATCCAAATTTTAGTAGAAGGGAGTAAAGACAAAAATGAAGAAAAACATATTTCAGGTGAGAAAAAATTAGTTGATTTGGGAGACGTAGGAGACAAAATTAATGAATCTAATCATAATTTTACAGCCATCGATGTTGATTGTGACGATGATAATGTATATCATATACCGAAATTAAAAGATAGCTCTTGAGAAGATGAAGAATTTGATGAGTTGAGAAATGAAAAGCTGGAAAAAGAGTTGATTCAACTAATAGGGAGAAACTGAAATAATGGATATGAATATAGAGATAATTTTGGAAGAGAAAATTTGAATTTTACTAAATTCATTAGATCTGAGATTAAGGAAGACAATCCTTCCATCCTTCAAAACCCACAGCCCATTAGAATTATTTCTAAGCTTGAAATATTTCACTCCTTGCAAATTAAACAAATATGTATGGAAGATAAAATAGAGTAGAGGAAGATTATGTAGATAAAAGAAGATATTAATAAATGGATGAATAGAAGAATTAGAGATATCAATTTAGATGAAAAAAATTTAGATTGGGCAAGAGCTAATTTGAAAATTATATGGCCTGATCACATTTTATGGTCTATTAATAGAAAGTATTTATTAATGAATGAGAGCCTTACAAAACAAGATAGAAATGAGGAAAGATTCTTTTTAAAATGAAAATATTATTTTTGAGAAAATTTTGTTAATTTCCATTTTTTTTTGGCTGAAAGAATGTCAAGGTATATATATGAAGTATATGAATTTATACTAAATCTGAAAAAGAATATCATGAAACTTACCTTGGGATACAAATATATTTTGATGGCCATAAATCATCTTATATGATCTAAAAGCTGTCCAACTGAAGACGTTAAATTTAGCGCTACATGGGAGGCAACCCATGGTTTTTATTTCATTCTGTTTGATTTTTTTCTTTAAGCTCTATTTTTCTTAGAATTTCACAGTACTTGTTTCTGTATTTGTTTTTTCGAAAAAGTGCAGGAGGAGGAGTTTAAGATGAAGTGGAAAATTAAAAACAAGGTTGAGGTGATGTCTTTCTGAGCTTTATCATTTATGACAATATTTTTAATGCTTAACTTTGCATATATGCATGCTTCACTTGAAAATTATATTTTCTACATATTCTATTTCAAGTTTTCTGTGTCATTGAGGACAATGTCATTTTTAAGTTGAGGGGTGAAGTATTGATTATTAATTTATGCTGTAGGACGATTAAGAACATGTGTTTGCATTTTATTCAACTTAGAACAGCAACTAAAAAAATAAAAATAAAATAAAATTCGGAAAAACTGCAACATCTATTTTTTGGTTTTCTATCAGAAATAATAGACTGTCAAAAACAGTAGACAAAAAACAGCCCAAAATTTGAAATTCTAGAGACCCTTTTCTCACATTTCAATCCTCTAGATCTATATTACTAAAATTCCAAATTACAGCTACAAAGAGGATAGTTTTGATTTATTTTTGACAAATTTATTGCTACTACAAATTCCTTACATCATATGGCATGCATGAAAAATTAAATCAATTAGATTGATTGATACCAAAAGATACAAGGAAGATTATTATTGAGTCAAAAGAATGATCTAGTAGCATTAAATGTTGGAATACTCCTTGGATACATGATAGATAACATGGATTTGATTTTACAGATTTTCACTTCATGATCTTGATGGATAGTATTTACTTGATGTGAAAATTTGATTGATCATTTGAGTTTAATGAAGATTTTTGCACCCTGATCTATAGGACTTGTCAAGAGAAATCACTTATTTCAACAAAAAAAAGAGAGAGCAATAGGAAAAATCTAGAAACAAAGAGTACACATGGAGGGTGTGAGACATCATTCTCATTGTCGAAAATCATGCATAGAAAAACACTTGCTACAAAATAAGTGGATAAAGTGAAAGCCTTGAAAATGAAGAGTACACATGGAGGGTGTGAGACATCATTCTTATTGTCGAAATTTATCTATAGGAAAAGCTACTTATCCACTATATATATAAAAAAAAAAAGAAGAAAGAAATATAGTGAAAACTTCAAAAATCAAGCCATAGAAAAAAGGAAATGTAGGATCGATATTATTCTTGGATGAGTATTGATAATTGGAACATCTTGTAAATACATCTATGAGTCAAGAAAGTGATAAAGATGTAAATAGAAGAAGTGAAGTCTAGATTGTTATTCCAAGGAGTGTTTAAACATTTAAGTGATTGACATCATTCTTAAATACTTGATATAAGAATCCAAAGTATTTAAAAGTGCATCATTTCTAATCGTATTTTTTTTTCTTTATTGAAATATGATGTTTCAGATTTGTAAAATTTTATTTTCATAATTCCATTGTTGAGGGACTAGCAATGATTTAAGTTTGGGAGTGTGATAAGTCTTCATTATCATGAGTTAATAATTAGTAAATAATATAATTTTAGCTTTAACTCATGATAAATAGACTTATATTTGTGTCAAAGTGTGACAAGTGGTTTTCAGTTGATTAACATGAATTTTTGGATAATTATGTGATTTTATATGATTTTTATAGTCTTACTTTTGAGATAAATGAAGAACAAGAAATAAAAATAAAAATATTGCAAAATGGGGGGACCCGTTGGCCAGCCAAACCTGCAAGCAAGTCGGAAGCATAGTCAGGAAGTAACTGCGAGCAGGGGCTCGAGCGGCTTAGCTTGGATCGATAGGGGCACGTGTGCGCCACTCCCCTTCCACGTCACTGGTGGCCAGCTAGCTGTGGGGTAAGGAGTGGTCGTACACGTGAGAGAAGTGACTTTGCTTGCAAAGCTAACATTACTGTATATTCGCTTGAAAAATCAGCGCACAACTGATGTGGGACTAAACCCGTGTCACACCTTCCTCAGAAGAGGTAGGGCGACCGGCATGGGTTCGAATCCTCCCAGAGTCAAAATTCATATCTGATTATCGCGACTTTCTTGCAGATCACCGGTGAAGGATTAAGCAATGAGAATCGCTGCATCATCGGTGAAAATCTCGTCAATACAATTCACGGAGCATTGCTACTAAAATTGCTGAAGGATTCGCAATAAAAGGATCACAAATCCATCAAGTAAATCATCTCTGATTGATCAACGAACAAGCCGTCATTGGGAAGAGGACAATCCGCCAAGAAACGAGTCGCCACCTCTTGAGAGCATACCAGATGTGATGAAGAGCCCCCTCTTGCTACGTGGACTTGAGGATGAAGCTCCCTGACATAGGCACCACCTCCATCTAGCTCCTCTCCGTCGGGTGATAGCCGCCAGAGAGCTACAAAGTTGCCATTTTTCTACTCTGCCAAGTGACAGCCACCAAAGACGACTCGACGACCCATTTCATTAATCTCTAGACTTCACGAGAAGATCTAGAGGTTGCCTACGTCGTCTTTGTCCAAGGAGAGCTTTCAAGACCGTGGACACTACACGACGATCCTCTCGAACGCTTAGGATTCTGGTGCATCGTTGATGCATCACCGTCGTGATGCCGAAACTCTATTTTCCTACTTTTGACTTACTTTACGCTTTAGTTAGTGATAGTTTTTGTGATTTTAATTTACCAAAATATACTTTGTTCTATTACGATTCTTCTGGCTTTTACAGATCTTAATTTGATCAATTAAATCATCTGTAATCACTTACGTAAGAATTGTTAGGCAGAACTCTATTTCTGCTCGATTTGCGTTCGCCGGGCGCTAACATCATCTTGACGTCTGCACACTTCTTTTCCTTTTTCGTGAATTTTAAATATATTTCCTTTTTATTTCCTAGTATAAAATTTATAGAAAATCGTATTCATTGGGAAAAATTCTGAATAATTACCAGATATTATATTACATCCCTGTAATCAACCTGGAAAATTACAGGTATTTTTGAAAGTTTTATTGAATTATAATTGATATATTTATTTAAAAATACTTCTAAATATCTAATAATTCGTATTTTCTCATTTTATAAATTTAAGATTTGCGTGATTTAATATACAACGACTAAGTCACGTAAATAAGTCTTTATTATCATGAGTTAATAATTAGTAAATAACATAATTTTCACCTTAACTCATGATAAATAGACTTATATTCGTGTCAAAGTGTGAAAAGTGGTTTTCAATTGATTAACGTGAATTTTTGTGTAATTATGTGATTTTATACAATTTTTATAGTCTTACTTTTGATATAAATGAAGAACAAGAAAAAGAAAGAAAAATATTACAAAATGGGGGGACCCGCCAGCCAGCTAGGCCTACAAGCAGGTCAAAAGCTCAGTCGGAGAGTTGCCGCGAGTAGAGGCTCAAGCGGCTTGAACCGATAGGGGCACACGTGTGCACCACTCCCCTTCCATATCACCGATGGCCAGCCGATTGTGGGGCAAGGAGTGGTCGTACACACAAGAGAAGTGACTTTACTTATAAAGCTAACATTACTATATATTCGTCTTAAAAATCAGCGCACAACTGATGTGGGACTAAACCTGTGTCACACTTCCTCAGAAGAGGTAGGGCGACCAACGCAGGTTCGAATCCTCCCAAAGTCAAAATTCATATCTGATTATCGTGACTTTCCTGCAGATCGCAGTGAAGGATGAAGCAACGAGAATTGCTGGATCATTGGCAAAAATCTCGTCAATGTGATTTGCGGAGCATTGCTACTAAAATTGCTGAAGGATTCACGATAAAAGGATCGCAAATCCATCGAGTAAATCATCTCTGATTGATTGATGAACAAGCCGTCGTCGGGAAGAGGATGATCCGCCGAGAGACGAGTCGCCACCTCTTGAGAGCCTACTAAATGCAATGAAGAGCCTCCTCTTGCTACGCGGACCTGAGGATGAAGCTCCCTGACATGCGCCCCACCTCCATTCAACTCCTCTCCGTCGGGTGACAGCTGCCTAAGAGCCGCAAAGTCGCCATTTTTCTGCTCCACCAGGTGACAGCTGCCGGAGACGTTTCGACAACCCATTTCATTAATCTCTAGACTTTGCAAGGAGATCTAGAGATTGCCCATATCGTCTTTGTCCAAGGAGAGCCTTCTAGGCTGTGGACACTACACGACGATCCTTGCGAATGCCTAGGATTCTAGTGCATCGCCGACACATTGCCGTCACGATGTAAGAACTCTATTTTCCTATTTTCAACTTACTTTACGCTTTATTTAGTGATAGATTTTGTGATTTTAATTTACCAAAATATACTTTGTTCTATTACGATTCTTCTGGCTTTCATAGATCTTAATTTGATTAATTAAATCGTCTATAATCACTTACGTAAGAATCACCAAGCGGAACTCTTTTTCAACCCGATTCACGTTCATCGGGAGCTAACGTCTGCACCCTTATTTCCTTTCTTTTGTGAATTTAAAATATATTTCCTTTTCATTTTTGAATATAAAATTCATAGAAAATAGTATTCTTTGAGGAAAATTCAAAATAATTACTAGATATTACATCCCTATGATCGACTTGAAAAATTATTGCTATTTTTGGAAGTTTTATGGAATTATAATTGATATATTTATTCAGAAATACTTCTAAATATCTAAAAATTCATATTTTCTAGTTTTATAAATTTTATATTTGCATGATTTAATATACAATGACTAAGTCACATCAAATTTTGGTGCCATTACCGAGGATGTATTGCATAATATTTAATATTTTTCTATTTTTCTCTTAAAGTACACAAAAAAAATTAAACTCTTGTTTTATTTTTTTTACTGATTTTTTATTAGAAAAAGGGAACGAAAAGAAGCAAGGCAAGGACTGGAGCATCCTGAAGGAGGGTAATAGTTACTAAATTTTTCCCTCGAATTATTAGTTTTTATGCATGGTAGAAGATCCTTGCATTCAAGGCTAGAAAATCCTTTCATTATTTCATTCAAAAATAAAAATCCGAAAGAAAAACTAATTTTGATGGATCTTAAAGGAAGTACAGGTCAAACTGAGAACAATCCTATGGCCATGAAAAATCATTATATCCCTGATTCATTTCAAAGAGCATCAAATATTAGAGTCCCATTAGCACCCATTGTTAAATTCGAAATATATCGAGAAATTTTTCAAATGCTCCCTAATTTTCATAGATTGCCTTTAGAGGAACCTCATCAGCACTTAGAAAAATTTCATATGGTCTATGATTAAGTTAATCTCCTTCAATTTACATTGAAAATTATTAAGATGAAATTATTTCCTCATACATAGAGAGAAAGTTAGCCATTGGCTATCCACATTAGATAGAGAATTAACTAGCTGGAAAGATCTAGAATAGACTTTTCTTCGAAAATTTTATCCCTTAAGAAAAACTCAAAATATGAGAAAAGATATATGTAGTTTTCCTCAAAGACCAGAAGAAACTTTGCATGCGACATGGGAAAAATTCAATGATTTACTTAGAAATTGTCCTCATCATGCTATACCCAAGTGGCAGCTCAATAGAATTTTTTATGATGGATTATTACAACAACATAGAAATATGGTTGATTCTATATGTGGAGGAGCTTTTATGGAGAAAACTCTTGATGAGATTTACAACCTTTATGAGAATTTAAGTGAAAATTCTAGAGATCAAGCCTCTTTTGAATTATATGTCAAGAATAAGAAGAGAGGAATTTATGAATTGCATCATGATGATGATTCTAAACTTAGAAATGAGATTAATTAGATTAATCAAAGATTAAAAAAAATTGATTTACTTATTGACAATATTAGAAAGCCTCTTAACCCTCAACTTAATTCAAATAGTATAGGTCCTATGTATGATGAAAATGATCGTTTCGAATTTCAATATCATCATAGGCAAGAACAAGTGTAGGTAGCCCACGATTTTAGTAAAACTAGGGAATATTTTGCTAATTCTTATAATCCTAATTATGAGAATAATTTTTCGTAGAAAAACCCAAATAATATTCAAAATCTAGAAGCAGTTAGATCCAATTCAAACTCTGAATTTCGTCTAAAATAAGAAAGTAGATTTTAGAAAAATCAGCCCTCTCAAACCCAACATCATATTATAGAAATGATGTAACAAATGAGCCAAATGATGCAACAAACGATGAATCAAATGATGCTGCACCAAAAACAAATTATAGAGGCTCTTGAGAATAAGAGAGAAGAGGGACAGCCACCTAGTCAACCCATAGAAAATTTAGGAAACTATCCAATAGTAGGATTTCAGCAAGGAGAGTCTAACTAGATAAATTTAGAAAAAAACCCACAAAATGAAAATGTTTGGACAGTGAATACATTGAGTGAGAATATTTTACCTAATCCTTATTTCCAATTATTACAAGAAATTGATGATCCATTAGAAGTAAATGATAATATTAAGGCTGAAAATATAGTAGCAGAAAATTTGAATAAAATCATTTATTGCTCACAATTGATGAATGAATATAGTGAGGATGATGAGGAGAAAGAGCCCTTAGATGAAGAAATAGCAGCTGATCATGGAAAAATCATCCAAATTTTAGTAGAAGGGAGTAAGGACAGAAATGAAGAAAAACATATTTCAGGTGAGGAAAAATTAGTTGATTTGGGAGACGTAGGAGACGAAATTAATGAATCTAATCATAATTTTACAGCCATCGATGTTGATTGTGATGATGATGATGTATATCATATACCGAAATTAAAAGATAGCTCTTGGGAAGATGAAGAATTTGATGAGTTGAGAAATGAAAAGCTAGAAAAAGAGTTGATTCAACTAATGGAGAGAAACAAAAATAATGGATATGAATATAGAGATAATTTTGCAGGAGAAAATTTAAATTTTACTAAATTTATTAGATCTGAGATTAAAAAAGACAATCCTTCCATCCTTCAAAACCCATAGCCCATTAGAATTATTTCTAAACTTGAAATATTTCACTCCTTGCAAATTGAACAAATATGTATGGAAGATAAAATAGAGTAGAGGAAGATTATGTAGATAAAAGAATAGATTAAGAAATAGGTGAGTGGAAGAATTAGAGATATCAATTTAGATGAAAAAAATTTAGATTGGGCAAGAGCTAATTTGAAAATTATATGACCTTATCACATTTTATGGTCTATTAATAGAAAGTATTTATTAATAAATGAGAGCCTTACAAAACAAGATAGAAATGAGGAAAGATTCTTTTCAAAATGGAAATATTATTTTTGAGAAATTTTTGTTAATTTCTATTTTTTTTTGGCTGAAAATATGTTAAGGTATATATATGAATTATATGAATTTATGCTAAATCTGAAAAAGAATATTATAGAACTTACCTTGGGATACAAATATATTTTGATGGCCATAGATCATCTTATATGATCTAAGAGCTGTCCAGTTGGAGACATTAAATGCACCGCTGCGTGGGAGGCAACCCATGGTTTTTATTTTATTCTGCTTGATTTTTTTTAAGCTCTATTTTTCTTAGAATTTTACAATACTTTTTTTTGTATTTTTATTTTTATTTTTCGAAAAGGTGTAGAAGGAGGTGTGTAAGATGAAGTGAAAAATTAAAAATGAGGTTGAGGTGAGTCTTTCTGAGCTTTATGATTTATGAAAATATTTTTAATGCTTAACTTTGCACATATACATGTTTCACTTGAAAATTATATTTTCTACATATTCTATTTCGATTTTTCCGTGTCATTGAGGACAATGTCATTTTTAAGTTGGCGGGGGAAGTACTCATTATTAATTTATGTTGTCAAAAAACTAAGAACATATGTTTGCATTTTATTAAACTTAGAACAGCAACTAAAAAAAGTAAAAATAAAATAAAATTCAGAAAAACTGCAACATCTATTTTCTGGTTTTCTGTTAGGAACAGCAAACTGTCAAAAACAGCAGACAAAAAAATAGCCCGAAATTTGAAATTCTAGAGACCCTTTTCTCACATTTCAATCCTCTAGATATATATTACTGAAATTCCAAATTACAACTATAAAGAGGATAGTTTTGATTTATTTTTGACAAATTTATTGTTCTAAAAATAGAACTGAAAACAAAAAATAGAACTGTCAAAACTATCTAATTTACAGATTTCTTACATCATATTACATGCATGAAAAATTAAATCAACTAGATTGATTGATATCAAAAGATATTAGGAAGATTATTATTGAGTCAAAAGAATGATCTAGTAGCATGAAATGTTGGAATACTTCTTGGATACATGATCAATAACATGGATTTGATTTTACAGATTTTCACTTCATGATCTTGATGGATAGTATTTACTTGATGTAAAAATTTGATTGATCATTTGAGTTTAATGAAGATTTTTGTACCCTGATCTATAAGACTTGTGAAGAGAAATCACTTATTTCGAAAAAAAAGAAAAGAAAAAAAAGAGAGAGTAATGTGAAAAATCTAGAAACAAAAAGTACACATGGAGGGTGTGAGACATCATTCTCATTGTCGAAAATCATGTATAGAAAAACACTTGCTGCAAAATAAGTAGATAAAGTGAAAGCCCTGAAAATGAAGAGTACACATGGAGGGTGTGAGACATCATTCTCATTGTCGAAAATCATGTATAGAAAAACACTTGCTGCAAAATAAGTAGATAAAGTGAAAGCCCTGAAAATGAAGAGTACACATGGAGGGTGAGAGACATCATTCTTATTGTCGAAATTTGTCTACAGGAAAAGCTACTTATCCACTATATATACATATATATATATATAAAATGAAGGAAGAAATATAGTGAAAACTTCAAAAATCAAGTCATAGAAAAAGGGAAATGTAGGATCAATATTATTCTTAGATGAGTATTGATAATTAGAACATCTTGTAAATACATCTATGAGTGAAGACGTGATAAAGATGTGAATAGGAGAAGTGGAGTCTAGATTGTTATTCCAAAGAGTGTTTAAACATTTAAGTACTTGACATCATTCTTAAATACTTGATATAAGAATCCAAAGTGTCTAAAGGTCCATCATTTCTAATTGTATTTTTTTTCTGTATTAAAATATGATGTTTCAGATTCGTAAAATTTTATTTTCGTAATTCTATTGCTAAGGGACTAGCAATAATTTAAGTTGGGGGGTGTGATAAGTCTTCATTATCATGAGTTAATAATTAGCAAATAATATAGTTTTAGCCATAACTCATGATAAATAGACTTATATTTGTGTTAAAGTATGATTTGTGGTTTTCAGTTGATTAACGTGAATTTTTGGGTAATTATGTGATTTTATACGATTTTTACAGTCTTACTTTTGAGATAAATTAAGAACAAGAAATAAAAATAAAAATATTACAAAAAGGGGGGACCCACAAGCCAGTCGGGCCTGCAAGTGGGTCGGAAGTGCAGTCGAGGAGTAGCCACGAGTAGGAGCTCAAGCGACTTAGCTTAGACCAATAGGGGCACGTGTGCACCACTCTCCTTCCACGTCACCAGTGGCCAGCCGGCTATGGGGCAAGGAGTGGTCGTACACACGAGAGAAGGGACTTTGCTTGCAAAGCTAACATTACTATATATTTGCCCGAAAAATCGGCGCACAATCGATGTGGGACTAAACCCACGTCACACTTCCTCAGAGGCGGGCGACCCGCATGGGTTCAAATCCTCCCAGAGTCAAAATTCATATATTTTTATCTGATTATCGCAACTTTCCTGCAGATCGCCAGTGAAGGATTAAGCAACGAGAATCACTAGATCATCAGCAAAAATCTCATCAACTCGATTTGCGGAGTATTGCTACTAAAATTGCTGAACAATTCGCGATAAAAGGATCACAAATCCATCGAGTAAATCATCTTCGATTGATCGATGAACAAGCCATCGTCGAGAAGAGGACGATCCGCCGAAAGATGAGTTGCCACCTCCTGAGACCGTACCGGATGCAATGAAGAGCCTCCTCTTGCTACGCGGACCTGAGGATGAAGCTCCCTAACACACACTCCACCTCCATCCAACTCCTCTCCATCGGGTGACAGCCACCAAAGAGCCGCAAAGTCGTCAGTTTTTCGCTCCGCCAGGTGACAGCCACCGGAGACAACTCGAAGACCCACTTCATTGATCTAGAGATTGCCCACGTTGTCTTTGTCCAAGGAGAGCCTTCAAGGCTGCAGACACTACACAACGATCCTCCTAAACGCTCAAAATTTTGGTGCATCGCTGATGCATCGTCGGCACGACGCCGGAACTCTATTTTCCTACTTTCAATTTACTTTACCCTTCATTTACTGATAACTTTTGTGTTTTTAAGTTACCAAAATATACTTTGTTCAATTACGATTCTTCCAACTTTTACAAATCTTAATTTGATTAATTAAATCACCTGTAATCATTTATGCAAGAATCGTCGGGTGGAACTCTATTTCCGCCTGATTCACGTTCGCCGGGTGCTAACATCATCCCGACATCCGCACCCTTATTTCCCTTTTTCGTGAATTTTAAATATATTTCCTTTTTATTTCCTAGTATAAAATTCATAGAAAATCATATTCATTGAGAAAAATTATGAATAATTACCAGATATTATATTACATTTGTGTGATTGACCTAGAAAATTACCACTATTTTTGAAAGTTTTATTGAATTATAATCGATATATTTATTTAGAAATACTTCTAAATATCTAAAAATTTGTATTTTCTAGTTTTATAATTTTTATATTTGCGTGATTTAATATACAATGACTGAGTCATGTCATGTACCAGAGGAGTACCCTAGGTGATTCGAACTCCCAAAAAATCTTGACAAATATAGGTTCAATGAATTCAACCTATTACAATGGGAAGAATATGTGGAAATGATTTTACTTGGCGGGAGTAAATTAATCCACCTCAAGAGTGGTAATCATGATAGCCCAATAGATCCACAACACATTATATGTAAGAGGTAGATGCCATCATGATAAGTCTTCATTATCATGAGTTAATAATTAGTAAATAATATAGTTTTAGCCTTAACTCATGATAAATAGACCTATATTTGTGTTAAAGTATGATTTGTGGTTTTCAGTTGATTAACGTGAATTTTTGGGTAATTATGTGATTTTATACGATTTTTACAATCTTACTTTTGAGATAAATGAAGAACAAGAAATAAAAATAAAAATATTGCAAAAAGGGGGGATCCGCCAGCCAGCCGGGCCCGCAAGTGGGTTGGAAGCTCAGTCGGGGATTAGCCGTGAGTAGGAGCTCAAGCAACTTAGCTTGGACCAATAGGGGCATGTGTGCGCCACTCCCCTCCCACGTCACCAGTGGCCAGCCGGCTGTGGGGCAAGGAGTGGTCGCACACACGAGAAAAGGGACTTTGATTAGAAAGCTAACATTACTATATATTCGCCTGAAAAATCGGCGCACAACCGATGTGGGACTAAACCCACGTCACACCTTCCTCAGAGGCAGGCGACCGGCATGGGTTTGAATCCTCCCAAAGTCAAAATTCATATATTTTTATCTGATTATCACGACTTTCTTGCAGATCGCCGGTGAAGAATTAAGCAACGAGAATCACTAGATCATCGGCAAAAATCTCATCAACACAATTCACGGAGCATTGCTACTAAAATTGCTGAACGATTCACGATAAAAGGATTGCAAATCCATCAAGTAAATCATCTCCGATTGATTGACGAACAAGCTGTCGTCGGGAAGAGGAGATCCGTCAGGAGACGAGTTGCCACCTCCTGAGAGCGTACCGGATGCGATAAAGAGCCTCCTCTTACTACACAGACTTGAGGATGAAGCTCCCTGACACGCGCCCCACCGTCATTTTTCCGCTCCACCGGGTGACAGCCGTAGGAGACGACTTGACGACCTATTTCATTAATCTCTAGACTTTGCGAGAAGATCTAGAGATTGCCCACGTCGTCTTTGTCCAAGGAGAGCCTTCGAGGTTGTAGACACTACACGACGATCCTCCTGAATACTCAAGATTCCGATGCATTGCCGATGCATCACCGTCGCGATGCTGGAACTTTGTTTTCCTGCTTTCAATTTACTTTACACTTCATTTAGTGATAATTTTTATGTTTCTAATTTACTAAAATATACTTTGTTCTATTACGATTCTTCCGGCTTTCATAGATCTTAATTTGATCAATTAAATTATCTATAATCGCTTACGTAAGAATCACCAGGCGGAACTCTATTTCCAGCCGATTCGCATTCGTCGAGTGCTGACATCATCCTGACGACTGCACCCTTATTTCCCTTTTTTGTGAATTTTAAATATATTTCCTTTTTATTTCCTAGTGTAAAATTCATAGAAAATCGTATTCATTGAGAAAAATTCTGAGTAATTACCAGATATTATATTACATCTTTGTGATCGACCTGGAAAATTATCGCTATTTTTGGAAGTTTTATTGAATTATAATTGATATATTTATTTAGAAATACTTCTAAATATTTGAAAATTCATATTTTCTAGTTTTATAAATTTTAGATTTGCGTGATTTAATATACAACGACTGAATCATGTCACATCATTAGAGTGTGGTAGTTAGAAAACATGGCACCATCTATCAATGACCACTTCTTTCAGATTTTGACAACAAAAGATGTGGGAGAAAGCTTACCATATACACACGAAGCAGAATGATAAGGGAGAAATCTCATGCCTAACCACCAAAGTTATGAACCTTACTCAGGGGAATAGAATGGTGATGGAGTATGCAGCCGAACTAAAAACTATTAGGATGAAGGTCGATCATTATAGACTGACCACCAATCCAGATTTTGTTGAACAAACTTACATCCTGAAGGATCGCTTGTATCGGTTCTTATCTGGCTTAAATTCACCCTTTGTACAATTGGCTGGTCAATTGTTAAATAGGGAAAGAATATTTCATTTGAGGAAGCTGTGAGAATTATTAGGAGGGAAGAGAATAGGCTGACACTATTGAATGAAAATCAGCAAGCTGATAACTCAGTATTGGTAGTAGAGAACATAGCAAGAGCATCAGCCAACACTAGTCGTGACTAGGAAGGGAAGAGCGAGGTAAACTCTTCACATTCCAACAAAGGAAAATAAGGCCAAAACCCAGAGCAAGTGATAGATCCAAAGGCAAATCTATGGTTCTCATTCTGCCAAAAAAAGAAACATACTTGTGACAATTACTGGAAATTACATTGTAAGCCTCCAAGAGAAGGATAGGGGTACATGGGTGTATCCCCTTCTCCTACACATGGGCAAGAAATTGGCTATACAAGCTCCACTAAGGGAGAGGTGAACTTAACATCTATCCCTTAACCAAAAAATTCTACGGATGGGAAAATTAATAGACTCAAGGAGGAGATCGAGAAGTTGTGGCAACTCATCACCTCAAGTACCATAACACCATTAGCAACCTCTTTGGGTAATTTTCCAATCTCTTATACTTCCTTCTCATTGAGTTTTCGTTCTCCCCATCATACAAGCTTGTATCTAAGAGATAAAGGTACATGCATTCTCGACTCAAGGGCCACATATCATATGTCTCCACTCAAAAAAAAAATTCAAACCTATGGACCATGTTTTAAGGGTAGACAAGTTTTGGCCACAGATGAAAAACTTATAACGATAGTTGGTATAGGTTCCATAGAACTTCCAAGAATAGGAAAAATACACCATGTTCTTCATGTGCCTCTATTATAAACAAACCTAATCTCCCTTAGTAGACTTAGATAATCCATCACTCATGACCTTCTAATTACTCTTAATGGCTGTCTTATATGATATGGACATGGGATGGAGGACAAGACTTGTTGAGGAGGGGAGGTCTATATTACATAGGAGGCATCAACGGAACACAAAGGACACATTCACAAATGGCACAAGTGATGGTGACAACACCAAAAGTGGCATCAAGGGTGAGCCACGAGTTGATTGAACCACTTATGTTGATTCATTGTCACCTAGGACATCCTTCTCTCTTAACTATTAAACATTTATTTCCACAATTGTGTAAGGAATTTGATGACAATAGTTTCTTATGTGAGGTATGTCAACTAGTCAAGCATAAACAATCTATTTATTCACCATCTAACTCAAGATCTCTTAAACCTTTTGACTTGATTCATAGCAATGTGTGGGGCAAACACCAATGTCAACCATATATGGTCATAGTTGGTTCATCACCTTTATTGATGGTTGCACTCGTATGACGTAGGTATGATTGATAAGTCACAAATTTGAAGTGACTGAAAAATTAAAAAATTTCTTCTGAATGGTGAAACAACAATTTAGTATCACCATTAAATGTTTTAGAATTGAAAATATAAAGGACTATATTAATGAGGATTTAGTCTAATTTTTTCTTACAAATGGAGTGATTTATAAGACATCTTGTGTGAACACTATCCAACAAAATAAGATTGTAGAGAGAAAAAACAACACCTATTAGAAGTAATTAGAGCACTTCTTATCCAAGGGAATGTCTCAAAATACTTGAGGGGGGAAGCAATACTCATGGCCACCCACCTAATTAATAGATGACCATCAAGGATTTTGGACAAAAAAAGTTCTATTGATTCCTAGAGTCCCATATTCTAGGGTTAGAACTCAGAACCAACCTCACACCTAAAGTATTTAGATGTGTGGCATATGTACACTTATATCATACCAAGAAATTAGACCTGGGGGCACTTAAGTGTGTATTCTTGGGCTACTCAATAATTGAGAAATGGTATAAATATTATGACCATAAAACAAAGAAATTTTATGTCACTCGAGATGTCAACTTCAATGAAGGTGAAAATTATTATAAAACTAATGAGACCTTAGAACTTTCAACTTTAGAGATGATGGGTGATAAGACCACATCTCAAGGAAGTTATCTACTTCCTTATGATGAGGGGGAGTCAAATTCACAAAAATTAAGTATAGAAAATAGATTTGGACAGACCTATATAAGAAGAAAAAATAAACAAACCACACACTACTTCAGTAGATGATTTAACTCATAAGACTATGCTAGATCATCCATTAGAACCATAGAAAATGTAGTAAACTTGCTAGTTCATCAAAAATCAGTAAGAATATTACTTATCTATTGCAAAATTATTTCTCCTTCCCTTAGTTATCTATAGTCCACATCATTTCTTATGAAGGTAGGCCCCATTCCCATTCCATCAACACTTAATGAAGCTATAAATAATGTAGAATGAAAAAGACTATGGAAATAAAAATGAATATATTGATTAAAAATAACACATGGGAACTAGTTAAGTTCCCTATAAGGACCATTGGGTGTAAATGGGTGCGTGACTCAATCGTTGTATAGTAAGTCACGTAAATTTAAAATTTATAAAATTAGAAAATATGATTTTTCAGATATTTAGAAGTATTTCTGAACAAATATATCAATTATAATTCAATAAAAAACTTCCAAAAAATAGTACTAATTTTCCAAGTAATATAATATCTCGTAATTATTTAGAATTGTTCTCAATGAATACAAATTTCTATGAATTTTATACTAGGAAATGAAAAGAAAATATATTTAAAATTCACAAAAAAAGAGAAATAAGGGTGCAGACATCAGAATGATGTCAGCACTCGGTGAATGCAAATCAGACAGAAATAGAGTTCCGCCCAACGATTCTTACCTAAGCGATTATAGATGATTTAATTAATCAAATTAAGATTTGTAAAAGCTAGAAAAATCGTAATTGAATAAAGTATATTTTGGTAAATTAAAATCACAAAAATTATCACTAAATGAAGCGTAAAGTAAGTTGAAAATAGGAAAACAGAGTTCCGGCATCATGACGGCGATGTGTCGGCAATGTATTAGAATCTTGAGCATTCAGGAGGATTGTCATGCAATGTCCACCATCTTAAAGGCTCTCATTGGACAAAGATGACGTGGGCAATCTCTAGATCTCCTTGCAAAGTCTAGAGATTAATGAAATGGATTGTTGAATTGTCTTTGGTGGCTGTCACCCGATAGAGCGGAAAAATAGTGACTTTGCGGCTCTCTAGTGACTGTCACCTGATAGAGAAGAGCTGGATGGAAGTGGGGCACGTGTTAGGGAGCTTTATCCTCAGGTCCGCATAGCAAGAGGAGTGATAAGTCTTCATTATCATGAGTTAATAATTAGTAAATAATATAGTTTTAGCCTTAACTCATGATAAATAGACTTATATTTGTGTTAAAGAATGATTTTTGGTTTTCAATTGATTAATGTGAATTTTTGGGTAATTATGTGATTTTATACGATTTTTACAGTCTTACTTTTGAGATAAATGAAGAACAAATAAAAATAAAAATATTGCAAAAATGGGGGAATCTGCTGACCAGTCGGGCCCGCAAGTGGGTCGGAAGCGCAGTCGGGGAGTAAGCCGCGAGCAGGGGCTCGAGCGGCTTGGCTTGGGGACCGACAGGGCATGCGCATTCACCACCCCCCTTCCACGTCACCGTTGGCCAGCCGGCTATGGGGCAAGGAGTGGTCGTACACGCGAGAGAAGTGACTTTGCTCAGAAACCTAACATTACTATATATTCGCCCGAAAACTCAACGTAAAACTGATGTGGGACTAAACCCCCGCACACCTTCCTCAGAAGAGGCGGGGGCAACCGGTGCGGGTTCGAATCCTCCCAGAGTCAAAATTCATATATTTTTATCTGATTATCATGACTTTCCTACAGATCGCTGGTGAAGGATTAAGCAACGAGAATCGCTGGATCATCGGCGAAAATCTCGTCAACGCGATTCGCAGAGCATTGCTACTAAAATTGCTGAACGATTCGCAATAAAAGGATCGCAAATCCATTGAGTAAATCATCTCCGATTGATCGACGAACAAGCCGTTGTCGGGAAGAGGACGATCTGCCGAGAGACCAGTCGCCACCTCCTGAGAGCATACCAGATGCGATGAAGAGCCTCCTCTTGCTGCGTGGACTTGAGGATGAAGCTCCCTAACACGCGCCTCACCTCTATCCAGCTCCTCTCCGTCGGGTGACAGCCGCCGGAGAGCCGCAAAGTCGCCGTTTTTCCGCTCCGCCGGGTGACAGCCACCAAAGACGATTCGACGACCCACTTCATTGATCTCTAAACTTCGCGAGAAGATCTAGAGATTGCCTACGTCGTCTTTGTCCAAGGAGAGCCTTCGAGGCTGTGGACACTGCACGACGATCCTCCCGAATGCTCAGGATTCCGGTGCATCGCCGACGCATCGCCGTCACGACGCCAGAACTTTGTTTTCCTGCTTTCAATTTAATTTACGCTTCATTTAGTGATACTTTGTGTGATTTTAATTTACCAAACTATACTTCGTTAAATTACGATTCTTTCGGCTTTTACAGATTTTAATTTGATTAATTAAGTCGTCTGTAATCGCTTACGTAGGAATCACCGGGCCGAACTCTGTTTCCGCCTGATTCGCGTTCGCCGGGCGCTGACATCATCCTAACGCCCGCACCCTTATTTCCTTTTTTTTCGTGAATTTTAAATATATTTTCTTTTTATTTCCTAGTATAAAATTCATAAGAAAATTTTATTCATTGAGAAAAATTCTGAATAATTACCAGATATTATATTACATCCCTGTGATTGACCTGGAAAATTACCGCTATTTTTGGATTTTTTATTGAATTATAATTGATATATTTATTTAGAAATACTTCTAAATATCCAAAAATTCGTATTTTCTAGTTTTATAAATTTTATATTTGCGTGATTTAATATACAACGACTGAGTCACGTCAAGGAGGCTCTTCATCACATCTAGTACACTCTTAGGAGGTGGCAACTCATCTCTCGGTGGATTGTCCTCTTCTTGACGACGGCTTGTTCGTTGATCAATCAAAGATGATTTATTCGATGGATTTGCGATCCTTTTATCGCAAATCCTTCAGTAATTTTGGTAGCAATGCTCTACAAATCGTGTTGATGAGATTTTCACCGATGATCTAGTGATTCTAGTTGCTTAACCCTTCATTGGCAATCTGTAAGAAAGTCGTGATAATCAGATAAAAAAAATATGAGTTTTGGCTCTAAGAGGATTCAAACCTGCATCAGTTGCCTGCCCTTTCTGAGGAAGGTGTGACACCGGTTTAGTCCTACATTGATTGTGTGCCAATTTTTTAGGGGAATATATACTAATGTCACATTTCTAATCAAGTCCCTTCTCTTGTGTGTATGACCACTCCTCGCCCCATAGCCGACTGGCCACTAGTGACATGGAAGGGGAGTGGTGCACACACGCCCCTATCAGTTTAAGCTACTCGAGCCTCTACTCACACCTACTCCTCAACTGAGCTTCTAACTTGCTTCCAAGCTCGGCTAGCTGACAGGTCCCCCTCATTTTGTCTTATTTTATTTTTTATTTCTTTTTCTTCATTTATCACAAAAGTATGACTATAAAAATCATATAAATTTGTTTAAAATCACATAATTACCCAAAAATTCACATTAATCAACTAAAAACCACTTTTCACACTTTAACATAAATATAAGTCTATTTATCATGAGTTAAGGCTAAAACTATATTATTTACTAATTATTAACTCATGATAATAAAGACTTATCAATGGGTATTTACCATTAAGTGTAATCATAATGGAACGATAGAGAGGTATAAGGTTAGGTAGCAAAAAGATATACTCAAAAATTAGGGATTGATTATGATGAGACCTTTACTCTAGTAAAATTAAACACCATGAAGATTTTAATCTCTATGGCATCAATGAAAGGATGACAACTTCACCAATTAGATTTAAAGAATGTTTTCCGACATAGATCCTTAAATGAGGAGATATATATGGATATACCTCTAGATTTTAGGGAAGAGAAAAATCAGCAGATGGTGTGTAAATTAAAAAGGTTTTTATATGGACTTCAACAATTCTTGAGAGCATGGTTTGGCAAGCTCTCAGCCACTATGTATGAGATGGACTACTGTCAAAGTAATAGCAATCATACTCTTTTCTTTAAACATTCTAGAAATAAAATTTCTATTTTATTAGTTTATGTTGATGATATGATTCTTACTAGAGATGATTTGTTAGAAATAAAAATTTTAAATGATAAATTATATGCATGCTTTGAAATTAAAAGACTACAAAATTTAAAGTATTTTCTTGATATGGAAATTGCATACTCTAGACATAGTACTTTCTTATCCTAGCTGAAATATACCTTGAATTTACTTAAAAAAATTGAAACTAGTGGCAGTAAACTGGCAACCACTCTCATTGACCTTGATGCGAAATTGGGTCAAGGTGAAGATAGTCCACTAGTTGATAGAGAAAATATCAAAGGCTGATTAGTAAATTAATTTATTTATCTCACACTCAACCATTTATTACTTACATGGTAGGATTATTGAGTCAATTTATGCATGACCTGAGAGAAGTACATAATGCAGCTACAAGATTAGTACTTCTTTATTTAAAAGGTACACCACGTTAAGGCCTATTATTTCAACCACATGGGCATACTAATGTGGAAATATTCACTAATATTGACTATGTAGGTTCTATTGTAGACATACGATCTACTTCAAGGTATTGTTCATTCTTAGGAGGACACCTCATCACATGGTGCAGCAAGAAGCAGCTAGTGGTTTCAAGATCTAGTGCAGTGTCTCAACTTCGAGTAATGACTCAAGGGGTGTGTGAAGCATTATGGTTTAAAAGGTTTTTGGAAGACATTAAGGTTCTGTATGATTCACCCACCAAACTCTTGTGACAATAAGTCAACTATAGATATTGCTCACAATCTAGTACATTATGATTAGACCAAACATGTGGAGGTGGATTGTCATTTCATCAAGGAGAAGATAGAGAATGAGATCTTCACTATCCAACATGTCAGGTCTGAGGAATAATGTGCAGACATCTTCACCAAAGGATTACATGAACCTACTATGAGAAGATTGTTAAACAAGTTGGGGATAGAAGATATCCATTCCCCAACTTGAGGGAGAGTGTTAAAATGTGATATTGGACTACATGTAGGGATAAGGTTATTGAGCTTAATAAGGCTAATTATCTATTGTTATTGGATTTAGCCACATACTTGGAACAGAATATGATAGTCAAGAATTATGTATTAAAGGGTCACAAACCCTAACTCAAAAGTAATGAAGTTATTTTCTCTCACTCTCTCATGCTCTTATGGCTCCTTTGCTCGTGATGGCTGTGCCCTAGCCCAAGGTGGGAGAATCTCCAATAATAGGATGCATCTCAATATATATTCATCTTTTATCATTTAAGAGCCCAAAAAATACATCTTCACTCAAAAGGATGTGACCTAGGTTGAAATTTTTCTCTCAACAATTCAAACTCAAAAGTTAACAAATGCAAGCAGTTGAAAGTTTCTTTTGAAACTTCTTACCTATCTTTTCTGACCTTCAACAAGCAATCATTCTTTCATGTGGGAAGAATATTACTCACATGCCTTTTAGTTCATGTGGGAAGAATATTACTCATAGGCAGCACACATGAGAACAAAGGCATAGCACAACATAACATACAAGTATGATACCAGATAAGTAGATAACATCAATGTTCTCCTATCAAAGACATTACTAGAATTCATTGCTCAAAGATGAAATGTAAAATGAATTTGGAACCTTACATTTTTCAGAACTTTTGTGTCTTAAATGCATATTACGAAGTCATACAATTCAGACTCTATTCCTCACTGAAATCAAACAAGGCTGCATCCAACATGAAAAAGAATGCAGATGTGAGAAGTACATACAAACATTTAGTTGAAACAAATAAGCTGGTCATCAGGTCAAATGAAGAGAAATAATCGCAGAACTCTGATTTAATACAGACATAAATAAAGCAAAAAGAAAAATCATCAAATAGGTACCTTTCATGTCACCATTCTAGAGAGTTTGTTATTCCAAGGACCCTAATATGATAAGAAATTCATCTAGGGTAAAAAATCATAAATTGTCTGCTTCAATGGTTACTAATCTAAATCACAGACTAGCTGATGTACTAGTGATGTGTTATCTCTGAATATGGCATAAAAAAAGAATGAATCTAGCATTAATAATGACGATTTGAAAAAATAATAATAATAATAAATTTTACCTTTTTACTATAGGACGTGCCCATGTAATCGATTCCATTCAGCCAATGGCTATGTAGACCAAAAAGAACCATTTCAGCCCTTGAGAAAAAGTGGTGCCCAACATCAATACCTGTCCATAGTACATAATACAGAATGTAACCATATATAGAAAAATATTAATGCAGGTTATTTCAATAGAGGTATTCTGGAAACAGATGGATTGTCTCTCCCATACAGGTATTAGTGGAACATGAGAGCATAGTGGAAGTTGGTAGTAGACTAGCACTGGCCAGTTGTAGCCAGCAATTATCAGTGGTGATTCCAAGAGATTTTTTTTCCCTTCATCTGCTTTTCAGTTCATTCTTACTTTGCCTATCCAAGTAGGATTCAATCAGCTCTTCCATAAAATTGGCCAATCTATATAGTTTGGAAACGGCTTAAAATACTTTCCCTCCACAAAATATATTAACAAATCTTGTGTACCTTGTCCACTTATAGTCCAGTTCCCATTATGATCTTAACAGCAAAAGAAGATAAGCGGTGACAATTGTCATTAGCCAGTGGCATGTGGCAATATGGGAGCAGTGTACAGCACCATAGGAAAGATGTTTTCTGTTCTCCTTTCTTCTACCGTCTCTATTAACTATAGCCCAGTTCCTCTTCATCAATTATTTTAAATGCATTCCATTTCCTCCTCTTTATCTTCCATTGAACATAGCCCACAAAATGTTTGGACGTTCTTTCTTTTATTCAACGTTTCTGAATATCTTTGAAAAATGAGAGGCTATTTGTTTAAGTTTCAACGCTTTTATTTGTATTATCCCTCTTACTAAATAATTGTATCATTTTCAATTCATTGAGTTCAAGATGACCAGAACCATTTTAAATTTGGATCATCATCTTAGACACACTCGATAATAATTCTATCATTTTTACAAAGCACTAGCTTCCATTAAGCCTTCTTAAGTGATACCTCAAAAACATGCATTTAATGTGAGCATTAAGATTACCTTAAGCATCATTACTACTTTTTAGAATTTAGATTCCCCATATTTTTTGCATTTTCGGCATTAATAAGACTTTTGAAGAAGTTTTTTAAATTTCCATGAAATGCCTAGCAAGCATTGAATGTGTTCTCATTCTCTTACTATTTTATACATTATCTATATAATTTTAAACCGAATATTCATTATTTTTCGTCTTTTATATAAACTTTATCATGTTAGGATTAATTTTAGAAAAAGATATTTATTCTGAAAATTTCAAATTATTTGTATTATTTCCACTACTCATAATACTTTGAACTGTCAAGAACACTTCAAAAGAAATAAATAAATAGTTTAATTTTACTTCAAAGAAGAAATAAACGAAGATGACACCTAACCTTGAGGTGGATTTCAGTTAGTTGAAGAACACAGTCCCACTCCTCTTCCTCTTCTCTCTCTCTCTCTCTCTCTCTCTCTCTCTCTCTCTCTCTCTCTCTCCCCTCCCCACCTTCTTCTTCTTATTATTCTTTCATATACTGTCCCTTTATTAAATAATCAAACTAAGGTCATTTCAAAACTAGTTGATCTACGTTCCGAAACGCACATCTGAACACTGTGTGCTCCTAATCTTCTTCATCTCCAGTCGGTAATATCCATGCTGGAGCAACTTGAGCTTTTCTGAGAGTACGTGGAAAGGCTGAAAACCATAGCCGGTGAGACTAAAGCCTTAGCAATTGTCTCAGAGAGTCTAAACGTCCTTTGCGTAGGTGCCGACGACATATGCAACACATACTTCACCACTCCTTATAGGTGAACCCTCTACGACGTCCCCTCCTACGTGAGCCTTCTCGTCTCCTTGGCCGTGGCCTTCATTCGGGTGAAAAAACACATCATAATGAATCCCTTCCATGAACATGGTAAATTGCAACAAGCTGGGCCATTAATGAAGTATAGGGATTAGTGCATGTGCCATTAATATGGTGTCCTTTGCCTGTGGTCAATGCGAGTCCGTCGGTCAAGGTCCATGAAGTATGTGACTGATACTCTATCTCATCATTAAATAGAAGTGATGTTTACTCTCTATTCATGATTTCCAAATCCAAAGAGGTAGAGGGAGAGAGAGAGAGAGAGGATGGAACTCAAGAATGGAAGACTGTGTTGACGCGGGTGGAGAGTTAATTAGGCAATATTTTCAATTTATGTTCAATGTTCACGATTGGGATTGAACAAGGCTGGGGAAGTGAAATACAGTATGTACGGAAAGACAGTACGAAATTCATTGAGAAGGGAGAGTAAGAATAGCAAAGAGAATGGATAGAGACAGATAGGAGAGTTATAAAGGTAAACGGAGAGAGAGAGGAAGAAATGTAGACATAGAGAGGGGTGGATAGAGTGGTGGAGAGAGTGCGAGAGAGAGGTTGAGAATAGACAAGAAAAGAGGGAAAAGAATGGTCAACCAAAGGGGGAAAATGCTGAATGAACTGACATGGAACTTTCAAATAAGCGTTGCAGTGGCCATCCACCTGACAACTAGCTATGAATTCACTGTGCCCTGTAGATATATAGCTTGGAAGGCATATCTTCTACTTTTTCCTCATATTTCTCTCTCCCTCCCTCCCTCTCTTTTTCTATGGTTTCCCTCAGGAATTAGCTAATCTAGGTGCAAGACGAATTGCTTTTGTGGGCCTTCCTCTAATAGGATGCTAGCCAGTCCAAAGGACTCTCTGCGGAGGTGTGAATAGAAATTGTGATCCATCACTCAACCATGCAGCCTCATTATTCAACTCCAAGATGAGCAAGGAGCTTCAGAGGATCTCAAACCAGCACCACGGAAGAAGGATAGCCATCTTCGGCATCTATTCCATGGTACTTGATATGATTCAAGATCCATCGTATTATGGTAATCTGCATCTCTTTCCTCTCTTTGTATCTCTATCCATTCTCCCTCTGTCCTTTTATATCTCTCTCTTCCAACAATACCTCTATATTTGCGTGTTTCAAAGTATGTTTCTAGTTAGTTCTCTATTTTACTGTGTATCCATTCACTTGCATGTTTTTATCTTTCTATCATTTACTCATCAGCAGACAAGTCATTTGTCAATAAGACAAGACTCTAATGTCCGTATAAAATATGGCGTAGGTTTTGATGTGGCAACCAAGGGCTGCTGCGGGACTGGAGCATTGGAAGTGTCTGTGCTGTGTACTAACGCGACATCAGTAACATGCGAGGATGACGACAGATACGTGTTTTGGGACAGCTTCCACCCAACGGAGAGGACTTATGACATCATCACGGCTGCAATTGTTGAAAAAATGTTTTAGAGCCTGTTGTAGGAAGACCCTTAGTTTTCCTCTTGCGTGATAGGGCTCTGCATCATTCCGTTATACCAAATACCTTTCTTCAAGATTTGGTTTAATGTTCAATACCGTAAACGTCAACAATCGTAATGTAAGATGAATTAGACTCTAAAAAATTATCTATTTACGAGGTATATTGGACCTTTGATAAGTAGTTGCATTATTCTTGCCTAGTACTCTTGATTTATCATACTCTTTGCTTAGCAAAGTGAAGAACATTTCAGATGCATATGGTAGAGGGAGAGATAGAAATAGATAGATATATAAATAGATTGATAGATAAATGGATGGATATTGACGTGACTCAGTCGTTGTATATTAAATCACGCAAATATAAAATTTATAAAACTAGAAAATACGAATTTTTAGATATTTAGAAATATTTTTAAATAAATATATCAATTATAATTCAATAAAAATTCCAAAAATAGCGATAATTTTCTAGGTCGATCACAAGGATGTAATATAATATCTGGTAATTATTCAGAACTTTTCTCAATGAATAAGATTTTCTTACAAATTTTATACTAAGAAATAAAAAGGAAATATATTTAAAATTCACGAAAAAAAGGAAATAAGGGTGCGAACATCAGGATGACATCATCGCTCGGCGAATGCGAATCAGACGAAAACAGAGTTCCGCTTGGTGATTCTTACGTAAGCGATTACAGACAACTTAATTAATCAAATTAAGATCTATAAAAGTTGGAAGAATCGTAATTGAACAAAGTATAGTTTGGTAAATTAAAATCACACAAAGTATCACTAAATGAAGCGTAAATTAAATTGAAAGTAGGAAAACAAAGTTCTGGCATCGCGACGGCAATGCGTCGGCGATGCATCGGAATCCTGAGCGTTCGAGAGGATCGTCGTGCAGTGTCCACAACCTCGAAGGCTCTCATTGGACAAAGACGACGTGGGCAATCTCTAGATCTTCTCGCGAAGTTTAGAGATCAATGAAGTGGGTCATCGAATCATCTCCGACGGCTGTCACCCGGCGGAGTGGAAAAATGGCGACTTTATGGCTCTCCGCCGGCTGTCACCTGACAGAGAAGAGCTAGATGGAGGTGGGGCGCATGTTTGGGAGCTTCATCCTCAGGTTCGCGCAGCAAGAGGAGGCTCTTCATCGCATCTGGTACGCTCTTAGGAGGTGGCGACTGGTCTCCTGGTGGATCATCCTCTTCCTGACGACAGCTTGTTCGTCGATCAATCGGAGATGATTTACTCGATGGATTCGCGATCCTTTTATCGCGAATCGTTCAGTAATTTTAGTAGCAATGCTCCGCGAATCGCGTTGACAAGATTTTCGCCGATGATCCAGCGATTCTTGTTGCTTAATCCTTCACGGGCGATCTACAGGAAAGTCGCAATAATCAAATAAAAATATATGAATTTTGACTCTAGAAGGATTCGAACCCGCGCTAGTCGCCTACCTGTGAGGAAGGTGTGACATGGGTTTAGTCCCACATCAGTTGTGCGCTGATTTTTCGAGCAAATATATAGTAATGTTGACTTTGCAAGCAAAGTCCCTTCTCTCGTGTGTATGACCACTCCTTGCCCCACAGTCGGCTGGCCACTGGTGACGTGGAAGGGGAATGGCGCACACGTACCCCTATTGGTCCAAGCTAAGCCGTTTGAGCCCCTGCTTACAGCTACTCCCCGACTGCACTTCCGACCAGCTTGCGGGCTTGGTTGGCTGGCGGATCCCCCCATTTTTGCAATATTTTTATTTTTATTTCTTGTTCTTCATTTATCTCAAAAGTAAGACTGTAAAAATCATATAAAATAACATAATTACCTAAAAATTCACATTAATTAATTGAAAACCAAAAATCATTCTTTAACACAAATATAAGTCTATTTATTATGAGTTAAGGCTAAAACTATATTATTTACTAATTATTAACTCATGATAATGAAGACTTATCAGATATATAGATAAAAAAAGAGGGAAAGAGAGAGAGAGAGATAGATGATTGCTTATAAATTATCAATGAGAGTTCATAGACTGACATAGTATGGATGAAACAAAATAACAAACCCATTCCATACCAAGCTTGGAACATGTATGGCTTGGTGTATGGGATTATATTTGTGTACTAATTACTATGATGAATAAGACTAACATTTCATAATCACCAAGAATAATCTTCAATCCATGTTTTTTCTCATTGGTAAAGAAAATATATTAATTTTTCACTCATTCATCACGAAATTTTGTGTAAGGCTTCTTGAACTGTTTTTGGACAAACTTATTATGATATACATATATATATATATGGTGGCTTCTAGATAGGAAAAATTAAACTACACACCAAATTTTTATCATATTAAATATATTAAATTTAACTTATATTTTTTATTAAATATAGAAATGATATATTTCATGTTTTCTTAAGTATTAATTCGCCCTAATAAATCTATAAAAGTTATATCATTATAAGTATGACATTTAAAGGTATTTTAATTCAATATAAGATGACGTTTTAAATATTTAATGAGTAATTGGTCACAATAAGAATGCCTCAAAGTAAAAGGTCATTTGATATTAATAATAATAAAATTTTCTCTCATGTAAAATGACTTTAATTGACTATCAAAATGTTCCTTTGATATTTCAATGAAGATTAAATTGTTGGTGAGGATTCCTCCAATAAAAATACATCATATTAAATAAATAAAATTATATTATAACATACTTTATTGGCCACTTGGGATATAGTCTAGTTTATATAGCAAACATGTACATCATTGAAAAGACAATGTAGTGCTTTGCTAGTTATGTTGCAACTACTAGTGATCTTTTATTGCCCTATCCTCCTGGTCAAGCAAGTGTTTTTGATTTAGGGCCTATAATAACGTTCTGAAGTAGAAAAATAAAATAATGTTTTAAAATAATAATTCACATCATTTTAATTTATTTTATTTGAAACCTTTTAATTGAATATCTAACTATTGCTTCTAAAATTTTCATAAATAAAAAATTGACATAATGATGTCCCAAATTAAGCTATTATACAATATAAATAAGAATAAATGTTTTTTCCTCATAGTGCCTTTCAATTTAGTAAATGGCTTCTCTTTAATAATTTTAGAAATGGTAAGAAAATCAAGTAATGCTAGGAAAAGAATATGTATCATATTTATTATAGAATATATTTCTTTGAAAACCCTTTTAATGAAAACTAAAAAATTATTTTCAAATATTCATGTATTTAGTAAATTGTAATAATTTTGCCTACAAAACTCACCTTTTAAACCCAAATATTTATTTTTTTATTTTTTAAATGATTTCAATTAAACATTAACATGTTTAGTTTAGTATTCCATAATCTATTAAATCTTTCTAATAATGTTTCAGAATAGGAATTCATACAATATTAATTATTAAATATACTTCTTTCACCTAAGGTTCATTTTTAAATCTCAAAATGGCTTTTTAGCATTTCTAAAGATCATGTGTTGCTATCTTAATTCTTACTATTAATAATTATGATTTTTGGTCTAAGCATTGAACAACTATAATAATTCTTGAGATCAAGATCTGTTCATTCCCTTGGTTTTGATGGTTACAAAAAACATTATTTACCATTTATTATTTAATATTGATAACGTGTTAGTCATATGTTTATAAATTATTATGACTTGATTACTAATTCAAATATAAAGTATAAATATTTCAAATTAAGTGATTTTTTAGAATATTTGAAGATAAAATACTATCAGCTAAAGGAAACATCTATGAACAAAAGATTATGTATATGATCATATGGTATGAATCAATACATATGTTGATATATTTGCAAAAGTTAATTATTGTATTTAAATTATATATGTTGATTTAATCATAGAATTACAATATTTCTCTCTTCAATAGTTTTTAATGTAATATTAGACAGATTCTTTGAACTATCATGAGCATTAAATTAGCATGAGAACAAAAAAATGAATTAATGTTTATGTTTGAAAAAAATATCTCAATAGTGACTGGCCAAATACATAAGTGGAAAAAAGTGAAGATAAACTTAAAAAGATGGATTTGATGTGGAGACCCAATTATTCTCTATCTAGTTAGGAAGGTTCAGGTCAAATTTAATTCAAAAGGTTGTCGAAATAAAGAGATCTGAAGTTTGGATGGTTCAAACATTATTATGTTTCATTTTACAAAATCACAAGCTTTTGAACAAGTATTTTGAATACAGGTTTGAGAAAATAGGAAAATTGATAAGATGAAAGCTTATTTATTAGAAAAGAGTTATAGACCAAGTTTACAACATATGCACAAATATTTAATGCTCATCATCAAGTTCATTACACCATATGCATCAACAATGAATAAAAAATATTCATTTTCTTAATCTGCTTAATTTGGCAAACGGTCAACTCATCTATTGTGACAATGTTCTCCATTAAGTCTTAAGATCACTAAGTGATTAGAGCTGAGTATATTTGATAAAGGCATGAGATGCTGGTAGTTGTAATTGTCTCAAAAGGAGTGGGATATCAATGGACATGAACTTGTGCATTAAGGTAGCTCATCCCATTAAAATTAGTGTATACGTATAAGGAGAAAAATTAATACAAAAGGGTAATTACTTTATGGGCTCAAAGTAACTAGGTGAGAGTGAATTAATATAAAATTTTAGTATTTTTGGTGAGAGATTGTTCAAAAATATTACTATAATGTATGTGTCAACACCTGCACCAACACAAACAATTCTAAGAATTCAACATCAATTCAAAAAATTGCCAAAACATTCAAAAACACGAATTCCTCCCCCCTCATAGTGTTTCAACTTTCCTTACCAATCCAATAAGATCTTAGTGATACTTGTAAATAGTTTATCTCTTATAGTATTTTAAATTGAATACACAACTATTTTTTAAAAAATTTTTTAAAAACTAATTCAATGTAATAAACTCTTTAAATCTTCATATCTTGATTAAAAATATTTTTTATTTAA